CTGTACGAAAATGCTACTTACCTTCCACAATTAACGTAATCGTTTATAATTCCCGCGTGAAATTGACATACCGTATTTTTTTTTCAATTACAGTTTTGATTTGATGCTATATCTCATGAATTATTCAGTTGAAAGCATATCTCGAAAATTACCTATTGCCTTATTTGTACATTTCTTTTTAAATATTTCTCTCAAATTTACCAGTATTCAATCTATTTCTAGATTAACAAATCATATATATTCTATGAGTTCTAATTAGTGTACATTTGTTCATGCCTGTAAAAATGGCTGGTTTCTGTTCCAGAAATAAAATTATTATTATTATTATTATTATCTTATATTTCACGTCAGCACCTGTACAAAAATGCTACTAACCTTCCACAATTAACGTAATCGTTTATAACTCCCGCATGAAATTGACATACCGTATTTTTTTTCAATTACAGTTTTGATTTGATGCTATATCTCATGAATTATTCAGCTGAAAGCATATCTCGAAAATTACCTATTGCCTTATTTGTACATTTCTTCTTTAAATATGTCTCTCAAATTTACCAGTATTCAATCTATTTCTAGATTAACAAATCATATATATTCTATAAGTTCTAATAAGGGTACATTTGTTCATGCCTGTAAAAATGGCTGGTTTCTGTTCCAGAAATAAAAATTATTATTACGCAAGAGTTTTAATTCGGTAGAGAAATAAGCATACAAGTCACAGTTAAGTCAAATCAACAGAGTTGTTACCATGATAGTAGAAGTGGTTGAATAATTTTCTTTTGTATGCATAGTTTTGGTTCTTCTAAATGAATGGGTAGGACTTCTGCAATGCAAAGGAAATGGAAACGTACTGTCTTTGGCAGATTGTTCTTCACGTTGTAGATTACTTTGAAGGAGGCATTTGTTGAGAGGGAATGACCGGTGGTGATAATATGTTCGATTATCTCACTCCTTATACTGCCACTACTTCCTTCCTGCAGCCACGCTGGATAGTGTTCTTTGACCTTTTTTGACAGGATACGCATTGGACGACCGATGCAACTGGCTCCATAGCAACAGGTGAACTGATATATACACATAGAAGTGGTTATGTGTGGGATATTTTCCCTTGGGCTTCTGCAGATCAGCGGGCGACTCGAGAATTCTACACTCAGTGTTGCCGCGAAGAAAGTTCTTAAATAAGTGGAAATTCTCTTCCTAAGGACATCACTGAGTAGGTCACCTTTGAAGTCGAGCTTCATATGAAGTATCTTTTTGGCACGGTGGTGTCTCCTGTATTTGAATTTTCTGTTTGATGTTTTTGTCTATTATTCTTGGTGGATAACCATTTTGTATGAAGATTTCTTTCAGGAACTGTATTTCTTCTTCCACGGTATCGGAGCTGCAGATGCGTTGGACGCGAGTAGCAAGAGATCTAATTAGATTTCGTTTTTGACTGATTGGTACCTAGCTGTAGAAGCTTGTTAGTTGGTCGCTCTATGTGGGTTTTCTACGGATGGACCTTCTTAAAGTTCCGTCAGCTCTCTTTGTAAGTTCAACATCAAGAAAAGGAATTTTAGATTCGTTTTCAATTTCGATGTTGAGCTTTGTAGCTGAGTTGCATTTGTTGAATATTTTAGTAACTGATTAGGATCGTGACCATCATCACAGGTAATTAAGATTTCGTCCACATATGTTGTCCTTAAATAACATTGTTGAATGTGAATTGTACATTAAGTTTGCATCTCAGCAGTGGTTTTTTTTAAACAAGTCGTCTGTAATTCAATGTTCAATTGGTTTTAGTCTACATACTGACAGAAAGCTTTTGTGAGTGGAAGGTTGGTAATTAGTTCATCAATGTCAAGTGAGTGGATACTTTTGTTCATTACGTTGATATCTTGTACATAGTCAACGAATTGAAAGGTGTCACGGAGCGAACAGTGGCACATCTGTTTTCGTACAGATCCTTAAATGTCAGCTAACCATCTCGCTATTGAATGATATGAGGAACCTGACATATCTAAAATTGGACGCGGTAGGAGGTTGGCTTTATGTACCTTCGGTAAGCCGTATAGTCTTGGTATTACTGATCCTGTCGGTCGAATCTGTTCATAAACTTCATGACTGATTAACTGTTCGGTTTGTATTCTTTTGAGGGCATAAGTGATCTGTTTTTCAACCTGTTCTGTTTTACTTCTTCCGTTTGGTAGTTGCCAGAATTTCGTTTTATCTGGCAGTATGTTATTCATTTTCTGTATGTAGTCTTTTCTGTCTATAAGGACTATGCCAGCTCCTTTATCTGGGCGATATACTTGAAGTTCTTTGTTTGTCTCAGTTGATTTAATTCTTCTCTATGTTGTTTTGTTAGGTGGTTTTGTATTCAAATAATGATAACAACAATCGATTATTGTTGATTTAAATAGCTGTAGATCTTGTTCAGAGGTTGGAGTTAAATCATTTGTTTGGGTAATTAAGTTTTCAGATTGTTCATGAGTATGGCGTCTGTTGGCATTTAGGCTGATGTCGCAAAATTTTGGACCCATGGATAGAGCTTCTAATTGCAAGTTGGATAAAACAACTGACGAGTAGTTGAATACGAATTCTGAAGGGTTATCAGGAAACTTATTTGTGCTTTGATAGATTTGAGGGTTTTCGTGAGTTGGGTAGACTGTGACCGTTTTTAAGTGAATATATCGACGTATTCTGTAAACATCTGAATTACACTAGGTAGCAAATCGTGGAAGGCTGGAGAACTTTGTGAAATGCTGTGTTGTAGTTCTAAAATACGTGCTTTAATAAAGTCGGCAAGATTCAATGCTTGCTGTCGGAGAGATTTTTTGTTGCGATACATGTGATTTATTCCAAGTGCTTTCTAAAACCATTTCGCATATTCACGAATACTGATACAATCCTTGAGAAGAGTTCTTTTCGCTTTCGCTACCGCAAGTAATAAAATAATACATTTTAGAAAGGTATGTGAGAAAAGGTAGTTATTAGCTGAGTAAGGTGATGTCGACACAAAAAACAAAAGTGTGTTACTAACTGCATACATACATGAAATATTAAGAGGTGTTTTTGTTAATATAATTGAAATAGAACTAAAATAAGGACGACAGTTGTATTACATCCTGCTTGGAAATATGAATTCCCTCACAGTTTAGTTTCAGTAATATGTGAACGGAATGCAATCTGTAGAATCCATGACATTCACAAAATGACGTACCGCCTTTCCAAAAAACCCAATTAGTGTTTCCTTAGTAAAGTGAGGAATGGGCATTGTGATTGTGTAAACTCAATAGTTTGTAAACTGCTACCAATAAAAATGACAACAATTCTCGAAATCACAAGCTATAGTTTTAGCTTAATTGCAACTTTCAGCAACTGTCAGATGACCACTTGACGAGCATAACATTTATGCAGGAAGTGTATAAGATTTAGTAAAACATGTACATTTTTGATTGCGATATGAAGTCTCTTTGCCAAATGTATTACTGTAAAATCCTATACAGTGCATATATTAACTAATAACACCGAAGTGGAAAAACTTCTATTTGTCCTTACTGAACTTAATATAGAGAGACTTTGTGAAGTTTTTTTTTCTTCACGTTCCCCAGTGGAACATAGGGCTTCAAGCTAGTGGCTTGAAGTTTCTGTAGCAGTGTTTATTTTACAGGATGGGGTTGCTAGCCTCATGCCCAACCTTTCCTCTTCACCAGCATTATTTCTGGCTTAGCGAGGTAAAGGAGTCCTAACCACTGTGCCACCGACGCACGACTTTGTGAAGTAATTCCAGTTATTTATGTAGAAGAGAAGGCAAGGCATTCATGATCTCTTGCTTCATGTGGAATTGCAATGCAACTCAATACTCAGTAGTACTTATACGAATACACTGAAAAATAAAGTCCTCCTCACCTTCTAAACAACTTGTCTTTATTCCAAATAAGGCAATAAGCTTTTTTCACATATAAGCCTAATTTATGTCTATGAAATCGGAATAATGTGGCAATTAAATCTTCCCTCAAAATAAAGGCCACTTGAAACACAGGTTCACAAGAATGCTACATATTGTGACTAAGGTGCTAATGTTTTTGTCTTAAAATGAAAACCAACTGTCATGAGTACATGAAAACCGAAATTAATGCTGAAATTGAGTTATGAATATCGAACCAATTAAGACAAGAGTGTGGCAAACCTTAGACTTGGCTAGCGTAATATCCCGCATTCGAATAGAAATAAAAAACACAAAATCCTTTAAGTTACTGGAGGGATATATTAAAATTTGTTACTTGGGTTAGTACAAGGTCCAAAATCCATAATTAACTTAACAGACTCCAGAATTATTGAAAGAAGACTGCTCCACTCTTAATTCTCCAATGTCGACATTGCCAGAGGTCGACCAAGGTAACGTAGGGAGGAATTACGGCGTCCCTGCGAAATTTTGCAATAGAAGATAGGTAATTAGAATTGGCCGATGGCAGTTGAGATGGTGGAGAAGACGGAGAGTTGTAGGCGGAACTATATTTTCATTCAAACCACGAGGCTTAGTACAAAGTACAGAGATTCTGGTTAAGACAAAGTAATGTACAATATGTTCATTTCTCACATAGTAGTAAAAGTTGGATAAGTTTATTTTAGAGGACTCCACAAGAGCGTCTCAATAAATAGGCCGAATATACCAGTATGGTTCCGTGAAAATTCAAAAATACATGTTTAAATTTTGAAATTCCTACCCTATTTAATCCATCTTATTGCGCGGATATCGAGCGTCATTTCCTGAGATAAGTGCTGTAAATGTAACGTAGTTCAAGTTCATTATGCCGCCGATACAGTGTGAGGCAGAAATGTCTTTTTATTGCAAAATTTCATTTAAAAAGCATATAAAAAACATAAATTGCTACTTAACCAACATAGCAACGGACATGAACGCTACAATTAGCGGGGATATTCAATAAAGCCACTCGAAATTTCGGTATGGTCACAGTAGGGTTATATGAAGTCAGGAAATACTAAACAGATCTATTCTTCAGCATAACAAAGAGGCGACCTATGAGAAGTTTCTCACTTAACTGTGATTTTTACGACTGTTTGTAACTTGAAGCAGCGGAAGGCGGACTTACAGATTTTAACGTTACCACGTTGCGTCGTTTCCGTGACCTAAGGTTGGTTATCAATTTGACCAGTAGTAGGCCCGATGAATGCAGCTTGAGTTCCAGTTTCATGAATTTTCCCCTTTTTGCTGATGCTTTTTATAATATTCGTCGCAAGTTCCATCCTGATTCAGGGTAAAGGTTATCATTTCTCACGTTAGAGGACATAGCAGGAGAGTTCAAAAGCCAAGAAGAAATCATATTGCTGTTGAGTACTGGTTCTCACACTGAGTCACAAACTTTTGGAAGTGACTCTCAGAAGAAGTGGTGTCTGCAACCTCAACTGATTTTTTCAAAAAAGGTTTGGACAACCACAGAAATTTACTAGAAAAGGATTAACATAGGCTCCAAGCCTTCTATCCTCAATCATTAAATCTGAATATGAAATTAAGGTTAGGGTGAAACTTGCGACGAAAATTGTGAAAAGCATGCATTTTAGTGCTGAGTGATCTGATTAGATGGTTCACGGTCATTTGATTCTGGTGTCTCCTATTGACTATTGCCCTAAAGGTATCTTCAGGTGAAAAACGTTGGCATATACGGACGAATTTGAACTGAAGGTGACATCCTGGTGCATTACGTTTGACTATATGGAGTCACATAGGGTTTCAAATATTGAGCTATACGTAAAGTTGACTTCATATCAGATTAACTTATAGCCTTCTGGATTCTTTTAACGAAATCCAGAAAGATCAGATGTTTAGTTACTCTGCCAACAAAAGAGCACTTGGACCTAAATAGCACCTATGAGAGGAAGCTCCGTTACATATTCAGATGACAATATTCAGTTGGATCGTATGACCTCTGCTTTTCCTTGCCCTGTATATTTTAGTATCTCCTATGTGCGTTAATTTTAGTGACATAGCCCAAAGCCCACCACTAGAGACAAGTCTTAATGTGTGATGCTCCATCATTCCTGTAATTGAGGTGGTTTATTTATACTAGGATGCATCATGGGTTTATTATTTATGTTGAGAACTGTTCACCCTTCACAAGTGTTGTATACATACAGATGAAACGACGTGCTTGTCCATTTCACTCTCTGTAGCCAGAATCATTTGTGTGCATGCTATAGAAACATGTTAGGTTTACACTTTAGAATAATATATACCAAAAGAGTTTCCTGTGCTTCATTATGTGAATGTACTACTATGGCTAAAGGCTTTGAAAGTCCTTAGTGGGCTATCAGTCATCGTACTTTTGGTCCCATAAGTGTGCCTTAATAGATGTTTATTAAGTCACAACCGGATAACCTGTTTCAGAGAAGCAAAAGTTATTTTGACTCTATTCTCACTGATAGTTTTTTGTGAAACATTTGATATCAGTTGTTTCATCTACCGGTATGTTCTTGAATATTGGCAAAAAGTAATACTATTTGTGCATATTAGCTATCTAAATGATTGAGATATCGTAGTACTAGTGATAAGTCTTTCAGATTTGTGTGTGCTCATCCTCATATTTTTGGGATGGGGAGTAAGAGCATTTAATACATCAATCACTTCATCTACTTGGGAAGTTGCATCATACTTACTGAACTGATTGCTAACAGAATGTCACTACATATACAGAAGGCTCGTTTTGCATTTTACCAGTGTGCATTACCTTTGTTGCAGGTGTGATGTCCGGTTATCCCATCATGGACGTATATTCTGCATAATTTTTCTCTCCATTCTACTTCACCACTGTGGAACATAGTCTTTTAAGGTGAAATATGTGAAGAGACTATTGGTTTTAGGTAGGAACACAAATTAAATCGATGAAGTTGTGAAGTTTTCGCTGATTAAGATAGCTAAGAAGTGTTACTCATTTTGAGCCATCCCACATGTCAACGGCTGGAACAGTATTAGGTTGGCGAAATATTAATTGTGGCCAAATAGAAATGCAGCATTAATGAATGAAGTCTTTGACTGTCGATCTAGCGACACAGAGGGGTGTAGGTCGTGTGTCTGAGGTCCTTGGGATGCTAAGATTCATTGAGTCAGTAGGGTTTAGGTCGAATTATTTCTTATTTTTATGTTAGCCATTAAGCCAAAGTGTCAAGTTCTTTTGTCAACATAGATTTATACGTCTCGACGAAACCGATACACATGAGAACGTGTACATAAATATAAAGCGTTTAAGACTGGTGGAAAGTGAATTTATCAATCAGAATCTCCTATAGAGCTTGTAAAATACCAATGCAGTGTGATCGGAATTTTTAAAATAACGTAATTCTGTATTTCATTGAAACAGGCAATCTCTGTGCCCTATTTGTTGCACAATTCCCCTAGGATTTAGCTGGAAAGCCATTATTTAATTACAGCGGTAACCTTTTCAACCCCTTTTGGTGGACGTCTGTACATAAAATTAGCAGATCATATGGAAAAAAACCTAACACCACCAAGCAAGCTGCTATAGACAACTAGCTGAGATATCAGATTTAACATGTGCTTATTCTTGTACCTCGTAGGCGATTTAGAAGTCGGTGGATCATTGGTAGAAAACACTGGGTGACCAAGCCAATGGTCCGGGGTTCGATCGCTGACCGATGCACTCAGAACTTACTTAACCAATAGTAAGTGCTTTAAGGAGGGCAGGTTGCGCGTGGGGTTAGAAACCCGATCACGTAGAAATAAGATAACTGCTACTGAAAATTCGAATCTCTAGATTGAAACGCCATATCCCACTCGAAAGGCAAAGTTATAAAATAAGTAAATAAGTAATAAATCGTATGTGATTCAGGTGCTTTCAGAATGTTAGGAAGTCAGTTTACTATTCTGGAACTACAACCGCTTGATAACTGTCAGCTACAGTTATGCAAGAATGATTTAAACCCACCATCTAATTCAGTAATTTAATTGTTTTAGGAAAGAGATAGCCTATCTTGAAAATTCAGTGCAGCGAAATCAATCAGTCAATTAATTAATCAATAAATTCACTTTCTTGTCTAGCTTCTTGTCAGCCTCAAATATTTTTGATTATGATGAAATTTCCATATTGAGGGCTATCTGTACAAACGATTGTCTCTCCGATTAATGCAAACTTATTCGTTAGCCTCTGTCAATATAAATGACAGTCAACAACTAACTTGAGACGAACACACATGTTAGTTTGATGTTATGTGGTCAATAGTTTCACTTCAACGTTAAAAAAGGGTTATAAAACAAAAAATAATACTGTTGAAGAGACGATTGCAGCAAAGAAAATTTCCTTTTCGATGAAGTCACCAACTAGACTGTACATTCGTGTTTTTATGATAAATGGACGGGAAAGTTCCAGAATAATTTCCTGCCAAGGGTCAAATTAATAAAATTACAACTAGGAATTAAAATGCCATAATAAACAGGGAGAGGAGACGGATAAAACTCAAACAAAGTAGCATCATAATTACTGAGAAGATTGACATATTGTGCAATTGCGGGTTGAAAATGTAGAAATAACAAAAATAGACAGGATGTTTGGAAAAGACAAACCAGTGAGATCATAACTAATGTGACGAATAATTGTTTATGCAGTTAGGGATTAAATATGTAGAAATAATAAAGTGACAAAATGGACAGGAAGTTCGGATATGAAAATATGGTAGTGTAAGTAGGGATTAACAAAAACTCAAAAATAACATGAATAAACAGGAAGTTTGAATAAGGAAGGTAATGGGATGGTCACTACTAAAAGAGTTACCTGTTTATGATGGCCATGGCAGGGACAAGGGGTGGACGTATTTCTTTTGGATACATAGCGTGGGTTTGAGCTTTTGGATAGCTAGTGCCTCGGCTATGCCCAGATGTCTCAATTTTACTCCCTTTGATAGGTTTGATCGAATCTTGTATATTGTTTTGAAGGATTTTTCGAATGGCGCTGAATGTCCTGAATTGACCAGATGTTCTGTCACTGAACTATATACACGTTTTCGTTCTCCTTTCACTAGCCAGGCTGGATAGTGTTCACGAGCGCGTTTTTCAACTTGGCGCGTGGTACGAGCGATGTACTCAGCTCCGCAAGAGCAGGTAAACTGGTATATGCACGTTGAAGTGACCCAATGCAACAGCTTGTCTTTCGCGTTCTGGCTGAACAGTTTCTTGCAGGAAAACGTCAGTCGTAGGCTCGCGGCGAAGTATGTTTTCCTCAGAGATTTGCAGAGGCGTTTACGAAGGATTTCTGCTTCAATGTCACCTTTGAATTCTAGATTAAGCAGAAGTATCTTCTTCGGGATGGATTGGACTTGTTCGGAAGTCTTCTTTGATTTGAGATTCTTGTCTATGAACCTGGGCGGAAAACCGTTTTCCATCAGGGTTCCTTGGAGATTACGCAGTTCTTCGTCAATCACTTCCTCGCTGCATATCTTCCGAATCCTCGAGGAAAGAGCGTATATCAGGTTCCTCTTTCTGCTTAGGGGCACGAAGCTTTGAAAGTTGGTGAATTGTCCATTCCATGTAGGCTTTTTGTATATGGACCTTTTCAGAGAGTTGTTGGCGTTTCTTGTCAGATGGACGTCGAGGAAGTGGAACATTCCGTTGGATTCAGCTTCAAGAGTAAAGTCGATGTTTTGGTGGGCATTATTGAAGGTTTGAAGTAAGTTTTCAAGGTCCAGGTTCTCATCACAAATGATGAAAGTATCATCAATGTATCTCTTGTAGAGATGGAGGTCGTCGATAGTTGATGATAAGGAGTTGTTTTCTAGGCTAGCCATAAAGCAGTCGGCCAGGAGGGGTCCTAGGGGAGAACCCATTGCTACTCCATCTACTTGCTTGTATATTTCGTTGTTGAAACTGAAGTATACGCTGACGGTGCATCGTAGTAACAGCTCTTTCAGGTAATGGATCGGTATACCGACGTCGATGCTATTGGATTGAATGTAGTCACGAAGGAAACATACGGTTTCTGTCAATGGAACGTTGGTGAAGACAGAGACGACACCCAAGGAGACCATTTTCTTTTCTGCCACTTAAACATTCTTAATTGAATCGACAAAGTCGAATGTGTCACGGAGGTTGTGTCTTAACAGCTTCTCTTTCACCGGCCCGAGAATCTCCACCAGCCATTTCGCGGTTGAGTGATATGGGGAATCTATCATATCTAGTATTGGGCGGAGCACTTTAGGTAAGCCGTACATGCGCGGCATTGTAGAACAAGATGGACGCAGTTGTTCGTATAGTTTTGAACTGATAATGGATTCGTCTTTCATTTTCTTCAATATCTTTGTTAGCTGGAGTTCCGTCTGTTCGGTGGGATCTTTCTGTGGAGACTGTTTTTGAAACTTTTTATCATCAGGTAGTATCACCGAGAGTTTGCTTAGGTAGTCTGATTTGTTCATCAAGACAATCCCGGAGCCTTTATCTGGCCGTGTCATGATCAAGTTTTCATTATCCTTCAGTTCTTTCAGCTGCTTTCGATGTTCTTTGGAAAGTACGTTACGAAAGCTGGGTTTTTTGTTGATGTAATCGAGACAGCAATTTAAGACGGTTGATTTGAGAAGGTCTGCATTGTCATATGAAGTTGGGACCAGATCTTTCGTCTGGTCGATTAAATTCTCGAATTGGACTTTCGTGCTCAGTTCATTCACTTTTGACGTTGCATCACAAAACTTTGGTCCAAGTGCCAAGATTTTCATTTGAATTGGAGATAGTGGAACATCAGAATAATTGAACACGTATTTTTCTGAACAAGTAGGAAAGACGGTTTCTTTGGTAACGGACTTAAGGCTTTGGTTTAGTTTCATTATAACATCATCTGTTCTTTTCTTTGTAACCATATTGTAGTAGTTTCCGAATGATGTTCTTTCATCTTCAGGTAACTCATAGAGAACGTGGGAGCTTTTCTTTGAGATATTCTGCTCCAGTTCAAGTAGTCTTGATCGAACTGCATCGATGTGATTCAGAGTGTGTCGTTTCAGTGTACGTGAGTTAGGAGATACGTGATTTCGTCTGAGATGCTTCCAAACTACTTTGGGATATTCATGTTTCTCGGGGAAATTCTTCAAGAAGAAAATCTTTGCATTCGCCTCAGCAAGCTTGACGGATAAACGTAGAAACGTGTTTAGTCCCTTTACCGTCGAACGGTCCTTGCTTTTCTTCAAATTACAGAATATAGACATGATCAACTCGACGAAAGGAAAATTTTCTTCACTGCAACGGTCTTTTTAATAATTCTTATGATCCAATGTGTATATTCTGTGATTTGAAGAGAAGCAAGGACCGTTCGACGGTAAAGGGACTGAACAAGTTTCTACGTTTGTCCGTCAAGCTTGCTGAGGCGAATGCAAAGATTTTCTTCTTGAAGAATTTCCTCGAGAAACATGAATATCCCAAAGTAGTTTGGAAGCATCTCAGACGAAATCACGTATCTCCTAACTCACGTACACTGAAACGACACACTCTGAATCACATCGATGCAGTTCGATCAAGACTACTTGAACTGGAGCAGAATATCTCAAAGAAAAGCTCCCACGTTCTCTATGAGTTATCTGAAGATGAAAGAACATCATTCGGAAACTACTACAATATGGTTACAAAGAAAAGAACAGATGATGTTATAATGAAACTAAACCAAAGCCTTAAGTCCGTTACCAAAGAAACCGTCTTTCCTACTTGTTCAGAAAAATACGTGTTCAATTATTCTGATGTTCCACTATCTCCAATTCAAATGCAAATCTTGGCACTTGGACCAAAGTTTTGTGATGCAACGTCAAAAGTGAATGAACTGAGCACGAAAGTCCAATTCGAGAATTTAATCGACCAGACGAAAGATCTGGTCCCAACTTCATATGACAATGCAGACCTTCTCAAATCAACCGTCTTAAATTGCTGTCTCGATTACATCAACAAAAAACCCAGCTTCCGTAAGGTACTTTCCAAAGAACATCGAAAGCAGCTGAAAGAACTGAAGGATAATGAAAACTTGATCATGACACGGCCAGATAAAGGCTCCGGGATCGTCTTGATGAACAAATCAGACTACCTAAGCAAACTCTCGGTGATACTATCTGATGATAAAAAGTTTCAAAAACAGTCTCCACAGAAAGATCCCACCGAACAGACGGAGCTCCAGCTAACAAAGATATTGAAGAAAATGAAAGACGAATCCATTATCAGTTCAAAACTATACGAACAACTGCGTCCATCTTGTTCTACAACGCCGCGCATGTACGGCTTACCTAAAGTGCTCCGCCCAATACTAGATATGATAGATTCCCCATATCACTCAACCGCGAAATGGCTGGTGGAGATTCTCGGGCCGGTGAAAGAGAAGCTGTCAAGACACAACCTCCGTGACACATTCGACTTTGTCGATTCAATTAAGAATGTTTAAGTGGCAGAAAAGAAAATGGTCTCCTTGGGTGTCGTCTCTGTCTTCACCAACGTTCCATTGACAGAAACCGTATGTTTCCTTCGTGACTACATTCAATCCAATAGCATCGACGTCGGTATACCGATCCATTACCTGAAAGAGCTGTTACTACGATGCACCGTCAGCGTATACTTCAGTTTCAACAACGAAATATACAAGCAAGTAGATGGAGTAGCAATGGGTTCTCCCCTAGGACCCCTCCTGGCCGACTGCTTTATGGCTAGCCTAGAAAACAACTCCTTATCATCAACTATCGACGACCTCCATCTCTACAAGAGATACATTGATGATACTTTCATCATTTGTGATGAGAACCTGGACCTTGAAAACTTACTTCAAACCTTCAATAATGCCCACCAAAACATCGACTTTACTCTTGAAGCTGAATCCAACGGAATGTTCCACTTCCTCGACGTCCATCTGACAAGAAACGCCAACAACTCTCTGAAAAGGTCCATATACAAAAAGCCTACATGGAATGGACAATTCATCAACTTTCAAAGCTTCGTGCCCCTAAGCAGAAAGAGGAACCTGATATACGCTCTTTCCTCGAGGATTCGGAAGATATGCAGCGAGGAAGTGATTGACGAAGAACTGCGTAATCTCCGAGGAACCCTGATGGAAAACGGTTTTCCGCCCAGGTTCATAGACAAGAATCTCAAATCAAAGAAGACTTCCGAACAAGTCCAATCCGTCCCGAAGAAGATACTTCTGCTTAATCTAGAATTCAAAGGTGACATTGAAGCAGAAATCCTTCGTAAACGCCTCTGCAAATCTCTGAGGAAAACATACTTCGCCGCGAGCCTACGACTGACGTTTTCCTGCAAGAAACTGTTCAGCCAGAACGCGAAAGACAAGCTGTCGCATTGGGCCACTTCAACGTGCATATACCAGTTTACTTGCTCTTGCGGAGCTGAGTACATCGGCCGTACCATGCGCCAACTTGAAAAACGCGCTCGTGAACACTATCCAGCCTGGCTAGTAAAAGGAGAACGAAAACGTGTATATAGTTCAGTGACAGAACATCTGGTCAATTCAGGACATTCAGCGCCATTCGAAAAATCCTTCAAAATAATATACAAGATTCGATCAAACCTATCAAAGGGAGTAAAATTAAGACATCTGGGCATAGCCGAGGCACTAGCTATCCAAAAGCTCAAACCCACGCTATGTATCCAAAAGAAATACGTCCAACCCTTGTCCCTGCCATGGCCATCATAAACAGGTAATTCTTTTAGTAGTGACTATCCCATTGCCTTTCTTATCCAAACTTCCTGTTTATTCATGTTATTTTTAAGTTTTTCTTAATCCCTATTTACACTACCATATTTTCATATCCGAACTTCCTGTCTATTTTGTCATTTTATTATTTCTACATATTTAATCCCTAACTGCATAAACAATTATTCGTCACATTAGTTATGATCCCACTAGATTTTGTTTTCCAAACATCCTGTCTATTTTTGTTATTTCTACATTTCTAACCCCCAATTGCACAATATGTCAATCTTCTCAGTAATTATGATGCTACTTTGTTTGAGTTTTATCCGTCCCCTCTCCCTGTTTATTATGGCATTTTAATTCCTAATTGTAATTTTATTAATTTGACCCTTGACAGGAAATTATTCTGGAACTTTCCCGTCCATTTATCATAAATACACGAATGTACAGTCTAGTTGGTGACTTCATCGAAAAGGAAATTTTCTTTGCTGCAATCGTCTCTTCAACAGTATTATTTTTTGTTTTATAACCCTTTTTTAACGTTGAAGTGAAACTATTGACCACATAACATCAAACTAACATGTGTTCGTCTCAAGTTAGTTGTTGACTGTCATTTATATTGACAGAGGCTAACGAATAAGTTTGCATTAATCGGAGAGACAATCGTTTGTACAGATAGCCCTGAATATGGAAATTTCATCATAATCAAAAATATTTGAGGCTGACTAGAAGCTACACAAGAAAGTGAATTAATTGATTAATTGATTGACTGATTGATTTTGCTGCACTGAATTTTCAAGATAGGCTATCTCTTTCCTAAAACAATTAAATTACTGAATTAGATGGTGGGTTTACAACATTCAAACATAACTGCAGCTGACAGTTATCAAGCGGTTGCAATTCCAGAACAGTAAACTGACTTCCTAACATTCTGAAAGCACCTGAATCACATACGATTTATTACTTATTTACTTATTTTATATCTTGGCTTGTCCAGTCGGATATGGCGCTTGAATCTAGAGATTCGAAGTTTCATTAGCAGTGCTTCATCAACTCATCTCCACTTTGTTGGTTTATCTGTTGTCCTCTTAAGCTGTATCCGCGTTTGCCCATAGTCTCTCATCTCCTCCTGGCGACCCGTTGTCCGTCATGTCTCTCTACCTGTGACGATACAGTCATCTCTTCGATTGACTTTCTAGTCGAGCGATCGCCTGCTAAGCGGGCGATCTCATTCGACTGAGTGCCTCTTCAGTGGCGTGTGTGCCCAATCCATTACCATTTTCTCCTACATATATGTTGAGCAATCGGTTCTTGGTTGGTTCGTTCATTACCACAGTTTCTTGTTGCTAATTCTTTCTGGCCAGGTGGCCGGTCATTCGATCTTCTTCAGCTGTTAATGAAAGTCTCTAACATGTTGGAAATCCTTTTTGTGACATTAGAATTGTAAAATTTAAATAAAAGCTTACGTTGTATAAAATGCCTTATTTGGGTAGAAACTAAAGTGAGATTAAATATGTAACTTGAGTGACGTAATACATCTTACGGGATTGAGTAGTATTCAACTAAAATTGAGCGAGAGTTTAGTTATTAGCACCGGTAACAAGGGGTAGTAATTTAATGGGTAGAGGTGAGAGAAGAAAATAATACAATTAAGAGACAAAAATTACATATCCGATGTGAAGGCAGATCACGTCCATTGTAGATTTAATGATTTGACAAATCTCTTTTGTATGCAAAGTTGAAGATGTGAATTACCATTGCTTTTGAGGTTTGAAGAGATTTGATTCGTACTCTTTTAGGAAGATTCCCGTGTATTCTGTAGATGATTTTGAAGTTAGTTTGTGCGCTAGCTCGGTGTCCAGATCCGATCAATTGTTCCAAGATAGAGCTGTTGGAGGTGGGAATCCGTTTTATCCTTTATAAAACCATGACTATGGGTAAGTGTTCGATGATGCGTTTGGATAGCAAACGCTGGGTACAGCCGACACATACCTATCTGCACACAAGCAGGTGAATTGATGGATGTACATTGAAGAGGCAGCCAGCGAATCATTGGTCTCGTCTTTTCGGTTGTATCTCAACTGTTAGTTGTAACAGTAGGACTAGTATCGGGCCTTTAGTATTCTACTTCATACAGTGTAAATTGCTGGCTGCCTGGCTGGATTCAACATAGAACTTGGCACCGAAGTGCAGCAGTTCGAGTTGCCACCTTCCAAATACCACACAAAGGTAGACAAGAAAATGAGTGAAGAGAATCAATAGAGTTTTGACAAGTATAAGAGTGAAACAGAATGAGTAATGGTAGAAAGGAATATGAAGGTTAAAGAGACTGAATACATCTGCGTAAGCCATTGACAACGATTTTGAGCCATGTCACCTATTGTCTCCAGCCATTGATTCTTACAGTCCCGGAAGTCTGCATCTCCCTACCTGACTCAGTTCAACTGTCAAGGATTTCATGGATTGATGAGGCCATGTTTTTGTTTGGCCACCACTTACAGTTTTCCAACCTGCACCTATATCAGCTAGTAATGCCCGTCGGGGGAGGCGATGATTAGGCATGCGCCGCAACACGTGACCTAGCCATCTCAATCTATGTAACTGTATAGCCTCTTCGATTGATTTTCCCTCTTTGCCCAACACTACGCCTAACGTCAACATTACTTACCTTATTATACCACCTAACGTGAGAAAGAGATCGTAGACATCTGTGGTCAAAAACAGACAACCTTTTCATGTCTTCAACTCGTATTGGCCATGTTTCAGAGCCATAGAGAAGGACGGAGCGAACTGCTGAGCAGTACAGTTATTCAAAATATAAGTTTTATGAAAACTGCTGTTTCTAAGTAGTGTTAACATATGTATTCTTGTTTGTTTCTCTTTTTTTTTGCCTAGTAATAAATTCATTTCCAATGAACGGTATCGCCCAGTCTGAATTTGAACAGTTCTTAAATCTACATGAAGATCAGCTGATAGCAAGTGGAATACCTGGTCACTTTTGGTATAGATTACATGAAAAACTTGCTCATGAAGTACGCAATATGCTTACATTGATCCCTATCGGTTATGTAATCACTCCTTTCAGATATATGATGCGAATAGATGTGTAATGATGCAACAGATTGAGTATACAGACGAGAGTGAGAATGATGACGGTGATGATGCTACTGCTGCTGCTGCTGATAGTGATGATAATGAAGATAGTGACAAAGATTCAATTGGTGTTCTTCGACAATGGGATATTGTAGTCAGTGCTGACAAAGTTTCATCAACTGACAGTAATAAGTATGCCTAATATTATAAAGAATATATTATTCATTGGAGCTCTATTATACATTTTCAGTATATTCCTGATTGATCATGCATGGACATTTGAAGCGGGATCTATGAAACAAAGTCTACTTGCATTTCCTAATCTCTTACAACGAATGGCTTCATTAATGGATATTACAACAGACCAAGAAAATGAAGATATTATTTCAGAAATTAGTAGAAAAGTGTGGAAGTAAGCCAGCCAGCCGTGTTCCACCCTTCCTCTTGTGAAAAATAACTGACTAACTAACTAACTAACTAACTTTTGTTTTCTTCATAGATTTTGTCGACATTATAAATTATCAGCACAACAGAATGCTGCCTTACTATCACAGATACCGGAATTACAACATCTTATGTGGTATGTGCTTGATGAAGTTGGATCGCGTATTCAACATTCTGATGAACCTACAGGTATACATTATTATTTGTATCTTACTGAAGACTGTTCGAATATATATATAGGGGACTGGTTCATTCTGTAGGCTTCTCATCATAGATTTATACGTACGTTTGGCCTATTATCTTGTGCATAAATTCGAATAAATTAGATTAGTAGTGAAATTTCATTCCATTGAGCAAGAGTCTTGTTGTCTGACTGACTGGTTTCCACGTAGGACTTTGTAGAGATGTACAGCAGTTCGAGTTGTCACACCCCATGTAGCATACAAACCAAGAGAAGAGAGTAAAGAGAGAGAGAGAGAGGGAGGGAGCTCTGTCACACTTGCTTATTCAGGTTAATTCTCTTTAAGCATACAATGGTAATTAGGCTTCGAAACATTTATTTCCCCAACACAAGCAAATAAAACAGGATTCAATGAATTCAAATGAGTCTTATGGAAAGGCGATTGTCTACTTGTATGATGTGGAGCATTTTCCAAAGTGTGGTTGAAAAATTATTATTATTATTGTTCCCTTGGGTTCCTAGTGGAACATAGGGCTTCAACTGCACGTCTCCACTTGCTTCTGTCTTCTGCTTTTTTTTCACTTGCGTCCATGTTATTCCATACTGTTTCATCTCCTCCTCACACGATCTCCTCCATGTCACCCTTGGACGTCCCACTCGCCGCTTCCCTTTCGGGTTCCACTCGAGGGCTTGACGCGCGATGTCACTCAACGGCCTCCTCAGCGAGTGTCCAATCCATCTCCACTTCCTCCTGCATATTTGTTGGGCGATTGGTTCCTGTTTCGTTTGTTCCCATAGCTTCTTGTTTGTGATTCTTTCTGGTCATCTAATCTTCAGTATGGAGCGAAGACAGTTGTTGATAAAGGTCTGCAACCTGTTGAAAATATTCTTGGTGACCCGCCAAGTTTCTGATCCGTAAAGCAAAATTGACTTGACGTTTGTATTGAAAATCCGAATTTTGTTGTTGATGCTGAGTTGAGTGACGAAGATTTCCAGATTGGTTTCAGGTTGATGAATGTGTTTCTCGCCTTCCCGATTCTCGATTTGACATCCTCGTCCGTTCCTCCTGTGGTTGAAACAATGCTCCCCATATAAGTGAAAGAAGTAACCTCTTTCAAATCCCTCCCGTTGATGGTGATTGGCACTGGATGTTGCTGCTGCTGTTGGTTGGTTATTTTCATAACCTCCGTCTTGTCTAAAAGGAGTGCGTCGGCCGGGGATCGAACTCCAGACCTTGTGCATAGTCGGCGAGCGTCTTAACCGCTGTGCCACCGACGCACAATAGCTGAGGTCAAAAAGTCAAAAAGTTCAATAACAGCATCTTGTGGACTATGGAGGTGATATTGACGCTGTCAAGTCATTCACTGTTGACCGTTATCTCATATCCCTGTTTGGCGACTTGAACTGCTGCACATCAGTGCAAAGTTCTATGTTGAAAACAGACAGACAGCAGACAAAACAAAGACAGGAAGATGCTTGAGATTGCAGAGGCTTACACCATTAGAGTTTATAAACCAGGTCTCTGTGTACAAAAGGAAAGGGTGGTCACTCTGAATCTAATCCATGGTAATAAGTTTTGCTAATTAACTGTTATTACTATTAGTAATAATATTTTATTCTACCTCCTCTTATTATTACTATTTCTGATTCATTTAAAACTATATTTTGTCATTACCATTGTCTTAACTCTCTTTAACATTATTATCATGATTATTGTTAGTACTATTATTATTATCATTATTATTATTCAGTTCGCAATTCTTGAATTTTTAAAGTTCTACCACGCACTAGTAATTAATTGTTTATTGAAGTGATGTAATCAGGGCATAATGCATTTTATCTTAATTTTATATCCATGTATATGGAGTATCCAGTTGAAGAGGAGTTCTACCGAAATATGGTGAATTCATTAAATCCTGCTTTATTAAACTATATTAGACTGTTGGCAATCAGCAGTAATATCCTGTTTGTAAGTACAACGTGTAGTTTTATGCCTTTTGGAAGCAAAGACATATTTTTAATCGCGGGTCAGTATGAATAAGATAGGGAAATATTGAAAACCATAATTCACTTGACCGTTGTTTCGTCCCTAGACTTGGACTCACACATACACACACACTAAGGACCCCACCAGACGTCGAACCAAGCGCTCTTCATATTACGAGGTAGGGATCTGTCTGTCTGTCTGTCTGTTTTCGACATAGAACTTTGCACATATGTGCGGCAGTTCAAGTCTCCACACTCGATGTAGCACACAAAGGAAGAGAAGAAAGTAGGAGAAATGCATAATATAGACAGTAAACAAAGGTGTGAGACAAAGGAATAGTAATAACGAAGAACAAAACAGTTTCATCGGAAATCATAAGTCACAAGGAGTGGATGCATCTGCGCCACTGAGAACGATTTTGAGCCATATCATCAATTGTTTCCAACCATTGGTTTTTACCGTCCCGAGGACCCCAACCAGGAAGTCTACACCTTCCTACGTGGCTTAGACTAACTGCTGTGGATTTCATTGACTGGTGCCATGTTTTGGTTTGACCGCCGCTAGCTCTTTTCCAGCCTGGCCCTATATCAGCTAACATTGCCCGTCGACGAAGGCGATGACTAGGCATACGTAATACATGTCCTAACCATCTCAGTCGGTGTAATTTCACAGTTTCGTCGATTGATTTCCCCGCCTTACCTACCACTCGATGCCTAACCTCAATATTGTTCACCTTATTATACCACTTCACATGGGAGATGGAACGCAGACACCTATGATCGAACACAGATAATCTTTTCATGTCTTCTGCTCTCAATGGTCAGGTCTCACAGCCATAAAGGAGGACGGAGTGGACTGTTGAGCAGTACACACGCCTTTTGGTCGATAGTCGGATAACACGTCTACGCCAGAGACAGCGTAAACTGGTATATGCGAAACTAGCCGTCTGTATTCGTGCTGAGATTTCGTCGGAGATCAACCCGTTTGGGCTGATGGTACTTCCCAAGTAAGTGAAGTGGTCAACGTGCTCTACCACTTCACTTCCTATTTGTAATCTAGGGGTCGGTGTAGTCCAATCCTGCAGCATCATCTTACATTTTACAGAGGCGAATCGCATGCCAAACATGTTTACCCTTCAGACACTGGTTGTTTGTGGCCCCGTATCTGATAAATCATAATTATCAGTTTACATAACCAAGAGTTGTTAAAAAGTATAACTGTACTATAAGTAGTCATGATATTAACGACTTAACTATAGTTCATTTAATTTGGTTTCATGTTTGATCACCATTCATGGACCACTGATTACGGTCCCAGTGGTTGAATGGTCTACGAGTTAGCTTGACTTGTAACCAGAAGGTCCTGGGTTCGAACCCCAATGGGGTGGGTGCACACTTCCGATGAGTCCCAAACAAGGCTGAGGAAACATCTGGTTTACAATGGTAGTTCTCGAACAGGTATCAATCCATGATCAAACTTTGAACTGCCAAGCCCCAATCGCTACAAACTAACTTTTGAAGGTTTGTAGTCTAATGATGGTTGGACTTGTTTCGGATTGGTAAGATAAACTACACTATAGCACATTTCATGGTGCCGATACCCTATTGATTGATCTTGTTTTAAATAAGATAATGTTATACAACTTCATAATGCGAACTCTTTGTCTTTTTTCATTGCAATGATAAGGTTGCTTCTTAATTTTTTTTGTATTTTATCTTACTTATTTTGTCCTCAGTTGATAGTGTATTTCTAGCACTAAGAGTTTTATTTTTCATGTATCATATTTGATTTAATTGAATTTTAGAATGCAGGCACATCCAGATGACGAGTCCCAAATGGGACGAAATGCGTATCATATTTAATGTTTAAAAAGGTACTATTCTCAATAGAAAATAGAAATGTTACGGACTCAACGACTACTTGTATTTGCGTGCAGTAAGCGATGAGTCACACACCTATTATTGGAAAGCCGCTAATAACACTGCTCGGCTGTGCGAATCTTAATAAGTAGAATGGGGTTCGAAACCGTCACCCTTAGCGGTTGGTAGTCGATAGCAACACAAGCCACTACATAATATTCTTAGCCTTTATTATGGTCAAATGACATTTTTGTCAGCTTAAGAATATGCATAAATTCCACTAAATAAATCTTGGCTATTTATAGAAAGTATCTTTCAGTTCAATTTTTTCAGTGTTATTTTGTAAAAAGTGTGATGTATCTGTCTATTGACTATGACATATTTTCAGTGTTGTTTGCTGTTGTCATGAATTATCTCATATGTTTTATTTTCATAGCTCGTATGGTCCCATTCTATTATGTTCCACGTAATCTATGTTATTCTATCTTCTGGTTTGTTACTGACCTCCAAGAAGGTGGTAAGTATATTTTGATTGATAACTTTTTTCTCTGAATTCTTAACACTGTTGTGAATATTAGATGGTTGGAGGCAATCGACAGGAAGCCTTGCTTTACCTGGGTTTCGTGCTAGTCGGCACTCACCGGTCAGAAAGACAGGCGTATCTGCAACCATGAAGGAATTCATGTCCCTTCTGAGAAATTTGGACCCGCGTCAAACAGTGCTGCAGTCAGAATTCAGTCTGCACCAAACAAAGGACTAGACACGTTGCACTAGATATTAACTAGTGTCCAATTAAAAGTATTCAATACAGTCAGTCCTACAGGAGGTCAATCGCGAGCCCGAATAGCTCAGCGGTAACGTTCCTGACTGACTGCAGCACTAGGCGACGCAGATTCGAACCTCAAAAGGCACATGAGTCTCTTGAAGACTGCCAACAAGCACGAAACCTAGGTCAAGCAAAGCTTCCTGCTGATTCCCTTCAACCATCTAATAACAACAATTCACAGTGCATTGTGATGTCGAGCCACCTAGTGTCATGGCAGCCATAGTACAAACTTGACTGATAGAATTCAGTCCGTAGCAAAAAAATGACTAGACACATTGCACTAGTTACTAACTAGTGTCTAATCAAAAGTACCGTTGTGAATATTATTTGTTCGCGTTCTGTCTCCCGTGTGAAGTGGTATACTAAGGTGAGCAATATTGAGGTTAGGCGTCGAGTGCTAGGTAAAGAGGGGAAATCAGTCAACGAGGCTGTGAAGTTACATCGACTAGGATGGTTTGGACATGTGCTACGTATGCCTAGTCATCGCCTTCGTCGACAGTGGGTAATGTTAGCTGACATAGGATGGGTCAGGCTGGAAAAGAGCTATCGGCGGTCAAACGAAAACATGGCACCAGTCAATGAAATCTACAACAGTTAGTTTAAGCCATGTAGGGAGGTTTAGACAACCTGACTGGTTGGGGTCCTCGGGACGGTAAAAACCAATGGTTGGAAACAATTGGTGATATGGCTCAAAATCGTTCTCAATGGGTGGCGCAGATGCATCCAATCCTTGTGACTTATAATTCCCAATGAAACTATATTGTTCTTCGTTATTACTATTTCTTTGTCGCACACCTCTGTTTACTGTCTCTATTATGCATTTCTTCTACTTTCTTCTCTTGCTTTGTGTGCTGCAAGGAGTGTGGAGACTTGAACTGCGGCACATATGTGCAAAGTTCTATGTCGAAAACAGACAAACATACAGACATATTATTTGTTCGAGTATGCAATTGTAGGGTGTAGTTCCGATGACCGTAATAAGCCAGATATAGTCTTCTTATGGTTGAAATGGCCTATGGTCACTTATACGTAAACTTTTGAGGATTCAAAAAAAAATCAATAGTTGAAAAATAATTAAGAGGATAACATATGCGACTAACTGATGAAGTATTTAGGCATTCATAGTGTTTAGAGAATATTATAACGTAATAGGAATGTCCTTTCTTCTGTGAATACATAGAGGGGAGTGCACACGCTCTCTCCCTGCATAGCATATATATGTGTACTCACACTTGTGACTGGACACCAGTTACTAACTAGTACTCTCAATAATGTCTTATATATGTGAATATTCTTAAGAAAGAAGTTAGTTGCTTGGAACAGGGAGTGGAACATTGGGTTTCATGCTAGGCCTTTTAGGTTTTGGTAGCAGTATCTTTATTTTTACGCAGGTGGGCTTGCTGGCCTCACACCCAACCTTCCCTATTTACTGGCCTTACTACTGGCTATACGAGGTTTAGGAGTGCGTCCGTCGGCCGGGGATCGAACCCTGGACCACTTTAGGTGGCAAAGTTAAACTTTAAGCACTACTAACTACGAATCACCAAATGACCTCGAACGCACCAGTCACGTGAAGGAAGCATTTTTGTGTATGTGATACATATATTTATGAGAAAAAGCATAAAAACTGTATAAAAGTGTTACAGAGGATATCTTTCAGTTGTAGGTTGGAGTGTCAACAGATTATAATTCCATTGTGGGTAAAATTTATTTTGATAAAGTTTCATAGTGCTATACAGTAGTATTTACTGGGTAATAGATTGTGCTCGAAACGTCATCAGTAGATATTACTGCATAACACTGTGAGACTTTATCAAAATAAATTTTACCCACAATGGAATTATACTCTACTACAGTGCATAAGTTCTATTCTTATATCAACAGAGTAATTTAACCATACTCTATACATGTAATTGTTTAGGTCTTCTAACCCTAATAATGACCCTAATCTTTCCTAAACCTAGCCCTAAAGTGAAAATATGCCTAAACTAATCCTAATGTCACCTTTAATAGGTTAACCTAACCCTAACTTGTCCTTGACCCAAACCATAACTTAATCTTTCCCAAACCTAAGCTGAAACTTCCCAGATATCACATTTAATAACCTAACACTTCGATGAACATGTTTAATTGATGATAACAACATTACACTTGCTAGGTTTCGCTAACTTGCTCAATGAGCTTTTCAAGGTCATTTCTGCGGTCGCACTCCATTGGTAGAGTTAGTGGTGCTTAAAGTTTAACTTAGCCCACCTAACGGTGTGAATGGCAAGTGCTCTACCGCTGGACCACTGACGCAGCCATTCAACCCAGAGGTTGTGTAAGGATAACTCCTGTCCCTGAGGAGAAATTGAGTTTTTTTTGTAACGTCGTGTATAATGTACATTTCGTTGATAAATATTCATCACTAGGAAGAATAAGTTAGTTAATCAAGACATTCAATCAGTTGCTCAGAAAAGCTTAATATACATGAAAAAGTAAGGTGTACACAGATTGATGTATACAATATCATACAATATCTATGGCTCTGAAACATGGCCAATACGAGTTGAAGACATGAAAAGGTTGACTGTTTTTGATCATAGATGTCTACGATCTCTTTCTCACGTTAGTTGGTATAATAAGGTAAGTAATGTTGACGTTAGGCGTAGAGTGTTGGGCAAAGAGTGAAAATCAATCGGCGAGGCTATACTGTTACATAGATTGACATGGCTAGGTCACGTGCTGTGGCGCATACCTAATCATCGCCTCCCCCAACGGACGGGCATTACTAGCTGATATAGGTGCAGGTTGGAAAAGAGTAAGTGGTGGCCAAAGAAAAACATGGCCTCATCAATCCATGAAATCCTTGACAGTTGAACTGAGTCAGGTAGGGAGATGCAGACTTCCGGGATTCTAAGAATCAGTGTCTGGAAACAATAGGTGACATGGCTCAAAATTGTTGTCAATGGCAGCAGATGTATTCAGTCTCTGTAATCTTTCATATTCCTTTCTACCATTACTCATTCTTTTTCACTCTTATGCTTGTCAAAACTCTATTGATTCTCTTCATCACTCATTTTCTTGTCTACCTTTGTGTGCTATTTGGAACGTGGCAACTCGAACTGCTGCACTTCGGTGCCAAGTTCTATGTTGAATCCAGACAGACAGACAATATCATTCGATTGCTTTTTTTCAATCATCCTTCAGAATTCTTCGAATTTCACTTCATTTTTTGTTTTTATTTTATTTAGACAGTGTAACTATTGACTACATAGAGCATATAAAAGATGCTGAATTACGACCTTACTACTTACTCCCCTGTCAACCGGTAGATTTTTCTAGTGGGCCAGTTGAACATACCTATGTATTGACAAATGAGTTTTTCACAGTAAGTTGAAGGTGAAATATTTGCATTATTTTCACACACACATATGTATATTGTTTGTGAAGACTTTTCGTATTATTTGCCCTTTGCTCTGTGACCACACAACCGCAAATGGTTCATCTGTTTCCGATAACCCTAGAGGAAACTAACCTCTGTAGTGTTGTGATCAGTCACGAAGTGTTAACTGCCCAAAGCCGCCTGTCACAAGCCCACAAAAAGCTTATCTGATTGATTATCACTTTCACTTCTATTTACTTTCACAATCAACACTAACAATATACAGCCAGTTCTCTTCATAAGTTTGAACAAAGAAATAATGAACATACTTACAGGAGAATACGAACACGTTTTATTTTGCGGAGTCTCTTCAACTGCATACATCCTAAAGAATATCAGAACTTTTGGGATCTACTTTTCTCACAGTGATGTGTCGAGTTATAGACAGAAGATATAGGCAACAGAATTTCAAAGATGATGTAAACTAGATAAATTATTCAGTGTGAAAAGAGTAACTTTATTTTCTATAGTTGGTTTGCATGGATTTAGTTTTGTTTTTACGAGTTGATCACGGATTGATATAAGTTAGAGAACCATTGAAAACCAGGGAGTACTGGAATTCTAATGAGAAGTCGTGACCAGTGAGGTCCATCCAGTCACGCGTGGGGATGGACGTCCCACTGATGACATTGGTTGGGGTTGCGCTAAATCACGAATCGGTAGAAGTTGAAATTCATGGGCTGGCCATTGAATCGGGTCCCAGTGGCTGAATGGTATACGAGCTGGCTTGCCTTGTAACCGGAAGGTCCTGGGTTCGAACCCTTGTGGTGGATGCGTACTGGCGATGATTCCCAAACTAGGATGAAACAGCTGTCCAGTAGTCCAATGCTGGTTTTCAATGGTTCTCTAACTGATATCAATCCGTGATCAACTCGTAACTGTTTATGAGTTCTTTACTATTCACCCCCACCCTCCCGAACCATCCAACATAATATGTATAAATTGATTCTGTTGTTATATCTTTAGTTCATCCTTGTTTTCAAGCGAAATCTGAACTCTTCCCCCCTAGTCTAATTATTATATAAGTAGTTACTCTTCTAACACTCAATAATTCGTCTAATTAAATCATCTTTGGAATTATGTTGCCTATAGTTTTTATTACTAACTTGACACTCACTATGAGAAAAGTATGTTCAAAAAGTTTGAAACTTATATTTTGATTTTATTTACGATGTATGCAGTTGAAGAGACTCTGTGAAATAAAATGAGTTCGTATTAACCTGCAAAAATATTTGTGCCTTCATTATTCAAACGAAGAAATGCACCAACTTGATGTTACGATGATGATGTTAATAATAATGATACAAAAAGAAAGAAAAATACAGGGGATAGTAGGATGAAATTATAGATTATATTGTATGTATTACAGATTATATTCAAAGGGTAATTCCTCCGTTTGTATTACTTTGGATATAAGAAACTAAGAGGCTTCTAGAAAATAAACAATGTTTAGATTCTGTGATCGAGTATTGGTTTTTAGGGATTTGATTGATTGGTTACAGGATTGCATCATGGGTTGACATTGGTTAGAAAACCATTGGAGAACCTGGGAGTGCTTTACAACTGTTTCGTTCTAGTTTGGGGCTCTTCATCAGTACGCATCCATCGGGGTAGGTAGTTATTTGGGTTTCTAGTACGGAATCGTGACCAGTAGGGTACAACAGGTTGGGCGTGAGGACAAATACTTGCCGAAGACATTTGCTAGTGGACGCGCTATGTTGTGAATTGGCAGAGGTTGGAATTCGGGTCGGGTCCCAGTGGCTTAATGGTCTACAAGCTCGCTTTTTAACCAGAAGGTCCTGAGTTCGAACCCTGTCGGTGGATGTGTACTGATGAAGAGTCTCAAGCCGGGTTGACGAAACAGCTGTCCATTACTCCCAGGTTTTTCAGCGGTTCCTGTAACCATTCTATGATCTATTTGATATAATCGGGAGTCACTGTGTGTTTGCGTTATCTTTCCAACCTTACTACAGTCCTTCACATCACAAAAAGTTACTCGTGGTCCGACTGGTCCTTCCAATTGGTGATGACAATACTATTACACTGCGACGACATTTGTTCAAGCTTGCACGCACAGTCGAACCATAAATCAACTAATTTGGTGTCATCCCTGGATGCAGATAATATTATAAAGACAGTGGTTATTAAACACACAGAAGTTTTGAGCATCTTCAGTTCCGGTAGGACTCAAGTTTCATAGGTGTAGAGTATAAAGGAGTTATAAAACTGGCTTTTGGTGACTAGATCTAAGTTTTACAATACTTGAGTATTAATGCACAAGTTGCATTTGTGTTGTAGTGAAATCAACAGGGTAAAATTAGCTGAACACTACTGTCTATTTTCGTTGGGGGGCCTTACTCTATCTGTCTATCAAATCTGTCCGTTTCATCTTTCAAACTTCTTCCGTTGATAGTGATTGGTGCTGGCTGTTATTGCTGTTGGTTGGTTATTTTCACCACCTCCGTCTTCTCCATATTCTCATGAAGTCCTGCCTTTTCTGCTTCCCCTGCCGACTTGTTTGACACTAGACATAGATCAGCCGCAAAATCTACATACTCTAGAGTCTGTCCGTTTCACTCTCTCTCGGTCTCCGTGTTGATATTGACGAATGAATGAGTTATCAACGTGTAACGTTATTAAATAATTGAAAATTTAATGCTTATTTCATTCAGTTATACTGATTAAAATGACAAGTGAAAGTTTTAATTGTGAAAAGAAAATCTTTCCCATTTCTTTTTTGTTGTTGTTTATTTTTTGTATGTAGTCACACAGAATACAAGAAACACTGCCTGTAGTGTGTCGATCTGAGGAGATAATTGAACGGGAGACACTATGTGTCTATGCAGATTTAGAACAAGTTAAAAAGTATTTAACTCATCCGCGGTTTACTTTTGTCGATTCACCGGAGAAAGCTGATATTTTATGGATGCATGAACATTTTAAAGAATTTGAGTATGTCAACCTTATAATGTGATAATGATTAGAAATTTTTATATTCTATCGTTCAGTTTATTATGTTATTGTTATCATTATTGTTCCCTTGGGTTCTGACTGGAGCATAGGGCTTCAACAGCACATCTCCACTTTTTATTGTTTTCTGCCAGTCCTCCTTAGTTGCCCCCACGTTTGCCCTTACTCTCTCGTCTCCTCCTCACACGATCTTTTCCATGTTACCCTCGGACCAACGGCCGTCTTGTCATTTCCCCCTTGGGTTCCCCTCAAGCGATGGCCTAGCATGCGATATTATTAAACGGTCTCCTCAGTGGCATGTATCCACTTCATCTCCATTTTCTTCCACATTATTTGTTGAGCTACAGTTTCTTGGTTGGTTTGTCCTTTGCCAGAGTTTCTTGTTGCTAATTCTCTGTAGCTGGCCATCTGATCTTTATTATGGAGCCAGAGAAGTGGTCAGCTGTTGATAAGGGTCCACCGTAGTCTGTTGAAAATGCTTCAGGCCAAGTTTCTGACCTATATAGAAGAACTGACTGGCCTAACAATAGTGTTGAACGGAATCCGAATTTTGTTCTTTATGCTGGCTGAGTGAAACCAAAGATTTACAAACTGGTTTCAGGTTGATGAAGGCGTATCTTGCCTTTCCGATTGTGGCCAACTTTGTCATCTTCATCCATTCCACCTGTGGTTGAAACCGTGCTTCCTGACCAGATTAATCACACTATCTTTCTGTATACACAGAAATTAGGTTGAAGTCGTTTGATAGCAATGGGTTCTATAAAACAAAGTAGCCAAGGTTTACGTGAAATGCACGTTAATTGGCAAATAAGATTGGAGTTAACATGACCTTTAGTATATCTAGAAAGACAATGTGATTCATTTCGAATTACACTGGTAACTATATCTCTCCGTTTTTTTTCTTGAGTCACAATTTTTTATTGAGTGTTGCTTTTACTGCTGTTGCTTCGAACCTCAGTCGGTGCGTACTGGCGATGAGTCCCAAACTAGACTGACGAAACAACTGTCCAGTACTCGAGTGTTGGTTTTCAATGATGATTCTATAACTGATGCTAACTCGTGATCATGGATATAACATAATCTTTATTCAGTTTTGCTGCTGCTGCTGGATTCAACATAGAACTTGGCACCGAGGTGCAGCAGTTCCAGTTGCCACGTTCCAAAGAGCACACAAAGGTAGACAAGAAAATGAGTGTAGAGAATGAATCGAGTTTTGACAAGTATAAGAGTGAAACAGAATGAGTAATGATAGAAAGGAATATGAAAGATTACAGAGACTGAATACATCTGCGTAAGCCATTGACAACGATTTTGAGCCATGTCACATATTGTCTCCAGCCACTGATTCTTAGAGTCCCGAGGGCAGGCCCCAACCCGAAAGTCTGCATCTCCCTACCTGACTGACTCAGTTTAACTGTCAAGGATTTCATGGATTGATGAGGCTATGTTTTTGTTTGGCCACCACTTACTCTTTTCCAACCTGCACCTATATCAGCTAGTGATGCCCGTCCGTCGGGGGAGGCGATGATTAAGTATTCGCCGCAGCACGTGACCTACCCATCTCAATGTATATAACTTCATAGCCTCTTCGATTGATTTTCCCTCTTTGCCCAATACTCTACACCTAATGTCTACATTACTTACCTTATTATACCACCTAACGTGTGAAAGAGATCGTAAACATCTGTGGTCAAAAGCAGACAATCTCTTCATGTCTTCCGCTCTCAATGGCCACGTCTCACTACCATAGAGAAGGACGGAGCGAACTGCTGAGCAGTATACACGTCCCTTGGTTGACAGTCGGATGTCACGCCTACGCCAGAGACGGTGTAATTTAGCGAAAGCAGCCCGAGCTTTCTGGATCCGTGCTGTGATTTCGTCACCAATCAATCCGTTGGTGTTGATACAACTTCCCAAATAGGTGAAGTGGTCAACATGTTCTATCACTTCACTCCCTATCACTAAGCTAGGAGTTGACGTAGTCCAGTCCTGTAGCAGCATCTTACATTTTATAGGGGCGAATCGCATGCCAAACATACTTATTCAGTTTTAGTATACAGTCATTAGGCTGAACTCATTATTAGGTTTCGAATCCACTTAACTAGTTGTTCACATAATAAATTGGCTTCTACTTATGATTTCTGCTTACTCCTACCCTTTTCTCTTGAACCTTCCATCACACACAGTGTATGGGTAAACTTTAGTTGTGTGGTTATTAGTTGTCTTGTATTTTATGTCTCTTTGTTTCAAATAGCCTTTTTATACATATTACAACAAAAATTAAAAGTTACTGGAACACAATGAATAATAAATAAGTAGTATGATAAGCAGATATAATACATGTAATAATAGTAGTCCTTGTAATACTTTACAGTTGAGTTATTATTGATTTAAAAGGTCTATAAGTTCTTTACTGACACATCTGACTCTCTCTTCACACACAACGTTCATGCTAAATATGGTACGAAACACAAAATAATTGAGCAAAGATTATCCTACATCAAAAGGTCAGTATACACACTTTTTCAGCTTCGTGCCCTTGAAATACAAACGCAATCTTATAAAGTGCTTGGTTCACAGAGCAAGAGCGATCTGCTTGGATGAATGTCTTGATGAGGAACTTAATAATATTATATGGTTGCTGAGTGAAAGTGTTTATCCAGAAAAGTTTATTGATAAGAATAAGAATCTAAAATCAAAGCAGCCCAAGGTACCGACAGTTCCTAAAAGGGCCTTATTCTTACAAATGCAGTTCCTTGGGGACAACATCAGCGAGATTCTAACACAGCGCCCTAGAAATGCGGTAATAAGAGCATTCCCTGCTGCCGAACTGTTCTGTCTTCAAAACCATTCCCCTTTTGCGTTCGGGAGCAAAAGACAATCTGCTTAACCTCGCCTCTTCCAGGTGTATCTACCAATTTGACTGCTCCTGTGGAGCCAGTTACATAGGCCGTAAAATTAGGAGTGTTTCTCGTCGAAGTTCCGAACATGACTCTGTGTGGTTAAGCAAAAGATAAACAAAATCTATTCGACGTGCTATTCTGTCTCATCTTGTGGAGACAGAACACAAGGTTGAAGTTAACCATGCTTTCAGGGTAATTTACCGTATACCTACGAATCTCAATTTCGCCTTTAGAGTTCGACTACTAAATATTGCTGATGCTGTTGGGATCCGTATTAACAAGCCTAATTTGTGCATCCAAAAGAAGTTAGTTCAGACATTATCCTTACCGCTTGGCCATCTAGGTTTGAATGATCCTGAATTTTGGTGGAATTTTCCTAATTTTATTTGATATTCTGTTTACTATTATGTCTTTATTATTATTATAATTTAAACATCTTTAGTGAACTGCAATTCCATTGATCTCACTTTACAAATTGATATTATTTAAAAAAACACTAATATTTTTATTGACTACTAATCTAGAATATTTTATGTATATAAACATGCATATATAATTCTAGAGCCAGAGGAGGAGGAATTTATCGAAAAGGATATTCTTTGCTGGCTCAATTATTTTATGTTTTATAGATTTATGAATGAATATTTTCGCTATATTGAAATATGGTATGGTTGAATTGTTTTTATATTTTGCTGTAGCAACATAAATTCTTATGAAGTTTCTTCCTGTTTCACCCCAGGGGAGAGATACAAAGAGAAAGTTGTGAATCACAAAGAGGATGTTCGATATCAGAGAAGATAACTACTATAGCTAATCGCCTGCACAAACTAAGACTCCAATCAACGAAATGTCAGTTAGTTGAGTGCAAAGGCACACCCATCACTAAGCCTACTTACAATCTTCAGTGTTCCACGTAATGGGATTTTTCTTTTTCTTGGAGAAGTTCAGGGAAGAATAAGGGTGACCAGCAAAAAAGAGTGTGTAGAAAACACAAATGAGTGAACTGTAAGAGAAGTGGTTGAGTTATGCCAGTAGAGAGTCTCAACTTCTCTATGTAATAAGTGAAACGAAACATTTTCTTAGAAATCAACAGGATACGAGATGACTAACAGAGATTTGAGGAGAGACTGATGTCGAGATAAGGGAGATATTCGATTTACACCCTACTATCAGTGTTCAGTATTATACTCCTTTGCACTGAATTAATTTTCGAAGTATACTAATGTATACCCTTTGTATTTATTTACAATAATTTATATCGATTTTTAAGCTGTTAGCAGTTGAAGTAAAGCAATAAAAATAAAGAAAATCCTGAGCTTTTTTCTATCCTTCAAATTTATTCCATCTCGTTTTATTAACACGGCATAGAAGGTACATGTTAACTAATGAAAAATCAGGTAGCGCAGTTTATTTTAAACAGACCGCCTGTTGACAGGCTACCCTCGCAATTCAAATATTGTCGTTTCTTTTAATTTATTCGCATCATTCTGAAATTATTTATTATTGTTGTTGTTGTTTTATTTTGTTCCTTCTTTAGACGTTTATCAATAGATCGTCCAAATACATTTGTTAATCAATTCCCTGGGGAAAGTATTCTTACTGTTAAAGATCTATTGGCGAGTTTAGCAGCGATATTAGCAAAAGATAACTATGAACTATCTTGTCAATTGAATAACACGAATGATGATAATAATAATAATAATATCGATGAAAAACTTTCAACACCATGGTATCCGATTACATTTAATTTAGTCTATGAACTTCCACAGTTTTGTTCGTATTTTCAGGCAAAATGTGTAAGTTAATTTTATATTAAGACAGTTTGTTATCTTGTGATAATGTTGATAACATGCGTGTGTGTGTGTGTGTAAAATACTTGATCTCTAGGGTTAATTAAATATTGATTTTGCCATCTAAAGATGTACAGATGTCTACTGAATCAATAAGTGTAATTTCCAACGTACCTGTTTTGCTATTCTGCATGTATGTGCTCGTCATCTAGGTTGCTGTAAACTATTCCAGCCCAAAACGAAACTTTTCCTAATCAAGACAAGTCTCCACCGACCAATCAGATTCGTCCGAAGTAAAAGTTTATATAAAAGTAATGCACTGTTAAAAAAATAACTACTTAGAACAACGTTCTTGTTCATGTTCCAAGAAAACCTCCCAATTTCTTATAGGAGTTCTCGTAGTTAGGCCAAATTATTTTCTGTACATAAATTCCTCGTGAAAACTATAAATCATCGTGTTTTTCGACCCATTCATTCACCGCCGTGATTTTTTTTCTGCGATATGACTCCAGATACTTTCGATGGAATAAATGTGAGTCACATCGAAAGGATTAACGAGATTGTCCGTATGATTGACCACTTTGTGGGATGATAGTTGGCCGTAGCCACTCCATTCGGCTGTGTCAGTATTTGTGCCAGGTAGAACTAAACGTTGGATAATAGGTAATAAAACATTGGGACTACGATTACGGATCGTCTGGATATATCCTTCGTACCTGGATACAAATCTACCAATGCAGCCGATGTATTTTTACAGATGCATCACACCTCCACATCTACGCATTTTCTCACCTTAGATTTAGATGAAATTTGCTACCTAATTCGTGTATAGCATCCATAATTCCGCCTGTATACTACTACAGATTCATCTGATTGGTTGCTGAAGGTCATTCATTCGTCCACACTAGGTAGTTTCATTTTGGGCTGCAATAACGTCTTCTATGCTTGGGACTCGACTTTTAGATAGTCGATTGTATCTTCTTCAAAGTGTAACACATCTATTTCAATGTAGGCAAAAGTTGATAGTGTTACAAGCGGGTATACATCAAGTATTGTTCCTATCCATTTTGGTTAAATGTAGAATACTTGACCGCGCATAATTTGTGTTTTTTTCGTTATTGCAAATGCATAAAATAATAATAGTAGTATGAAATGCAATTGAAACTAAAATTTTTGTGATTATAATCACAATTAAATGTCAAGTGACAAAACAAATAATGTCATATATAGAATAATTCAAAGGATGTATACAGGGTGCAGAGGCATTTCTGCATGGTTACAACAGATGTAAGAGGAGCTATAAAAGGCACGACCATTGAAAACATCTAGTCGATACTGATCACCATATCTCTACAGCCTCCTCCTCTGAAGTCATCTAAAAGGTGACAAATAGTTCGCCTAAATCATTACGTATCCTACACATCTGCATTGCTGAAACTTTGACCATCGGTATAGAAAAGCGGGATCTCTGTATACAGAAACAAAATCGTTCAACCCCTCCGACTATCATGGTCTTAATCTTCTTAAGTGTGCTAATCCCTAATCCTATTTTGGCTCAACTCATTTTTTCGTTTTGTTTATTCATTTTGTATACTCTTCCTTTATTATGTCGATTGTTACTATTACCATTCTCACTTTGAACTGTCTCCGGTATTATTTCACTTGTTCCACTTGTCATTCTAAATCAATTCTGTTTTGCAACGTTACATTCTACGCTACCGAATTTCACACAACATTACGTAACGTTTTTATTTTATTCGATTTGCCTACTAGTCCTTTAATTGCACACCCTTTTCAACATCTATACATCCTATGAATTATTCTATGTATGACCTTAATTGTTTTGCCACTTGACATTTAACTATGTAATTAAATTTCATTCTACTATTATTATTTCATGTGTTCACACCTTTGATCCAATTCCCTCACCCGATATAATTTCTTATAAAGGGTATATATACGATTGTACAGCCTGATAATAAGTACGTTGAAAAGAGTCTTTTCGCTGAATAACTTGTTTTGATTTCCTATATGTTACAATGGGAATTTTCCACGAATCAAAAATTAAGTATTTTTGCGATATATATATATATATACTAATGATTGATATGTGAATAGCTGAGAGCCACTCATATCAAGCAGTGACGCCTACTAGTCAAATTGTAGTGATTTAAACACCGGGTAGTTGTTTGGTTCATGTTTCGTGTTTACCTTCCTTCGACCTGGTCGACAAGCACCACTTTTAGTGGCTGATGTGGGTGGTTTCCAGCTAATTTATTATTATTTTCCTTCGCGTTCCCCAGTGGAACATAGGGCTTCAAGCTAGTGGCTTGAAGTTTCTGTAGCAGTGTTTATTTTACAGGATGGGGTTGCTAACCACATGCCCAACCTTTCCTCTTTACCAGCATTATTTCTGGCTTACTGAGGTAAAGGAGTGTGTCGGCCGGGGATCGAACCCCGGACCATGTGCATGGTTGGCGAGCGTCCTAACCACTATGTCACCGACGCACCTTTCCACCTAATAATACCAATCAGTCAATAGTATGTACCTTCCTGCTATTTTTCTTGCTTCCTAGATTGTCATTTGTGGTATCAAACGGACTACTTGTGATCCTAAGTATTCTTATTTATTCCGAGGAATTAAAAATAAACGTTTAAACTGAATTCTATTTGATTCTCCGTACTGTTTTGTCTTAAAATGATGTTTTGAGATTTGTGGATAGAAAACCCGTTGCCAACCGGTTTGTTTGAGCACTATTTATAGTGTCCAGAAGTGATAGTATCTATTGATCATATTATTATTATTCCTTCTTTGGGTTGCGAATGGAATATAGGGCTTCAGAAGCACATCTCCATTTCCCTCTGTTCTTGGCGACACCTTCGAACTGGACGCATGGTTGCACACAAGTTTTCGTTCCCCCCCCCCCACATGATCTCTTCCATGTTACCCTTTGACGCCTAACTCCTCATTTCCTATTCGAGTCCCGTTGGAGGGCCTGGCACACGGTGTCACTCGACAGTGTTCTCACTGTGCGTCCAATCCACCAACAATTTCTTTGGCATATATGTTGCTGGCTGGATTCAACATAGAACTTGGCACCGAAGTGCAGCAGTTCGAGTTGCCACGTTCCAAAGAGCACACAAAGGTAGACAAGAAAATGATTACTGAGCCTAGGAATTTAAAGACTATGTTCGTCAGGCTGATTCCTCTATGATTATCACATGAGGATATATATATGTTGGGCGATATTTTCTTGGTTGGTTCGTTGACAGACTTCCTTCTTGTTTACAGTTTCCGGCTGTCTGATCTTCAGGGTCAAGCTAAGGCAGCTATTAACGAAATTCTGCAACAGTCTGTTGGAACTGTTTTGGTGGTGGCACTCACACTGATTTGACTAGCACCTGTCTTGCCTTTCCAATCCTGGATAGCTTTAACATTCTCAAACCCTCATGTATCTCTTGTTATATTATTACTATATAATTGTTACCTTGGGTTCCTAGTGGGCTTCAACAACACATCTTCACTTTATCCTATTTTCTGGTGTCCTCTTTAGCTGGAGCCCACGATTCCCTATTATCTCTCATCTCCTGCATGTCACCGTCGGGCACACCCTTGACGTTCACCACTCGGGTTTCACTTGAGGGCCCGGCGGGCGATGTCATTCGACGGTCTCCTCAGAGTGTGCCCAATCCATCTCTATTTTCTTGTACATATTTCTTGAATGACAGGTTCTTGGTTGGTTTGTTCGTTGCCAGAGTTTCTTGTTTCTAATTCTTTCTGCCTAGCCATTTTATCTTCAATATGGGGGCAGCTGTCGTTAAAAGTTTGTAACAGGCTGTTGGAAATCCTTTTCGTGACGTGCAGTGCAAGTTTATGACCTGTATGGAAGAAGTGACTGGCGGACTTCACATTTGTGTTGAAAATCCGAATCTTGTTGTCCATGGTGAGTCAGTGCAGAAGATTTCCAAGTTGACTTCCGATTGATTAGGGTGTGGCTTGTCTTTCCGATCCTGGCTGATTTTGACATCCTCATCCGTACTGTCGCCTGTGGTCGAAACGATGCTTCCTAGATAAGTGAAGGAAGTGACCTCTTTCAAATTTCTCCCGCTGACAGCGATTGGTGTTTTTGGTTGTTACTGAGTTATTTCCCTCACCTCCCTCCTCTCTATGTTCACTCGAAGTCCTGTCTTCGCTGCGTGCTTCTTCTGCTGACTGGTAGGTTTTCGAGTTTTTGTGTGACATTAAACATAAGTCATCCACGCGCGAAATCCAGATCTTCGAGAGTTTTCTTATCGGCCCAACGTATTCTAGTCTTCGCACCCCCACAGTCTGACGCATAACCCAATCCACCCCAACCAGGAATATCATCATCCGTGATGATAGGCAAACTTTGGCTCCTGATACTGGAAATGCATACATGCATGACAAACTTACTTCATTATCGATAATTTAATATTCAGTAATTAAAACTTCAAATGTGCGTCGGTGGTGTAGCGGTTAGGACGCTCGCCGACCATGCACATGGTCCGGGGTTCGATCCCCGGCCGACGCACTCCTTTACCTCGCTAAGCCAGAAATAATGCTGGTGAAGAGGAAAGGTTGGGCATGAGGCTAGCAACCCCATCCTGTAAAATAAACACTGCTACAGAAACTTCAAGCTAGTGGCTTGAAGCCATCCTATGTTCCACTGGGGAACGTGAAGGAAAAAAGAAAACTTCAAATGACACAATAATTTAGTCTTGAAATGTTTTAGGAAAGGGGAGGAGGGTTAAAGGTTTACTTCTAACTCAGTGAAAACAATACAATCAAAAACAAGTGAGTACGTGAATAGCTTTCTAATACTGAGTTTTTATACTTCATACATATATTCCTGTTATAATCTACTCACTTACAGGATGAAATCGCCAATAAAAGAAGTGATGAAGAGACGACAAGTACGGAGAGAAATTTATGGATATTGAAACCATGGAATCTTGGCCATGGTTTAGGCATAATTATTACAAATAATCTTTATAGAATTATTAAGACATGTGATACTAACCCAATGGTAAGCTAAAACTGTTTTGATTTCTGTTAGGCGAAAGTTAATCACTGAAGTTTATTATGACTCCAATATCTTCTGATCAAACTACGGTTTTCTTTTTGTGAAAGCTATTGATTTTATTGAATTAAGATGCTCAGTGTTTGTTGGCATATCGATCAGATGACGAAGCCCATGTAGGACGAAATTCGCGTTCTAGATTCTAATCAACTAGCTACCTGCAGCTACTAAGTTACACTATGATTTCCTGAGTTTTCCACTCTTCATCAAAACAATACTCTATAGGTGGATAGATATAGAATGCTACAGGACTGGACTACGTCGACTGACTCCTAACTTAAAGATAGGTAGTGAAGTGGTTAGTGGAGCGTGTTGACCACTTCACTTATTTGGGAAGTCGCATCAGCCACAACGGGTTGAGCGCTGATGACAACTCAGCATGGATACAGAAGGCGGCTAGTTTGGCATTTTCCAACTTATGCTTAGTAGACAATATATCCGGCTGTCGACTAAAGGACGTGTTTACCGTTCAGCAGTTAACTGCGTCCTTTATGGCTGTGAGACATGGTCATTGAAAGTGGAAGATACGAAAAGGCTAGCTGTCTTTGATCATAGGTGTCTGCGTTCCATCTTCCATGTTAGATGGTATAATAGGGTGGGAGATGGTTAGGACATGTGTTACGCATGGTCAACCATCGATCACCTTCCTCGACGGGCAATGTTAGCTGACATAGTATGGATCAGGTTGGAAAAGAAGTAATGGTGGTTAAACAAAAACATGACTTCATCAGTCAGTGAAATCTATAAGAGTTAGTTTAATCCAGCCAGACACGTAGGTAGGTATAGACTTCCTGGGTCTCAAAAGTTTTAATTAACTTAATCACTACTAGGTGAAAGAGATCTTGTTGCACACATCACAATTCTAGTGGGAAGTCATGACCAGTCGGCGGTGTGAGGACAAATGCTCGTCATTGATGACACTGGCCAGTAGTGGTCACTCTATATCATGAATTGGTAGAAGTTGGAATTCATGGGGTGTGGTCATTGGATCAGGTGCCAGTGTCCTAATGGTCTATGAGCTCGCTTTGTAACCGGAAGGTCCTAGGTTCGAGCACTGGCAGAGTGGGTGCGTACTGCTAGGTTGATGAAACAGCTGGCTGTCCAGTACTCGAGTGCTGGTTTCCCAGTGGTTCTCTAACTGATATCAGCTCAGGATAAGATCCTGTAACCAATCGAATCAAATCCTTGCCACAAACCAACACTTGAACGTCAGAGTTTTTTGTCAGTCAACTTTGCTATACAAATTGTATCAATAAGCGAATCACACTTATTAGTCAATCAATAAACTTGATTACTGTTAAAATTATTATTATTTCTTTATTTCTTATCCTACATAGATTGCTAGTCGATATATCACTGATCCTGTTCTATTTTATCGTGATGATATACAAGCTAATGTGAAATTTGATATTCGTTATATAGTGCTGCTGCATTCTGTTAAACCATTGACTCTATTCGCCTATAAAGTATTTTGGCTTCGATTTGCAAACAAGTAAGTAGTACATATATATGATGATTGATTTTGTGTGTGTGAATCAAAACGGTGTTATTATTATTATATCCTATAAAATTCCTTTTTTTAAAATTAACAGAAGGTTTGATTATTTCTGAAGATGATTGGCATATATATTTTATATGCTGTTTTCGCTAATGGATGCCTTCAATCATTATTATTATTATTATTATTAGTTCCTTTAATTCCTAGAAGAACATAGGGCTTCAGCCGTGCGTCTCCATTGCGTTCGGTTCTCTGCTATAGTCTTCACCTGGCTCCAATGCTGCCCACACGTTTTCATCTCCTCTTCACATGACTTCCTCCAAGTCACCCTTGCACTGACGACCAACTCGCCGCTTCCCTTTCGGGTTCCACTCGAGCAATGGCTTGTCTAGTGATGTCACTTGATGGTTTCCTCAGAGTATGGCCAATCCATCTCCATTTCTTCCTGCCTATTTGTTTCACAATCGGTTCCTGGTTGGTTCGCTCATCGCCAGGGATTTCTGTTGCTGATCTTTTCTGGCCGGCCATCTGATCTTGAGTATTGAGCGAAGACAGTTGGCTGTTGATGAAGGTCTGTAGTTTGTTTGAGATGCTCTTTATGATACGCTGGCCAAGTCTCTGATCCACAAAATGTAGCACTGACTTCACATTGGAGTTGAAAATCCGGGGGGCCTTCAGTCATACTCATAGAATTATTGTTTTAGTTCCTACAAGAATTTATTTGTGAGGATTTGATTTGAGTTTTAAATTTGATCACGGATTGTTATCAGGTAGAGAAACACTATTTTGAAATCAGCACTGGAGTACTGGACAGATGTTTTGTTAGCCTAGTCTGGGACTCATCGCCAGGGTTCGAACGTAGGCCCTTCCAGTTACAAGGCGAGCTCGTAGACCATCCAGCCACTGGGATCCAATTCAATGGCCAGGCTATGAATTCTGACTTTAACCAGTTCGTGATTTTATAGCGAGTGGCACCAGACATTGTGTCACTGCTGGCGAGTATTTGTCCTCACTCCCGACCACTTGATGAACCCCACTAGTCACGACTTCGCACTAGAACTGCAGAGAGGCAATTCATCTACCTGTAGCCAGCCAGTCACTAGCGAGCATGAGATTTGAAACTTCGTATTTCGCTTCACAGACAGGCATTGCTTAGTCTCATATTCGTGTGATCACACTGAGTTAAAGTGAAACACTCGAAGCACAAGAAGTGATTAGTGTTGCTTGACCATAGCGGCCCGAGAGGCAACTGTTTGAAGCCGGGTGGGTTTTCGAGTTGTATCTGTATGAAGTTCTGACCGCCGACTAGTGACTGCCGCAGCATAATAATATTAATGATTCGGACGTGTTCAGAGTATGAAAAATTACCATTTCATGTAATTAAGCAAATACGAGTCAGCCAAGAGATCTCTTTCTATCGTAACTTCACTTCAAAGGTGTACAGTTATTTTGGGTGATTACATATACAATACACATTGACAACAGAGGTCAAAGGTTATTGTCGGTTAGTGATAAATCTAATCAAAGTGGATGAGTAGTGACTATTATTTAATTCAATTTTTAGATTTTCTCGTCGATTGACTGAACCGAAGTGTCCAGTCTCAAACTGACCTGCTAGCCTGTGCAGATGCTTCGACGATGTCCCGTTGTGTAACTTGAAGTCAGTTGGTGGATGGTGACTAGCAGGATGCCTATTTCGTCCCATTCGGGACTCGTCGTCTGGATGCACCTGCGTTCCCCAGTGAGTTCCCATCGAGGCTGTCGTGGCCCAAGTGGTCTAGTGGATAACGCTTTGGTGCTTGAAACGATAGGCACTGGGTTCGTGCCCCACAGTGAGAACACTATCACTCATTCACTGGGTAATGCAGGTACATCCACCAGCTGGTGAGTCAGTCCCAAGTAGGACTGCATCCTAGATTCCACTGTTAGTCACCATCCACCAATTGACTTCGAGTGGTAACTGTTTTTGAAAAATTTAGAATTGTCTTACGTCATCAAAAGGGTTGACAACTAATTAGTTGAGTGATGAATGGTCGTTTGCAAATGGTCGATAAGAGAAAAGAGGGCTCGTTATACTGTTACTCAGCAAGACAAAGAAGGAAGAAACATAAAAGAAATAATGCCTACGGCCATGGTAGTATAAGAGGCTGGATGAAACGTTTGTGAACACGATGAAGTTCAGGTTTCTTCTTAAGGATTGCTAAAGCTTCAGAAAAGATGTAGGCGTCGCTGACTGACTGCATCATCGGGTGATACGGACACGAATCTCACAAGGAAAATTATTTTCCCCAAGATTGCAGATACGCCATGTTGACGTATGATTGTCAACCAGCGGGAAAACCTAGGTGGAAGGCTTCCTGTCGATTGCACTTCGTTTATATCTATTTAGACATGGAAATAAAAGCAAATAGTTCAGCGAAGAGACTTTCTGACAATTTCATTCACTTAGCTGTACAGCCTTCCAAATATTTATAGTTGACTGAAGATGCTCATCATAAATTTCAACACGACTGATCAGTCGACACTATCCCCGCACTGAGAAAGACATCGCAGACTGACAACTCAGAAGGCAAGGATTTATTTCTCCAGGGTAAATTTACAGCTAATTCTCTATACTTACTTCACTAGACCAATAAATCAAAAGTTTGGGGTATAAAACCTGTGCGTTCACTGGATAACCATAGACACGTATCAATATAAACGTTCAATCATGTGATCTTTAATCTATATTGGGGTCAAATGTTCTGGTTCACAGGTCACATGAGAGACACTGACTAATAATATATATATATCTCCTTCAGTCCTGATAATTTAATGCCTGAAATTCAAGATAATAATTGTGACTAGAAGAAAATGTGAATCACATGACAATGTCTCAAATTGGTAAACAAAACGAGTGGTCTAAGCGCTGAAATTGCCAAAATTTGGTCGCATATATTTTATTTGTTTTCCGTTTGAATAGTTTGTTTCATTAATTTTGACGCTCATACAGTAGACTTATGTGTTAGTCTCCAAGTATGATCAAAGTTTATTCATGTTATGTACGAATGACTATTTTAGCTGTGTGAGGTGATTATGGATTAGCCTTTAACAATTACTGATATAAAACAAGCGACAGTTGTGAAAAAAGCAGCTTGTATTGAATGAATTCATTGGTTTCAGTAGGATTCGCCACCTGTGAGAATTTGAACAAAGCAAGAACTACAGTTTTAGCAGAATAAAGTGGTACCATCTTTTATTTCGTTGCCTTCTCGTCAGCTGCTTACAGAGCAAAGACATTATTAAATGTATCTACAAAAACAATTTTAACATACTTTCAGAACATGTACCAAAGAGCTTCCTTCTTAAGGGAACAAATACTTTAAACAGTGCCATCGCCAGGCATCTCCTCGTTACGGGTCATGAGGTGGACTTTGAAAAGTCGTTCAAAATTATCAATAGGCAAAAGAGCTCAATTTTCCTCAAGTTTGATGAAGCCATTTCCATCAAGCGCCTGAAACCTGATTTGTGCGTTCAGAAAGGAGCGGTTATCAGTCCTTCTTTGCCCTGGTAACTGGATATTTTTCATCTTTCTTTCATCCGAATGCGAAATGCTGAAAAGTTTCCATTGTGTATGATTATTCATGTTCGGAATTGTGTTTAATAGTACATATATATTTAGAAGAACACATTTAAGCGAACAATATTGTGCTTTCAATTAGATCTCATCAGGCTTAACTCTAATATACATGAGTTTACAAATAAAAATTCAAATATAAACCAATCATGTTTTGTCTATTATAATTATCATTACTACTATTATGACTAATTGCACAATTTATATTCACCATCGTATTATCCTATAGACAAAACACTATGATAAGTTGATATTTGAATTTCGATTTGTAAAGTTATTTATATTAGAGTTAAGCCTGATGAGATCTAATTGGAAACAATATTGTTCGCTTAAATGTGTTGTTCTAAATTTTACTATGGGACATATATATATATATAATTATTATTAGTGTATGCGTATATTGATCGATTGATTTTTGGTTAAAATGAACTCTGTGCAAGTATGTTAAAATTGTTTTTGTGAATATATTTAATAATGTTTTTGCCCTGTAGGCAGCTGACGAGAAGTCAACGAAATAAAAGATGGTACCACTTTATTTCGCTAAAACTGTAGTTCTTGCTTTGTTCAAATTCATTAAGGGGAATAAATGTATGAAACCTGTGAAAATACTCTGCAAACATTGTTATTTACGCAGTTTTTAAACACATTACTTAGGTTTCTGTCCATATATAGCTAGAGCTTCGGCTATGCATAAATGGAGGAAACGTTAGCTTTTGGAGTAAATGAATTTGGTCCTGTAAATAACTTTGAGAGATAAGTCAAGTGGGGCCCTCGCACTGACGACCCACTCGTCGCTTCCCATTGGGATTCCACTTGAGGCATAGCCTGGCGTGCGATTTCACTCGACGGCCTCCTCAAAGTATACCCGATCCATCTCCATTTTCTCCTGCCTACTTGTTCAACAATAGGCTGTTGGTTGGTTTGTTCTCAGCTAGAGTTTCTTGTTTCTAAGTCTTTCTGGCCAGCCAGCGAAGACAGCTGTCGATAATAGTCTGTAACTTGTTGGAAATCCTTTTTGTGACATGCAGTGTAAGTTTCTGACCTGTATCAAAGAAGTGACTGGCGGACTTCACATCTGTGTTGAAAATCCGAATCTTGTTATCTATGGTGAGTCAGTGCAGAAGATTTCCAAACTGGTTTTAGGTTGATGAAGAAGTGCATATCTTGCCTTTCCGACCCTGGCCTCCTTTGACATCTTCATCCATGCTGTCGCCTGTGGCTGCAACCTTGCTTCCTAGCCAGATAAATGAAGGAAGCCACCTATGTTAAATCCCTCCCGTTGATGGTGACTGGTGCTGGTTGTTGTTGTTGTTGCTGTTGCGGCTCCTTGGTTATCTTCATCACCTCCGTCTTATCTATGTTCTCCTGGAGTCCTATCTTCGTTGCCATCCTCTTTGGCCAGTTTGTTGCTTTTAGCCTGCAAGTCTTCGAGTTTGTGTGACATCAAACCTATATCATCTAGAGTCTTCTTATCGGTCTGTCCAACGTATTCCTATCTTGTCACTCCCCACAATCTTCCGCATTATCCAGTCCACCACAGTTAAGAATATCATCGGTGGTAATAGGTAGCCTTGTCTTACTCCTGTATTCACTTCGAACGCCTCGCTGAGTCTTCCGTTGTGGATCACCTAATACGTGGCATTGTCGTATAGCTGTTGAATAGGTTGATCAATATTTCGGGTACGCCGTAGTACTTGAGTAGTTTCCAAAATACTTCGCGGTCAACGCTGTCGAAGGCCTTCTCAAAGTCTATAAAGTCGAGGTAGAGATTTGATTGCCATTCCATGCTTTTTTCGATGATAATGCGTAGAGTTGCAATTTGGTCAGAACATGATTTGCCTTTCCTGAATCCAGCTTGTTCTGGTCGGAGTTCTGTATCCAGTGCGTTCAATGAGGTTGATAAAGATCTCGGGCACTGCACTGCATAGTGTTGAAGTAGTTTCCAAATCACTTCTCTGTGAGTGCTGTCGATGGCCTTATTATTATTACTTATTATTCTTTCAATTTTATCTGACATACTGTTAGTTTCCTCTGGATATATGCAAATCGAAAAATCATAGTTGAATATTAATCTTGATGAGTTCTAGAGTGAGAAGTCGTGACCAGCGAGGTCCATCCAGATGTCACGTGTGAGGATGGGTGTCCCACCTACTACGATATTGGTTGGGGTCGCGCTAAATCACGAATTGGTAGAAGTTAGAATTCATGGACTGGCCATTGAATCGGGTCCCAGTGGCTGAATGGTATACGAGCTTACTGGCCTTGTAACCAGAAGGCCCTGGGTTCGAACCCTTGTGGTGGGTGCGTACTGTTGATGATTCCCAAACTAGGATGAAACAGCTGTCGAGTACTCCAGATCTGGTTTTCAATGGTTCTCTAACTGATATCAATCCGTGATCAACTCGTAAAAATAAAAACAAATGTTTAAATTTTGTTATTCAATCCTGTAATATTGGTTTGCATATGTTAAATTTATCTTTGTGTTTTTTCTAGGAAGTTTCCTTGTATTTCAATATTGTTATCAAATTTACATGTTTCCTGTTTTCTTTTGTAGACCGTTTATCTTACAGGATTTCGATGCCTACGACAGACATTTTACAGTGATGAATTATCGTGATGCTGACAATTTGAAACAAGTAAGTTCTGCTAGAGTTTTCCCCTTAATATAGGGGAGAATATTTTGCTTCACAGAATCGTGAGGACGGTTTTAGTATTGATTCAATGTATTGTTTTTTAAAAAATTCTAATCTCCTCCTATATGCCTATATGAGCGAGACATGGCCATTGAAAGTGGAAGATGCGAAAAGGCTAGCTGTCTTTGATCATAAGTGTCTGCCTTCTATCTCCCGTGTGAAGTGTCATAGTAAGGTGAACAATATTGAGGTAAGGCCTCGGTAGAGTACTAGGTAGATGCGATGGGAAATCAATCGACGAGGTTATGAAGTTACACCGATTGAGAGAGATGGTTAGGACATGTGTTATGCATACATGGTCTAACCATCGCCTTCCTCGACAACAGGCAATGTTAGCTGACATAGTATGGATCAGGTTGGAAAAGAGCCAGTGGTGGTCAAATCAAAACATGGCTTCATCAGTCAATAAAACCTACAATAGTTAGTGTAAGCCAGCCACGTAGGAAGATGTAGACTTCCTGACTAGTTGGGCTCTTTGGAATGGTAAAAAGGAATGACGGCTGGAGACGGTCGGTGATATGGCTCAAAATCGTTCTCAATGAATATCGCAGATGCATCCACTCCTTGTGATTTATCATATCCAATAGAATTCTAATGTTCTTCCATATTACGTTTGTTTTCCCCTCACACTTCTGTTTATTATCTCTCTTCACTCTCTCCTCTTGCTTTTTGTGCTACATGAAGGGAGAGTGGCAAATGGAAGTGCTGTACATCTGTGCAAAGTTTGTGTTGAAACCAGTTAATCAGTCAGTTATTCTAATCTCCATCGTAATATTAGAGTAACACACAATTAGTAGGAGTTTTGTTATTATTATTCCCTTTTGGTTCCCAGTGGAACAAAGGACTTCCACAACACATCTCCATTTCATCATGTGTCTCTTTAGCTGGCTCCACGATCATCCATAAGCTCTCGTCTCCTCCTCTTCATGGCAAAACTCGAAAACACATGCCTGAAGAAAATGATCAATACCTTCGAAATCTATAAAAGATACGTCGACGACACCTTCATTATCGTCAACAACGAAGAAAATCTAGACGACATCTTAAAGGCGTTTAACAACTGCCACCCTGCAATTCAGTTCACGATGGAGAAAGAGTCCAACTCCACAATATCTTTTCTTGACGTCCAACTAACCAGAAGAGAACAGGATGGAACACTGAGAAGATCTATCCACAGAAAATCGATGTGGAACGGACAGCTTACTAACTTTCACAGTTGGGTACCACTATACACCAAACGAAACCTGATCCGTTCACTCAGCTACAGAGTTCGCAGAATCTGCACCCCGGACACCGTAGAAGATGAACTGGACAACCTCAAGAGAATCCTCGTCGAGAATTGCTATCCAGAAAGATTTATTGCAAAATCTATGAATCCTAGACCAGAAAAGCCGCCCATACTCAGCGTCAAGAAAAAACTACTCTACATGAACCTCCAATTCAATGGAGATCTATCTGCGGAAACACTAAAAAATCGACTGTCGCGCTCACTTAAGAAGACCTTCTTCGCAGCTGAACTACGACTAACCTTCTCCACAAAACCTATGATTCATGTGAACGTGAAGGATAAGCTACCGCTGCTGGCCTCATCAATGTGCATTTATCAATTCACCTGCTCGTGTGGAGCCAGGTATGTCGGCCGTACCCAGCGCTCGCTTTCCAAACGTATCACCGAGCACTTACCAGCATGGTTTTACAAAGGAGAAAATCGATGCCCCCGCAGTTCCATCTTAGAACATCTGATAGAATCCGGACACCAAGCTACACCGCAAACAAACTTCAACGTCATCTACAGAGTAAGAGGTGGTCTCCCTAAAGGTGTACGAATCAGACTTCTTCAAACTGCAGAAGCAATGGCGATTCACTTGCTAAGTCCTGAACTCTGCATACAGAAGAAGTTCGTTCAATCGCTACACTTGCAATGGACGTAATCTATCTTATTAGCCAACATGTAAATTCTACCTAATCTGTTCTTCTGTCTCTTCATTAGTATTATTTTGTCTTCTCAATTGTAACATTTTACATTCTCAACTTTCTTGTTCTCTACCCCCACCCGATTCAATCTCTACACCCCACTACCACTGTTACTGACTTGAACAACGCTCAGTTTCTAGTCATTCATGTTACGTCATCCAGCTTATTCACCCAATTTCACTTCTACTCAATCTCAACCTGTAATTACCTCTGTTGCTATCCTGACCTAAGTTGTAACATTTTAGCCAACTATATTACGTCATCTAGTTTTTTAACTCAGTCTTACTTTAGTTGCTGTCTGATTAACTTTGTCATTCTTGTATTAACTAATCAATTATCTAAACTTGACAAACCTCATGTACACACACACACACAAATATTTATATATAAATGCGATTGTACAGCTATGTGAATGAATTCGCCGAAAAGAGTCTCTTCGCTGAATGTCTTCTCTTTTTCATATGACTCAATGGGGATTTTCAATCTACTGATAATTTTTTCTATGCAGCCAATAACATATTACTCATTTAGTTTTTTCTCTCGTTTTTTGTTGTTGAAATTCTAGATCCATTGTGATGAATTTATTGAACTGTTCAACAAACAATATCCAGATTATCAGTGGTCAAATGTCGAGGTATTTTTTTATTTTTTTCGCAGCTCCTTGAAAGTTTTGACGCTTTTTATTCTCCTGTTCTATTCACATTGTGATACCAGATGTGCTGTGTCTTCGTGAGTCTGTTCAATCTACAAGAAACACCTTGTCTTGGTAGTAGAGTTGCGTTGGTCTATCATAATAAGCTGTTGAACAGTGCCTAGTAAAACAATGATCGTTCTTCTAGGTGGTTCTACTGTTTCAAAAGTACTTTCAGACTTTCTGAGATAAACTAGATTGCATAGGGGGTGTTGCTGTTTGTCTATCTGTCTGAAGTGACAGTAAACAAAGACTTCACATTTACGCTATTTGATTAAGAAACTTAAGTGTTACACGAATTGTGCATTGAAATTATACTGCCGGGAGGATTGTATTGTGTACACATAGTTTAGTCTGTATGTGATCAATCCAAATTGCTTCCATCACCTTCAATAACCTTGAATTAGAGTTATGTGAAATAATTGTGAAGCAGTCCTTTAATATTGATTTTGTGACCTGACATTAATAAGTGCTTTGCAATAGATTGTGATGGATTTCTATTCAGATTAATTGCAAGTGTCACTGCAACTGCAGGTGAACTTTGTAGATACAGTTTGATGAAGTAGAGTCCACAGAATTTCGTCCTTTAATCGTAGGTACAGGTACCGAAAATGTTCGAGATGTGAGGGAAATAGATGTGGCGTAGAATGTGCGCTTTATGCCTGAATCTGATTGTGAACCATGTTAGTTGTAAAGATGTTTGGAGGCAATCGACAGGAAGTCTTTCACCTAGCACTGCTGTCAGAATTCAGTATCCACCAAAGATAGGACTAGACACATTACACTAGATACTAACTAGTGTCCAATCAAAAGTTTCCAATACACTCAGTCCTACAGGAGGTCAATTGCGAGTCCAAATAGCTCAGTAGTAGCGTTTCTGACTGAAGGACTGTGTGACGCGGATTCGAATCTCTGAGGGGACATGATTTCCTTGAAGATTACAGATCCACTCTACTGACTGTTGAGTGCCCACAAGCACGCAACCTAGGTCAAGCAAGCCTTCCTGCTGATTCCCTCCAACCATCTAATAACAACAGTTCACGGTGCATTGTGATGTCGAGCCACCTAGTGGCATGGTGGCCATATTACAAACCTGACTGATTAAATTCATGCTGCACCAAACAAGGGATTACACACATTGCACTAGTTACTAACTAGTGTTCAATCAAAAATATAATGATGCTTTGATGAACGCTACCGTTACTCATCCAGGATGCGGATACATCTGAACGACAAGTCCCAATCAGAATGTAAAATACGTCATGGAGTCAATTGCTAGCCACCATTAAGAATAAGGCAGTAATAAAATACTTATTTATATTTTCATAATTTCTAGCCGGTTAGTGTTAACACTCGACTGTTTTGCCTTTCTTTTGTTCCTTGTTGAACACAAGGAGTAGTGATGGTGCTATTATTACGGGGTAAGGATGCTAGGCTGATGCCCTGTTTTTCCTCCTTGTACGGGATAACTATAGGCCAGTAAACTAAGCGAGCTTAATGAGTGTTTTATGGCCGGGACTAAAACCCTGAAGCTCCCGTGTGTATTCTACTGTAAAGAAGAAAAGACCGATGAGGCTCGAAAGCCAATGTTTATTAGGACAAACTCATTCTAGGTACATAAATTTCGTACACCTTATCTTCAATGCTTTATTTGCACGTCATTTGCAGCAAATTGGTCGAATATCAGCACATTCGATAGCTGAATGGATTCTGAATAGTGTTTCTAACATTCTTCTCACAGTTCTGTTCTTCGATTGCTTTATTCTAGTGACACCCAAAACATATTGTTACTTTTCTGGATTCGTTCACTGATATACTACTTATATTCGAATATAAGTAGCACTCACCACACTATCACTGTGAACTAACTTGAATTGACTACAGTAATTTATTGGCTTTAGGGATTATAACATAACTTGTTGAAATTATTCTTTTCAAATTCAGCGAAAAATACATCAACTTCTTGTGGAGATATTTCAAGGCGCTACAAAATATCCTGCTCCACGTGGTTTAACGCATAATTGTCAGTCACGTGCAATGTATGCCGTTGATTTACTGTTGGAATGGCGTCCAATCACGTCATCAACACTTCCAAGTTCCTCATCAACATCAGACGGAAGGAAAGATATCTTTCCTGTTGTATGTGAAGTGAATTTTTCACCAGATTGTGAAAGAGCTTGTCGTTATCATCCAGACTTTTTCAATGATGTATTCTCTTGTCTGTTTCTTAATCAATCACCTGAATTATGTAACATGAACAAATTAACATAATCTGATGTGACCTTTGTACATTGAACTAACTATTTGTATGTGTCAGCCAATTGGTTTATTGTAATGTTCTTTTTTATGTATCAAACTGTGAAGCTTGATTTATTTAAATTGTGTGAATAGATTGGCATTTTGCAATCAGTGGTTAATGAGATATCGATTTTCGCTTTAGTCAACTTAAACTTCATTTACAGATCCTATCACAGTGTCGTTAGTTTTCGCTCCAGTCGAGATTCGATCTTAAGTACATCTTCCTTTAGAGGATTATACTTCTTAAAAGAAGAAGATATCCGACTATCGACCAAAGGGCTTGTGTACTGCTCATCAGTCCACTCCGTCCTCCTTTATGGCTGTGAGACCTGGCCATTGAGAGCGGAAGACATGAAAAAATTAGCTGTCTTTGATCATAGGTGTCTGCGTTCTATCTCCCGTGTGGAGTGGTATAAAAAGGTGAGCAATATTGAGGTCAGGCTTCGGTCGAGTGCTAGGTAGGTGAGAGGAGATATCAATAGACGAGGCTGTGAAGTTACATAGATTGAGATAGTTAGGACATGTGTTATGTATGCCTAGCCATCGTCTTCCTCGACAATGTTAGCTGACATAGTATGGATCAGGTTGGAAAAGAGCCACTGGTGGTCAAACCAAAACATGGCACCAGTCAATGAAATCTACAACAGCTAGTCTAGGCCACGTAGGAAAGTGTAGACTTCCTGGTTGGAGTCCTCGGGACGGTAAGAAAACAATGGCTGGCGACATGGCTCAAATCGTTGTCAATGGCTGGTGCAGATGCATCCACTCCTTGTGACTCATGATTTCCAATGAAACTGTTTTGTTCTCCGTTATTACTACTTCTTTGTCTCACATCTCTGTTTACTGTCTCTAATATGCATTTCTCCTACTTTTTCCTCTTGCTTTGTGTGCTCCACGGGGGTACATGGCGACTTGAACTGCCGCACATATGTGCAAAGTTCTATGTCGAAAACCGACAGACATACAGACAGATACTTCTTAAAACAGACCGAGTGTGAGGACTGATAATCGCTAGGGTTAACATTGGGTAGTGCCAGTCGCGCCATATCGCCAATTAGAATTCATGAGCTGGCTATTGAGGAGTCGGGTCCCAAAGGCTGGATGGTTTACGATTTCGCCTTGTAACCGTAAGGTCCTGGATTCAACTCCCAACGGGACGGGAGTTACACACTAGGCTGACGAAACAACTGCCCAGGAGTCGAATGCCGGCTTTCAGTAGTTCTCTAACCGATGTCAGCTCATGATGAAATCCTGTAACTAATCAAATCAAATCCCTGCTGCAAACCAGCAGTTGAATATCAGACTTGACACCTTCAACACAACGAAATTATATGAATGTTTTACTTAAGTTTCAACCAGATAGTGAACGACCGGGAGTAACTAGATATGGTTGAAATGTTTTATTCATTGTTGTAGTCGCTTAACTTTTGAAAGAGATAATTGACCCGTGGTGTTTCCCACCTATACACTGACTAACCATCAGTCTTCTAACGGTTCGTCTCTTTGTTTATGTTTGAACAGGTGCCTCCTACTACCAGGTTAGGTTACTGCTGCTTTCTTTATCCTTGGTTTTTCAGTGCTGATATTGTGTCAACTTCTTGTCAGTTGTCTACAATCAAGCTACTTTTGGTTTTCAGAAACTGGTAAAATGCTGTACTGATACTGAGATGCACTGCCCTGTTTCAACCACTGTCTACGAGGTAGTAACAGTATTCATCAATGATTGGAGGGGATTGGTTGTAGTGTCAAGCTCGTTCTAGTTGTATCCCTTTTAACTGTAATACGGTAGTCTCGTCATTTGTCAAAGAATGGATGGTCGCTAACCAAACATTTGGTAAAAAAGGAGAGTTGGTCAGTCTGCTTAATCCCCCCTCCCACTGACAACAACCGGTAACGATATTATGTGCCTTATTTAATCAATGATTTGAGTTCAGTAGTCTCCCAGTAAGATAAATGTTTGGCGATACGTTTCGAAGTGCTGTTAGTTTTCTCTGCACAAATAAATCAAGCGATCCGTCGAACTGGGGCTTCGAAAGTAGCAACCTTAATATTCTTGCCTCCTCTCCTGCATTTGTGCACTAATATTCTTTTAAGGTAGCTTAATGCGGACTTTTGAGCTGGTTTTTTTCAGTGGGGGTTATCTTTTGGATTATCCCAACTGTTAGTTGACAGAAGTGTAGACCGAACTGTGTTCAAGATAGAGTCAATATTTAGTTTGACAGAAAAGCTTCTGCTTTCGACAGTTTTTTGTTAGACACACAATAGAAAGTTGTCTTCCTGGAAGTGAATTTCAAAGAAAACCTGGGAGTACTGGAGAGCCGTTTCGTCCTAGTTTGGGACTATTCAGCAGTACGCACCCACTGGGGCTCGAACCCAGGACCTTCTGGTTAGCAGGCGAGCCCGTAGACCATTGAGCCACTGGGACCCGGTCCAATGGCTTATGAATTCCAACATCTGCCAATTCACGACACAGCGTGACCAGTTGGGATTCATGGGCCATTGGATCGGGTCCCAGTGGCTCAATGGTATACGAGCTCGCCTTGTAACCAGAAGGTCCTGGGTTCGAACCCCGGTCAGCGCGTACTGATGAAGAGTCCCAAACTAGGACGAAACAGCTGTCCAGTAATCCAAGGTTTTCCAATGGTTCTCTAACTGATGTCAGCTCATGATGAAATCCCCAACCAATCGAACTAAATCCCTACAAAACCAATACTTGAAAATTCCAAAGAACGCTTGATTGATGCCAGTTGATCACCACCTGCTTAGGTCTCTTCTCTGTGTATATGTACAGAAAAAGCTTAACATTAGTGAGAGTCATCCGGTAAAAGGAAGTTGACACCCTAATTGTAAGCGCAATATCGCTTGAAATACAGTCACGCGTAGATAAAGGCTATCCCGGTCCAGGACAAACAAGAACTCGGTCACTGTTTCTAAGGTACTATTAATAAACAAATCAATAATTATATATACAACAAACCTTAACTGTTTCCAGAGTACAAAGCAAAACGCCTAACAGAAAGCAAGGTACCGCTATCAGAGCGGAATAACGTTAAAGCCAAAATTGAGAACTAGCCGGAATCAGACACGACCGTTCAGGTAAGCAGTCAGTAGAAGAATGAACCCAAGTAAGAGATAGACAGAGCATAGGCACAAAGATAGAATTTAATTGGCTACTTAACCAGGTAGGCTGATACAGATGAAGATCAATAAATAAGATCAACTTGACAGAATAGTACAAAGTAAGACATGGGTCAGCAAAAATAACAGTTCACAAAATACTCTGATTGGGTCGTGAGTTCAACGGTCTGACTAAACTGATCGATGTAAAAGCACACACACAGTTCATTAAACAAGGTGGAATAGACACGTTAGGCATGGATAATTGAGTTGCATCAACGCTAGGCTGATCCGGGACAGGTTGACTTGATTCAAGGATGGGAATTAAATTGATCTTACACTAATATAATATATGCTCGGAATATTGGATAATCAACTTACTTATGGACCAGTGAATTGTACGATTTTATCCACATACCCGACAGTATTACACCCAGTTATCATGTGAACATGTCAACATAATAAGCTGAGTCATCGTAATCTGCAATCACAAAGTAGCGCTCTGTCGGTTGGATCATAAATATTAATTATTATTTTGAATATGTCTCTCAACTTGTGTATTACCTGTGTTACAAAGTTGAAGTGTTCAACTTCCTATGAATCAGGAAAAATGTACGACTGGAATGTGGAGAATAGAAGCAGATGTGGAAAGACTCCATGCCAAGTGTGTTCGTCTTATTAATAATCTTATTCCTTTACGCTCCAGGTGGAACATAGGGCTTCTAGCTGGAGCTTTTAGGTTCCGTTGCAATAGTTTTATTTTTACGGGGTTGAAATGCTCAACCTTCCTTCTTTACCAGCTTAGCGATGTTTAGGGCTGCGTCGGAGGGGGACCGGTCCCCGAACCACGTGTGGCGTGGTTGGTGAACGTTCTACTGCTGAGCCACCAACGCACAGGTGTGCTTGTAGTGTTGTTGCGTAAATTCCCAAAAGACTAGCCTTGTGGTCAAACTTCAGACTAATAGAATCGTTCAGAAGTGGATATGAATACTTACCACAGCTTTGTGTTTCTTGTGTACCGATTCTACCGTATTCCACAAAGTGCTAAATTTAGAAGGAAGAAAGCTGTTAGTAATTAAGGGAAAAGATATAGTCTTTAGGTTATAAAGTGCTCCTTAGTGTGTGTGTGTGTGTGTTCATAGATTCAGTAGCTGATGGCGATATGTGATACTTTGAATCATGTAGATCCCGAAACTGGTTAAAATCAACGACTAGAGAGAGGCAGAGAGTCGGTTTCACATATTTTTCCTCTGCTTCCTTTCAATCCACTGCTGTGACAAGCGGTTAGGGTATGTAGACGTGCTGCTTCCCCTGCATCGATTTCCCCACCTTATTTCCTAAGAGTATTGTTTGCTGAGAGTTTATTTCTTCAAACCAGAACCCTAATATGAGTTCAAACTATGCACCAATAATCTTTCATAGAAAGCTCCTTACCGATATTATTAATAATCCTTCTTTATTGCTTACTTACAGCATTCATATATAATGGCCATAACAATAAAACTTTATACCCTCAGACTTTTGTATTCGTCTACATGTTTGCCTTACACCAAATCAAATACCCATCCAACAATCAATCCTACGGATATAAAACTCACCATTTCTTTCTATCGTGATTAGTTTGTCATTGACCTGCTACTTTTTGAAACGGTTATTGATGCCATATTTACGTTGATTGAATAATCAAACATTTCAATATGTTTTATTGAAGGTAAGTGGTAAAATATCACTCGGATGTTTTTCATTCACCATTCCTGACACCTATCAGCTGTGTGATTCCTGTAAACTAGTTTCCTAAGTTTATTCAGGTATTATGTAGTAAGAACCTTTTTAATCCATGTTGACATCTAATACAACACAGCCAACATTATTTTGAAGATAATATCATAATGTGCTTTGTTGTTGGTAGCTAATTAAGCGTTAAAACGATTTGCTTGATATTCAAGAGTTACTTTTCAGGTATCTGATTTGTTTTCATTTTGATTACGGATTGATATCAGTTAGAAAACTATTGGAAACTAGCACTCGAGTACTGGACAGTCAGCTGTTTCGTCAGCCTAGTTTGGGACTCATCACCACTACATACCCACACCACTGATAGGGTTGGAACCCAGGATTTTCCGGGTACAAGTCAAGCTAGCTCATAGACCATCCAGCCACTGGTTTCAGACTCAATAGCCCTAAAATTGATTTGACTGATTTCAAGAGAGATTGCATCACGAACCACCGGTGTCAATTGGTCAGCCGGGGGGCACTGAACAGTAGTTCTATTCTAATGTCAGTTCTTGACGAAATGTATAATTGATTGAGTTTGCCTAGTAAAAGCTATTCCTCACAAAAAAACTGGCAGTTATCGAGCAAGAATCAGTGTGTAGTTTGACAACATATATCACAAATCAGTCTACACTTGTACTATTATTATTGTTTCCTTTAATTCCTAGGGGAACATAGGGCTTCAGCCGTGGGTCTCCATTGAGTTCGGTTCTCTCCTAGAGTCTTCACCTGGCTCTAAGTCTGCCCACACGCTTTCATCTCCTCTTCACATGACCTCCTCCAAGTCACCCTCGCACCGACGACGCACTCGCCGCTTCCTTTTCGGGTTCCACTCGAGCAATCGCTTGTCTAGTGATGTCACTTGATGGTTTCCTCAGAGTATGACCTCCAATCCACCTGCCTCCATTTCTTCCTGCTTATTTGTTTTACAATCGATTCCTGGTTGGTTCGCTCCCAGAGATCTCTGTTGCTGATATTTTCTGGTCAGCCATCTGATCTTGAGTATTGAGCGAAGACAGCTAGCTGTTGATGAAGGTCTGTAGTTTGTTTGAGGTGCTCTTTATGACGCCCTGGCCAAGTCTCTGATCCGTATAGTAAGTAGCACTGACTTCACATTGGAGTTGAAAATCTGGATATTATTTTCATTTCCATGCTGAGTGCTGAGTGTTGACCTCCACACAGGCTTGAAAGTAGCGAAAGATTGTCTTGCTTTGATATCCTCGTCAGTTCCGTTCGCCTGTAGTTGAAACGATGATTCCAGGTTGGTAGGTAAAAGAGGTTGTTTCTTTCAGGTTCCTCCCATTTATGCTGGCTGATCGTTGTTGTTCTTGTCCAGGAATCTTCATCACCTCTGTTTTCTCTATGTTCACCAGAAGGCCTACCTTTGATGCCTCTTCTGCCAACTTGTTGCTTTTCGCTTGCATATCTTCCAGTTTGTGAGAAATCAGACATATATCATCGGCGAAGTTCAGATCCTCCAAGTTTTTTGTGTGGGTCTATTTTATGCCTGTTTCCTCATTGCCCGCTGTTTTTCGCATTATCCAGTCTAGTGCAATCAGGAAAATCATTGGCGATAGTAGGCAGCCTTGTCTTACTCCCGTCTTCACTTCGAAGGATTCCCGTTGTGGATTACTTGGCATGCAGCATTGTCGTATAGCTGTTGGATGAGATGTATAATTGTCGGTGGCACCCCGTAGTAGCGAAGTAGTTGCCAAATCACCTCTCGATCGACGCTGTCTGCTGAAGGCCTTTTCAAAGTCGATGGAGTTGAGACAGAGAGGTGACTGCCATTCCAAGCTTTGTTCAATGATGATCCGTAATGTGGCGATCTGATCAATACATGACTTGTTTCTCCTGAATTCAGCCTGTTCCGGTCGAAGTTTTTCATCCAGGTTGGCTTGTTTGATTCTCTCCAGGATGATGCGGCTTAGTATTTTGCTTGGGATAGACAGGAGCATAATTCCGAGCCAGTTCTTGCATTGACTTAAGTCTTCTTTCTTTGGTAGTTTGAATAAGTCTCCTTTCTTCCAGTCCTCGGGTACTTTGCCCTCTTTCCACACCTTCTCCAGTAGTGGCGTCATCAAGTCCGCTGTTGTCTCTGGGTCCATTTTCAATGCTTCTGCTGGGATTCCATCTGGTCCTGCTGCTTTTCCAGCTTTTCGCATCTTGATTGCCTTCAGGACTTCTGATTTCGTCGGGGGTTGGTGTTCACTGGTAGCTCTGTCTCCGTTGTTGGTATTGTTGGGCGCGTTGTCAGTGGTGGTCGATTTAGGAGTCTTTTGAAGTGTTCAGCCCAGTGTTTGCACTTGTACACCCTTACAACTTTAAACCATGTGCTTCACACTTAAATGTTCTCAACTTTTAAAGTTATCATTAATATGAACATTTACATGTAATGGTATTTATGTGTATCACTCCCTCCCCCCACCACCATAATCTTATTTTGATTGATAAGGCGAGTTCAGTTCAGCCATCCAGTTGACTCATCACAATAATAAAACAGGCAAAGAATCGAGACAGTCCTCTAGCGAAGCCACCCCTGAAAACAATCAATATAATTAAATAGCATAGCATATATCAATTATGATCTCAATTACACACACATTAGAAGTTCATAATTATATGAGAAAAAAAAAACAAACAAAATGATTGAATATTATTCAGTATGTTGTGTTGTACAAGAGACAATTAAAGAAAGCCATTGAAATCGAATGTAACGTTTAGAAAACAAAAGAGATATTATAGTCACAGTTGGTAGTGAGTGAAAGAAGGAAATCATGTATGCGCCTGTGTGTGTGTATGTTTGACACAGACAGGGATTAAAGACCCACCAACCCACCCTCCTCGAACATAAGGGTGTTCTCATCTCTTGTTTATGACTAGTCACAGTAGTGATATACATATATATGTAAGTGGACAGAAACAAATGTACTTTCCTGTAGGAATGAATGGTGAATAGATCAAAGTCACATACAACAAATGTGTGACACAGATAAAGAGACAATCTACGAAAGACAATCTAGTATGAATTTAGATTATATAAATGTATAATGAATAATAATAATATTAGTAAAATTAGTAACAATTTTTGTCTAGCGATGAGTCTTGACAGTTTTCTTGGCCTAGCCATCAATTATCCTCGTCCTCTTCCTCGCCAGCCCCTCTGTTTCACCCACCATCAGTTTCCATCACACGCCTTCTTTATCAGTATCATAGTTTTAATAGCCGTAAAGATCAACGGTTGCATAATTCGTGATTGAAAAATAAGAACAAATCAAAGAAGAGAAGAAAATGCAATTACACACAATAGGTTCAGATAGATAAACTAATCATCTTCTTAGGTAGTATTCCGGTGTGTTTGTGTGTGTTGTGTGGAAGCGTATACAAGAAGTACACTGAGATTGATTTTATATACTAGTATTATTATTATGATGATGATAATGATGGTGTATAATGGACGAAAATCAATCAACCAATCAAATCAGAGAATGAATAGAGTTTTTAAAAAAAGTGTGATTAATCCTATTCATTATCATCATCATCGGAAGAAGAATACTTTGTATGAGATCGATCACTGGGAATGATGAACAAAAAACACAACAGAAGTAACGAAAAACATCCTTTCACAGTACATACACTAGAGCCAATTGATGAATAGAGAGAGAGACAGAGCCATGACTGTTCAGCGGCATCATACAGGATCATTATTGAAGTTGAACAGATGCGAATAATTTTGCACTCAAGGATTCAATATCAGACAAATCTGATGCTGTTGATTTGTTATCATTACTGTTTGGAAGGACAGTGGAAGAGGAAATATCAGCAGTTGAAGTAGCACTCTGTTGTCGTTGGTGGTGTTGTTGTTCATAGCGTATATAATTTAAAGTATTCTTAAAATGTACTGTTATATGATCCGTGATTGGAGAGGGTTCTAAATCTTTCAGAAGACTTCGGATTTCGCCCAATATATCATTGATACGATGATCAGTTATCTGTAAAATAACAAAAAGAAAACAAGCAGAAATAAGTAAATGAAAACACGCATAGTAGTAAAACTATCCAAACAGTTTAGAAAAGAAAGTTAGCTGTGTATGCATTAATTTGCCACTCAAAGGAGATGCTGTACAATAGATAGTCAAATGAAGACTCGATTAAGACTCAATTAAGGGAACTTCTTATGCTGCCAAACTTGTCTTCCTTAACACTACCAAACAATCGGGTGCAGCACTTCATGTAGCACGTCTGTGCTTAGTTTCTTATATTCTATTTATTATTTTTTTGAAAACCACAGCTTTTTTGACCAACTACTAAGTGAGAAACAAAACGACAACGACAACGCCAAGAACAGTGACAAATCTTTATGCAATAGACTCACCTCCAGACAACCAGATATACGCAGGTTGACCGACAGATTCAGTATATCTATGAATAATTGTGTACGAACCGCTGTGTCCATACATTCTCTAGCAAATCTAGCTGCACGATCTAAGCATGAGATAACACCTTTTGGATCACGTAACTACAAAGAAGAAGAAGACAAACACAGGAAAGAGAAGAAAGAAGAAGAAGTAGAAGTCAAGTACGTAAAACAAGTAATAACCAATTTATGGAAGGCATGCGTACGCACACACACACACACACACACACATTATATTATCCGAGATTAGTTCAACGACAAAAGTAGATCCAACTGTGACTTATCACAGAAAAAAGTAGAGTGTAGATAACTAGTCAGTAATTTGATAGTCTTGGTTCGGTGTCTGAAGCTGTTTATTGCATTATTATTATTGTTATTATTCTTTTGGGTTCCAAGTGGAACATACGGCTTCAACAGACCATCTCCACTCCGTCCTATTCTCTGCAGTCCCAAGATTGCCAAGTCTCACCTGCTTATTACACGAACTACTCCGTGTCACTCTCGGACATAAGCCCAACTCGTCGTTTCCCATCCGCGTTGCATTCTAGCGATAGCCTGGAGTGCGATTTCATTCGACGGTCTCCTCAGTGGCTTGTATCCGATTCATCTTTACTTTCTTCTACACATTTGTTGAGCAATAGGTTCTGTTGTTGCCAGAATTTCCTGTTGCTAATCCTTTCTGGTCAGCCAACCAGCCAGCCACCTGATCTTCAATATAGAAACAAAACACGTAGTTCAGTGAAGAGTCTCTCACCGGCGAATTCATTCACTTAGCTGTATAATCGTAATTCAATATAGAGCCAGGAAAGTGTGCAGCTGTTGATAAAAGTCCGCATTCGGTCTGTTCGAAATGTTTTTCGTGAAGCGCAGTGAAAGTTTCTGACCTGTATAGAAGAACTGACTGACTGACTGACTTGAGATTGGTGTTGAAAATCCGAATCTTGTTCTTTATGCTAGCTGAATGCAGAAGATTCACAAACTGGTTTCAGGTTGATGAAGGCGTATCTTGACTTTCCGAATCTGCCTGGCTGACTTTGACATCTTCATCCGTTCCGACTGCCTGTGGTTGACACGATGCTTCCCAGATAAGTGAAGGAAGTTACGATGTCTATTCTTTATCCGCCATGCTTACCGTGATCAACTCTAATGATACAATCCAATCGTGACGAGGTAGCTCTTGTGATGCAGGTATGTCCAGTGGAACAGTCCTAGTTAGGATAAAACGCGCGTTCTGAATTCCAACACTAGCCACACCCATGATCAATCAAGTAAAAGTTTTCTCTTGCTTTCGTGAATCATGATATTCTCCGTTCGCCCACTGCTTCTAAGCAATATGAAGGATAAACTTCCACATATGACCGCTCTGAAATGTGCATATATTAGTTCACGTGTTCGTGCAAAGCCAGATATATATAGGTTGGCCGTTCTATGTGGGGCCGTCCTTTCAAAATGGAGACTGGAAGACTGCAAACAGGAGACACTGGTTCAATCAGAAGTACCATAATTGAACACTTCATCAACACTCGTCATAGCACCTCATTCAAAGTCATTTACAAATTATACCAAAATCTGCCATAAGCAGTATGTTTCTTACTTCTTTGTACTGCAGAAGCTATCACCATATGCAGTAAAAAGCCGGAGCTGTGTATTCACAAGAAAACTAGTCCAACCTCTACCTTTACCACGGATCTAGTTCGGTTTGACTCCTAATTTTTCGGGGTTTTTTCTTCATTTCATTTCCATGCTCACGCTGTTCACATATGTACTGGTTAAAAAATATTCCCCAATCCTATGGAATTTTGTTTCGAAGCCCCTTGTAATCGATATATTCACACCTTAGAACTTTCATATCAAGTTGAAAGTCATTATTATCACCCTTTAATCTCCATTATCGTTATTATGTGGAATTAAATGAGAATAATTGACCTACGTAAATGCGACTATACAACTGCTTTCGAGAATGAAATCACCGAAAAGATAATTATCTTTGCTGAACTTCTTGTTCTTTTCTCTCTCTCTCTATTTAATGAAAAAAGTATTACTAGTTCATACTAACTAACTAACCTTCTCATAATATTCATCGGGTAATTCATTCACTTCAGATAATTTTGCATATGTAGAAATCTCAGGATTATTATCTGTCACAGGGATAAGTACACTTGGTTTAATCCCTTGTCGAGCCAATGGTTTTGTTGGCCAAAACAAATGCGTACTTGCACAGACAGCTCGACATTGATCATGTTTACGTAGAAGACGTGCAGCAGCTCGTGTACACTGTGTACGCAGTGTAGTCTGATTATCTCCAGTGAAACAGGTGATTTGGCATAACGTACTAGTGATTAATGCAATCGCTTCAACTTGTGCATGTGAATCAGACACAGCTTCTTCGTAAAGGGTTAATGCCTGAAATGAAATATCAAGAAATAAAGTTGTTTTGACGTAGACAAATAAGATGAGACTGATTATGCAACAGACAGAAAGACAGTCAGTCATGAAGAAGACAAGCAGATGAGTATCATTATTTTAAAGGCTTACAATCAGCGGGAAACTATTTAGTGAATGGTTACAGCTTTGACCATGAGTTGACAACAGTTAGCGAACCAGTGAAAACCAGCACTGGAGTACTGGACAATTATTTCGGCCTAGTCTGAGACTCGTCAACAATACACACCTACCGATGTTCGGACGCAGGACCTTCCGGTTGGTGAGGAAGGCGAGCTAGGACCCAACTCAATGGTCCGTGAATTCAAACTTCCGCCAGTAGCTTTCCTCTTGCATGACTTGGTGGACCCCGCTGATTCAATAATTCTCTGAAATGAATACGACCTTAAAAAATCGACAGACACGCATGTGATCGGTCTGGGGTTCGTTCCCTGGTCGATACACTCCTAAACCTCGATGAACCAGTAGTGTTAGGTCGGTAGAGAGAAGGTTCGGTGTGAGGCTAGCAACCCCTCCCACCATGTGAACATGAAACTACTGCTACTGAAAATCCATAGATCAAGCTTCAAGGTGTATGTCCCACTAGGAACGCAAAAGAATAAAAAATAAAATTTCATGTTTTCTAAATTTTACCAGCTATGTTTTATAATCAGCGGCAAGTGAAATTGATTCGTAATTTAACTGATAGTTAAACATAACCGGGAGCACAATAAATAAGGGGAAGTCAAGAGGTTTTAACCAATAACTCTAAGTATATGCTGCTTTAGGCAGATATTATAGAATCAGTTCAAAGCTTCCACTCATACTGAAGTGGAGACATAACTTGATTGGTTTACGCACTGGACTTCTGTTTCTAGTTTGATGAATCTCGCTCCACACCTACTTCAGCTGCTAGGTGGTCGAATCATCAGTGTGTATATGTGTGTGTGCGGCTCATAGCCTGATACACACGAGACATGTTTCGCGTGGCAATTCAACTGTAACTAAAGTACACACCTTGTGAACTTCAACACTGTGGAGGAGCCAGTTCAAACATCCGTTACAGAACTACTCGAAAACCCGGGAGTACTGGATAGTTGTTTCGTCAGTTATTTTGAGACTCTCCAACGATACGTAACCGGCGGAGTTCAAACTCGGTGGTGATGTGACCTGATGCTCAACTAGCGACTCGGTCAGTTTTCGACATAGAACTTTGCACATATGTGCGGCAGTTCAAGCCGCCACACTCCATGTAGCACACAAAGCAAGAGAAGAAAGTAGGAGAAATGCATAATATAGTCAGTAAACAGAGGTGTGAGACAAAGGAATAGTAATAATGGAGAACAAAACAGTTTAATTGGAAATTATAAGTCACAAGGAGTGGATGCATCTGCGCCACTGAGAACAATTTTGAGCCATGTCACCAATTGTTTCCAACCATTGGTTTTTACCGTCCCGAGGACCCAACCAGGAAATCTACATCTTCCTACGTGGCTTAAGCTAACTGTTGTGGATTTCATTGACTGGTGCCATGTTTTCGTTTGACCGCGACTGGCTCTATTCAGGTAGGTAGTTATTTGGGCTCTAGTGAGAAGTCGTGACCAGTGGGATACAGTAAGTTGAGTGTAAGGACAGATACTCGCCAGAGATGACATCTGCTAGTGGTCGCGCTACATCGTGAATTGAAAGAAGTTGGGATTCACAAGCTGGCCATTGAGGAGTCGAGTCTCAGTGGCTTAATGGTCTACGAGCTGGCTCGCCTTGTGACCGGAAGGTCCTGGGTTCGAACCCTGGCAGAGTGGAGGGTGCGTACTGCCGAAGAGCGGTCCAAAACTAGGCTGACGAAACAGCTGTCCAATACTCCCAGCTCGTTTTCTAATGGTTCTCTAACCTATAACAGCTCATGACGAAATCCTGTAACCAATCAAATCAAATCCATGCAAACCAACACTTGAATTCTGTTTTTCATTTAATAAAATAAAATCACACACACAAACAAACAAACTGCATGAATAAATATGATGATCACTATGATTGTGTGCAAAAATAACATTGTATACGAGTGCGTGTCTAATGTCCTCAGATTGAACTTTTAAGATTGACCGTGTCACATATACTGTATATGTGTTTAAGATTTATACGGATTTCACTTTTTAAACTGTTAAATGCAAAAATAAAAGCATGATTATCATATATTGACCAACCCGGTTGTTTGTAAGAACAACTAATGCTGGCCGCTGTCATTTTTCCGACATTAGCGCTAGGAGGTGTACCACTTGTAGAGCGCGAGTAAGACAGTCATTAAACAGTAAATGCTGTTCTTCCTCTCTAATAGTCTCGTTACAAATGAGAACAAGCCATTGGCCCACCCTCATTGTTAGTCACAAACATGAGCATCAGTATAGGACACATGCGCGCAATCAAGAAATCCTAACATGTCTCTGGAAACGAGATTCCATCTCCAATTCCAATCAGCTAATCATACAACCTCGCTTCGTCACAAAGATCACCGGTGGACAGATCGTATGCCTTTACAAGAGCCCTGTTGAGGTTACCGAGATGATCAATTGCGACCCCACAGCAATCAGACTACGATCCATAAGATTCCCAACTTGACTTACTGACTGTTCAGGCCGACCCCCGACCCTCTTACTCTGTAGAAAGTTAGAGGAATGTCCAGAATAAAGATTAGGATGTGGATTCCTGTAGGTTGGTTTCACAAGGCGGCCCTGCATCACAGCAAGCACACCACTTGTCAATGCTGGTTATCATTGAATCAGCTGTTTATTCGAACTGGTTTCCAGTTGGAGGGAGACAAGGAGGCTATCATTACATAGTTGCATACTGGTTGGCAGAAGACTGGAGAAATACGATTGGAAATTTAACTGAACCTTCTGTTAACGTTTATTTACAGACTTTGCTGACAGTAACCTGCTTCGCTCAATACTCAAGATCAGATGGCCGGCCAGAAAAGATCAGCAACAGAGATCTCTGGCGATGAGCGAACCAACACAGCAGGAACCGATTGTGAAACAAATAGGCAGGAAGAAATGGAGATGGATTGGCCACACTCTGAGGAAACCATCAAGTGACATCACTAGACAAGCCCTCGAGTGGAACCCGAAAGGGAAGCGACGAGTTGGTCGTCCAAGGGTGACCTGGAGGAGATCATGTGAAGAGGAGATGAAAACGTGTGGGCAGACTTGAAGCCAGGTGAAAACTCTAGCAGAGAACCGAACGCAATGGAGACGCATGGCTGAAGCCCTATGTTCCTCTAGCAACTAAAGGAAATAATAATAATATAATAATAACCTGCTTTACTGATTCGTTATCGGTGGAGCAATAAACAATCGTTTTTCATTTCTGTTACCGTGCATAGTATTCTGCGTATAAGGCGCAGTCTTCTGTAAACACCGATAGCTCCAGGATCTTTGCTATCTGGATACTTGACATCAGTCAAACACACATTTGTTCTGCATGCGTAACACACTGCCTTTCGCAAATACGCGGAGCTTCTGAGAACAGAACCAGACATGTTGCCGGGGTCCACGTTTATCACATACATCAGACTTTGCATTCATACTGCAAATGGTGGACCTGAGTATTCGACTTGAAGTCTGGTTCACAAAGCAGCAGAACAACATCTGGAGTTGCATTGTTCCATTAAGACGAATTTATACGCGCCATTCGTTCTTTTCAAGAGTACTACAGTGTATGGTTCACTGCTGGCTTACAATTAAGGTTTTCAAACTGCCTTAGGTTTACACTCCCTTCACTCCCCACCCCCATCGACGTGCAACGACCTGGCTGGTAATGGGAGTCAGAAATTCGGTTGTTAGATAATTAGGTGGTACCAACAACTTTTACGGCGGTAACTACTACGTAATACGCCCCCAACTCTACGTATATAAATACGCACATAAAACAGTGAGGTAGAAAGTTCTTACCTGTGAAACAAATTCATAGATCATAGACTCTTGATTTTTAAACTTGATCCGATCAATTACTAGGGCTGAATGCAGAAATAAGCGTAAAGCTGATTCAGATGCATCCGCTGCTACTAAACACGTACAACATCGATGACAAAATTGTATAACTCGTGTAACACTTTCTTCCCAATTCGGATTTTGTTCACGTAATTCATAATATGTTTGAATTAGTTGTAAACTCTAGAATGCAAATAAACAAGAGAGGAAAATGTAATATTTTTGTTTTAAAACAAAATGAATATTGAATGAATTAATTTCAGCTAGTGGTATAATTCTTAAACACAATATTGTTTAAATGTATAACAGCTTATTAGATGATTGGAGGTAATCGGTAAGAAGCCCTACCTGACCCCTATGTATCGGGCTTGCTCGCACTCAACAATCAGCGAGGCATATTTGCGACCTTGAAGCAACCCATATCCGCTCTGAGATTAGAACCCGCGTCACGCAATGCTACAGTCATATATATTATCGCTTAGATATTCGGGCTAGCGATTAACCTCCTTGTAAGGCTGTATTGGATACTTCCGATTGTACACTAGTTAATAACCAGTCCAACAGGAGATCAATTGAAAGCCCGAATACCTCACTGATAACTTCTCTGACTGCCTGCAGCACTGGGTGACATGGGTTCGAGTTTCAGAAGGGACATGAGTTCCTTCACGGTTGCAGATATGCCTTTCTGACTGGTAAGTTCCAACAGGGATGAAACCTAGGCGGAAGGCTTCCTGCCGATTACCTCCAACCACCTAATAACAACAATTCTCAGTGCACCGTGATGGAAAGCCACCTACTGGCATGGTAGCAATATTACAAGCTTGACTGATAGAATTTAGTCTGCAGCAAACATCCCATTACACTAGTTACTAACTGGTGTCTGATCAAAGCATAAGAGCTGATTATTCACAAGTAAATATCTCCAATAAAATCTATACCTTCAATACATCATTCTTATGATGTTTCAAGTTCAATGCCCATTACATGCAGTTAATTAGTGTATTTCGCATTAGTGAGGATTACAGATGTTGGCACAAGAAACCGGGCTGAAATTGTACCATGGATCAATATGTTGGGGCTAATTAAAACAGGCAGTAATGATAAATACATTTGTAACCCCAAACAGATCAAAGTTAAAACTTCTGTTGAAATTTGTTAGAGTCAACTTGATGTCCAGCCAGTACCGATGAGATGAGCTAGTATTGAATTGCCTATAGCAGCTTTGGATCTTTGCCAAATTAAGATGGGTAGATGTATAGGAATTCGACCATGAAGTTGCCTGGTCCCATGCCTAATGTAACCACTTCCCTTAGGAACAGTTAAACTAGTAAATGCACACGGGAGGCGACACAGGACAATTTGTCTTTATTTCTTGAACTGAGTATTGGCTGGTTAGTGTGAATAAACAGTATAACGTAGCTGAGTTAAAAGTCTTTTTGAAGGCCCCTCTTAGACGTGGTGATAAAATCTCACTATTGACACCTCCGGTGAATTGTGATCTCAGGAAGACTGATTTTTTGAGAACTGTGGGCACCTTCGGCTGTTTACTCGTTGAATTCATACAACTGTTCAAAAATTTTGTCGGATATCCATTTGTACTTGGTAGATCACAAATATTACTGCAGTCTGTTCAAAATGCTTTTTGTGAGTTGCAAAATCTCAGAAACATACAGAAGAACAGACTGACTCATCAAAATTGGTGTTAGAAACTCAAATTCTGTTGTTCATGCAGTGTAGTGGAGTGGATTTCCAAACTGATTTTACAGTGATGAAGGTCTGTATTGCCTTTTCGATTCTGAGTGGCTTTGACGTCTTCATCTGTGCAGTAGGCCTGTAATTGAAAGGATCCTTCCTAGATAAGTGAAGGAGGTAATCACTTTCGAATCTAACCTCGCCGTCTAGTTTACTAGCTAACTAGTTTTCTAGCCGATCCTAAGCTCAAGGGAAAAAAGGGAGGGGATTGGACATGGGGCTAGCGACCCCACTCCGGGAAATCAATTAAACTGCTACAGAAACTTCAAAGCACACTTGGTACTGTAACTTCTCAACACCTAACACTACGAAAACCACAAACAAATCAAGCTTAAATCAAACGCATGACGCAGAAGATGAAGAATGACATACTCAGGTTTCACGGTAAAAAAGACAACACTGAGCGAACCCATAATGGAACAACGTTCAAATATTAGACAGAGGAAACACCAAAAATGCCCGCAGAAATTTTACAAGCCTGGTATTCCAGTGAATCGTCAATTAATCGATACATTGGTATGGACAAAATTTACCAATGGATAGGAAAGAAATCTCATACACAAATGGTCAAACTTCAGGTCAAGGAAACAATCAGTACCAACACAAGTAGACTAGAGGGTGCGAAAACATACAAAACTAACCAATCATGTTCACGGTCACCGGGAAAGATGATTTATAAACTTGTGGAGAAATCTAAAAGCTCACTTGAAATTGAAGTATACGCTGGAGATGTTGCAGATTAAGTAAGGCGATGAGAGCTTCGCACATTAAACCATCCAGCTCAGAGAAGACAACTACATCAGAATCTGTACTAATTTCAAATAGTGATTTGACGACAAGAAGGAGGTCAGTTAACTGACTCGTAGATTCACAAGACAGTCCATTAAATCTACCTAGGCACTATTTTGTCACTACTCTAAATGGAAGCACGATCCTACTATAATGTAAAACAGAATTCAATAGAAGAGAACAAGAAGGAAGGGAAAAGAAGACATCACTTTCTTACCTGAAATACAAGTGCAGGGAAATTGAAACGAACAATAGCATGACCAGCTTGTTCCAAGTGTTGTTGTGCTTTTGAATACAATTTAAAACACATATCTGGATCGATACTTTGTGGACTTGGACCTAGAATATGAAGGATACCAGCTATTAAACTTTGTGCTTCCGTGAATTCATTCACATCTTCACATGTATTCGGATCAGTTGTCAACAGTCCATCGATTAATTCAAATAGATTATCTAAATCTGTTTCAGTAGTTAAACGTGATGAATACGCCGGTGACGATGTATTGCCGACAGATGAATCTTTAGCTGTAGTAGTATCATGACGATTCGATTGAGGATATTGATTAAACTGACGTTGACGTTGATCTCGTTCTAAAGCTGCATTCAATAAATCATAGGCCAGTCGACATTTTGTAGTTTTTGGATCCAATAATGAGACTAGACGTCGAAAACCAGACATACCTAATACTGTTCGTAGATCACTAAGTGCTGTCACTGGAGCACTGATACGATGAACACCACTCATTGACTGAGGAAATGTCCCGTCTAGTGGTAGGTAGAGTAGGCGAAGTAAGTCACGTGATAGTGAAGATCCAGATGGTATTCTGTGTGGGTGTAAAGAAACAGGTTAAAACAGTAACTATACGCTTTTTTCCATTCTATTGTTTATAGCATATACTTACATACATCACAGTATTAATAGGATAGTGTGTTTAACGAAATTAAGTTCAACAATAATTGGCTTGCCATCATTTTTGTCTAATATCAGTATTATTCACCATACTATACTACTTAACACGGATGATAGAAACAGCTAAACTTTTTTGTATATTTTCCACTTTCAATGGCCACATCTCATAGCCATAGAGAGAAAGAGGGAGACAAAGCGAACTGCTGTTGTGCAGTGCACACATTCTTTGATCGACAGCCAGCCGGGTATCACGTCTACCCACCGCATGAATGATATAAGCTAGCAAATGTCAAAAGCGATTTCATCAACAATCAGTCTATTAGGTCTGCTGAAGTTCACTGGTAATTATACAGAAGGCTAGTTTCGCATATGCCAGTTTACACTGTCTCTGGCGTAGACGTGATATCCGGCAGGCTATCGACCAAAGGGCGTATGTACTGCTCAGCAGTCCACTCCGTCCTCCTTTATGACTGTGAAAGAGACTTGGCCATTGAGAGTAGAAGACATGAAAAGCCTGGTTAGCTGTCTTTAATCATAAGTGTCTGCCTTCTATCTCCCGTGTGAAGTAGTGGTATAATAGGGTGAGCAAGATTGAGGTTAGGCATCGGTCGAGTGCTAGGTAAGGAGGGGAGATCAATCGACGAGGCTGTGAAGCTACATCGACTGAGATAGTTAGGACATGTGTTACGTATGCCTAGTCATCGCCTTCCTCCACGGGCAATGTTAGCTGACATAAGGGTCAGGTTGGAAAAGAGCTAGCCAGTGGTGGTCAAACGAAAGCATAGCTTCACCAGTCAGTGAATTCCACAACAGTTAGTTTAAGCCAGTGACGTAGGAAGGTGTAGAATTCCTGACTGGTTGGGGTCCTCGGGACGGTAAAAACCAATGAAAGCTGGAGACAATTGGTGATATGGCTCAAAGTGATCGTTCTCAATGGCTGGTGCAGATGCATCCACTCCTTGTGACTGATAATGTCCAATAAAACTACATGGTTCTTCGATATTGCTATTTATTTTGCCTTATATCTCTGTTTACTGTCACTATTTTGCACTTCTTTTTACTTTCTTCTCTTGCTTTGTGTGCTGAGTGAAGTGTGGCGAATCGAACTGCTGCACATCGGTGCAAAGTTCTATGTTGAGAGCAGAATCAATCTCTTCGACTAGATGCCATAAATATTCTACGTAGGTGTTAATGATACCATTGTCCAACTGTTCTTTGCACTATTGACTGTATTGGAGATATCTGCAACTGAACAGATGAGAATAATGCCATTGCTTAACGACTCAATATCCGACGGCACCCCGTTGACGAGGTTTTATCACCACCATTAGTAATAGCTGTTGAATAGAAAAACTTCAAAATCGGTAGTCTTTTGTTAATGGCGTATATCATTTAAATTATTCATAAAATGTATTTTCATATTGTTGGTATTAGATGGTTGGAGGCAATCGGAAGGAAGCCTTGCTTGATCTAGGTTTCGTGCTAGTTGGCACTCACCAGTCAGCAAGGCGTATCTGCAACCTTGAAGAACTCATGTCCCTTCTGAGATTCGAACCCGCATCACCCAGTGCTGCAGTCAGAGACGTTACCACTGAGCTATTCAGGCTCGAGATTGACCTCCTGTAGGACTGTTTTGGATATTTTTGATTGCACACTAGTCAGTAACTAGTGTAATGCGTCTAGTCCTCTCTTTGGTGCAGACTGAATTCTATCAGTCAGGTTTGCAATGTGGCCACCATTCTAGGTAGCTCGCCATCACGGTGCACATTGATTTGATGATATTAGATGGTTGGAGGCAATCGGCAGGAAGCCTTCACCTTCACCTTCACCTGACTGATAGAATTCAGTCTGCACCGAAGATAGGACTAGACGCATTACACTAGTTACTGACTAGTGTGCAATCAAAAATGTATTTTCATATAATCAGCAGTAATACTATCCAGTTGATCAAGTGGAACAAGATTCGAAGCCGGAGATCCACTTGACTGAAAGATAAGCACATAAGCCAATCCAGTTTGATTGATATATATACAAGTTTAATAACAACTCGGATATCGATTACCATCTTGCATTCAAGACTAATGAATTATGTCACGTAGAACCACACTTTAATTACACTCAGAAAATATTTAAAAATTATCAAGTCATTGTCTTAAGGTTATGCAATAACCCCTCCCAAAGATTTATTAATCATTATTATTATTATATTCAAGAGTTGATTTGTAAGGACTTGATATGTTTGTTTTCCTTTCGAGTTTGACCACGGATTGATATCAGTTGTAGTGAGAAGTCGTAACCAGTGGGGTCCATCCAGTCGGCAGTGAGGATGGATTTCCCGCCGATGACATTGGTTGGTGGCCGCGCTAAAATCACGAATTGGTAGAAGTTGGAATTCATGGGCCATTGAATCGAGTCCCAGTGGCTGAATGATATACGAGCTAGCTTTACTTGTAACCGAAAGGTCCTGCGGTTCGAACGCCTGCAGTGCGTGCGTACCGCCGACGATTCCCAGATTATTATTGCTATTATTCAAGAGTCAGTTTTTAAGGATTTGATTTGTTTCAAATTTCATGGCGGATTGATATCAGTTAGAGAAGCACTGAAAACGAGCACTGGAGTACTGGACAGCTGTCTCGTTAGTTCCGTCTGAGACTCATTGCCAGTACACACCCACCGCAATGGGTTTCAAACCCAGGAGTTTATGACTACGAAGCAAGCTGGTAGACCATTTGGCCACTGGGATCTGACTCAGCCCATGTATTCTAACCTCTACCAATTGGTGACTTCAGCGGGATTGGTACCAGCCAATGTCATCGCTGGTGAGTATTTATCCTCACTCCCGACCACTTGATGAACCCCACTGGTGGTCACAACTTCTCACTAGAACTCCAGTCAACTTTGTCAGCCTGCAGCCAGTCATTAGAGAGCATAAAATAAATTTTTAAGGGTTTAACTGAATTTTAGATTTTCCCATCGATTGATTGGACCGAAGTGCTCGGTCTCAGGTTGACATGTCGGCTTTTTGTGCAGATGCTTCGACGATGTCTGGGCATGTAATTAGAGGTTAAATGATGGTTTGAAACTATGAGCACTGGGTTCGAGCCTCATCATCACTCACTGCGGAATGCAGGTACATCCAGATGACGAGTCCGAAATAGGACGAGATGCGCATCCTGGATTCCACTGCCAGCCACTATCCACCAATTAACCTCTTTTTAAGAGTTTGTTTGTCGGGCCACATTTCAGTGGCTGAACGGTCTATAAGTTAGCTTTCCTTGTAACCAGAAGGTCCCAGGTGCGAACTGTGGTGGGGTGGGTTCGTACTGAAGATGAATCCCAAACTAGGTTGACGAAACAATCTTCCAGTACTTGAGTACTGGTTTCCACTGGTTCTTTAACTGATATCAACCCGTGGTTAAACTTGAAGCAATATAAAAGTGTTGAAGATTACATTCTGTCTAAAAAATCACTCATATTTAGAATAAAGTGATTATCATTACCAACAAGAAACTATGGGAACAAACAAAACTAGAACCAATCGCTCAACAAATATGCAGGAGAAAGTGGAGATGGATTAGACACTCGCTGAGGAGGCCGTTGGGTGACATCGCGCGTCGGGCCAGTGCTCGAGTGGAACCCGAAAGGGAAGCGGCGAGTGGGATGTCCAAGGGTGACATGGAGGAGATCGTGTGAAGAGGAGTTGAAACAGTATGGACTAACATGGATGCAGGTGAAAAGTATAGCAGAAGACAGAAGGAGGTGGGGACGTGCAGCTGAAGCCCTATGTTCCACTAGGAACCCAAAGGAACAATAATAATAATAATTACTAATAATAATAAACTTACAATGAAAGACCAACATGATGCAGTGAATCAGCAGTAGCATTTAAACAAATATCAATTAATGGAGCACAATTATTCGGTCGTAATATCATAGCTAAATAAACCAGTGCTGAATAAAACGCTGGTATATCCTCCAATGGTAAACCATTCAATGTGGCTACTGTTTGTATTGTAGGCCGATTTTTCATATTACAGCATGACATTTGCATATTTTTATAGGTTAATTCACATAGCGCTAGACGGGTATGAATTAATTGACTAACTTCAACGAAAAATAAAGAGAAGAGGTCGGTTATAGCTGGTGTTGTATTGCTGTTATTATTATTCGTCGTTTTGGTGGTATCAGTAGTCTCAGCAATACTGTTGATTGCTTGCATCTCATCACTGAGTTGAGCAGCTACAGGAAGTACTGATGGGGATGTGTCCTCCCCCTCCTCTTGTTCATTGTTGGCTGAAGAAGACGACGAAGAAGTGTTAACACCCTCGTCGCCATTAGTATGATTACTTTCGTCAGTGTGATGATGACGTAATGCGTCTTCTTTTATTGGTGAGTAACTATTATTATTATTATTACATGAGACTTGAATTTTTAATTCACGACCAGCTTCCAATTCAGCTGCAGCATGTTTTGATAAACTGAAAGAATGAACACACAATGTGGGAAGATGCTTAGATATGAGTTGTGAAATAGGAACAAATAGTTCAACGAAGAGACTGTCTTCTTTCAGTGGAACTTTAAGGAAGAGAATGTCAAAACACTCCGAAAAGAAACATTCTCTACATCCACATTAAGAGGGGGTATTCTCCTGTTGTCCAAATGTTGACTAATAACTCAAAAGACAAAGTACAACAATTAATAATTTCTATGCATATCTGTCAACCCAATTGCTCCTGTGGATGTAGACTTCACTTATTGGAAAAAGCATCGGCGATAGGCAACACTAGGCAACTCTTTAGACTCATCAGGGAAACGGGTGGGAGAAGGCAAATCATAAGTGAGACTATTTGTGAGAAAAATGGCTCCTTAATTAGCTCTCAGGATAGACGCCTCGAACGCTGGAAAGAACACTTCGAGGAACAGTTTAACTTGCCTACAGCCACACTGAGCCTCCCCGCCGTATGTAAGTGAGGTCACCAAAGCTATCTGTAATTTGAAACGAGGCAAAGCGGCAGGACCCGACGGAATTATTCCGGAGGTGTTTAAATATGGGGGTGACATGCTAGTATATAGTTTAACTAAGGTACTAGGTAACGTCTGGGAATCAGAGACGGTTCCATCAGACTGGGGTAAGTCACTTATTATACCAGTATTCAAGAAGGGAGATAAGTCCTCATGTGATAATCATAGAGGAATCAGCCTAACGAACATAGTCTCTAAAATCCTAGGCTCAGTAATCATGCACAGACTAAGCCGAACTCGGGAGGAACAAACAAGGGAAAATCAAGCGGGCTTTAGGCCAGGTATAGGGTGCATAGATCATATCTTCACTCTCCGACAGATCCTAGAACATAGGCACACTTTTAGGCGTCCAACAATTGCCATATTTCTTGACTTGAAGGCGGCCTTCGACTCCGTGGATCGAGAGGTTCTATGGCAATGTTTGACTATGAAGGGAGTGCCAAGAAAGTACATTGCACTAATCAAGGCACTCTACTTAAACTCACGTAGCTGTGTAAGGGCTTATAGGGAATTGTCATCTGAATTGATAACAACCAGTGGTGTCCGTCAGGGATGTCCACTTTCCCCTTTTCTGTTTAACTTCATCATAGATATGCTAATGGAAGTATCCTTAACCGAACGTAACGACTTAGGAATCGACTTGTTACCAGGGAATAGTCTTATAGACTTAGAATACGCAGACGACATAGTCCTGTTAGGGGAGGACGCTGACAAAATGCAGAGTCTTCTGAATACCTTGAGCAGCAATCTTCGTATGTTTGGCATGCGATTCGCCCCTGTAAAATGTAAGATGCTGCTACATGAATAACTGAACTACGTCAACTCCTAGCTTAGTGATAGGGAGTGAAGTGATAGAACTTGTTGACCACTTCACCTATTTAGAAAGTTGTATCAGCACCAACGGATTGATTGGTGACGAAATCACAGCACAGATCCAGAAAGCTAGGGCTGCTTTCGCTAACTTACACTATCTCTGGCGTAGGCGTGACATCCGGCTATCAACCAAGGGACTTGTGTACTGCTCAGCAGTTCGCTCCGTCCTTCTCTATGGCGGTGAGACGTGGCCATTGAGAGCGGAAGACATGAAAAGATTGTCTGTTTTTGACCACAGATGTTTACGATCTCTTTCTCGCGTTAGGTGGTATAATAAGGTAAGTAATGTTGACGTTAGGCGTAGAGTGTTGGGCAAAGAGGGAAAATCCCTCGAAGAGGCTATAAAGTTACATAGATTGAGATGGTTAGGCCACGTGCTGCGCATGCCTAAACATCGTCTCCTCCGACGGGCATTGCCAGCTGATGTAGGTGCAGGTTGGAAAGGAGTAAGTGGTGGCCAAACAAAAACATGGCCTCATCAATCCATGAAATCCTTGACAGTTAAACTGAGTCAGGTAGGGAGATGCAGACTTCCGGGTTGGGGCCCGCCCTCGGGACTCTAAGAATCAATGGCTGGAGACAATAGGTGACATGGCTCAAAATCGTTGTCAACGGCTTACGCAGATGTATTCAGTCTCTTTAACCTTCATATTCCTTTCTACCATTACTCATTCTGTTCCATTCTTGTACTTGTCAAGACTCTATTGATTCTCTTCACTCATTTTCTTGTCTACCTTTGTGTGTGTGGTATTTGGAACGTGGCAACTCGAACTGGTGCACTTCGGTGCCAAGTTCTATGTTGAATCCAGACAGACAGATTGGCATAAGCGTTCGCATTACAATCAATGGGCTTCAGGTTCGAATCCCACTCCATCATCGTCATCAGCAGCACCAGCAACTCTCACACAATATGCGTGCCTCCTCATACCTTGGAACATGGACGACAATATTCCAGGAACTGAGTTCAAACAAAACCAAGCGAGTAGAATGATGTATATATATAGAGGTTGTTCAATCCGTATTTTATTCAGAAATGAGTTAAGGAACACTATCTCGAATGGCTAATAAAGAGGTCACATTATTTGTGATGATATTAGATGGTTAGAGGCAATCGAAAGGAAACCTTGCTTGACCTAGGTTTTGTGCTAGTTGGCACTCGTCAGCAAGGCGTATCTGCAACCTTGAAGGAACTCATGTCCCTTCTGAGATTCGAACCCGCGTCACCCAGTGCTGCAGTCAGATACACTGAGCTATTCGAGCTCGAGATTGACCTCCTGTAGGACTGTAGTGGATATTTTGATATTTTTACAACCTGACTGATAGAATTCAGTCTGCACCAAAGAGAGGACTAGACGCATCACACTAGTTACTAGTGTCAAATCAAAGAGGTCGCATTATCATGGACATGCTATGAATGAACATATATTCAATACTGAATCACTGAAGACAGAACCAATTCTGTGTAGTTTTTTCTCTCTCTTCATTTCCTTCAAGGATTGATTTCACAGTGTTTTGTTGAAAGCCAATTAAATATGTCCAAGAGTTCATGTTGTGATCATTTGATATAGCTGCCTGCATTGGTTGAAACAATAAGAAATGCAGAAAATATTCAAGCATCTCGATGGATGGAAATTTCGGTAGCCCAGTGATTTAACCAGGCCACCGCTTACTGGTGAGAGTAATGTGAATTAGAACTTGTAAAATTTCTCACCTTCCTGTTAGATTATATGTGTATAGATAGTTAGTTAGGTAGATGGTAGTTAAATAAAACTCTCAGTAGAGTACCCTGAACAGACTCTTAATGTACCAGTGTCTATGAGACATACTTGTTTTGTGAGAGATGATTACCACCACCCAGTTGTCCAGGTTGAAGTAGATGGAAAGATATTAGGGTAACGACAGGAGACAAAGGCTAGGCGACAGCTTGTTGATTGAGAAAATCAAGTGATATTTATAGATTTTTATGTGCATTATTGTCAACGGGGAAGAAACGTCTTCTGATTGGTTGTTTTCCTGCTGAAGGTTATTCTGTATTGCTTTGTGACCGTTTCTCAGAAAATTAAGGCAAATATCTGAGAATCATATTTCCACACTTTAACTCATCTGTGATTGGTTGGTGATCTTCTCAAGGTTAAGCTTTGTTATTGTTTTTCTCATTACCCTGATTCGGAACGTAGCATTGACGTAAATTGTTGTTTACAATTTCGGCTTGTTCGCATGCAGCTCTCACCACATCAGAACTTGGGATGCCCTTATCCGTTAGCTTGCTCGTGTGCAGCCGAGTACACTGACCGTACCATGCGTCCGCTCGTAAAACGCCCTCGAGAACACTATCCAGCATGGCTAGCAAAGGGAGAATGCATAAGAAAATTTTCTTCTCGGCTGCAACTGTCATTTGAATGACTTGGGATGCATTTAACTGACAGCTGAGTACTGATTATCTGCGAGTTACATCTCCCCACGTATGCCTTAGTGATAAACACGCCGACATTAGTGAACAAACGTCAACTAGAGCTTTCTGAATAGACACGTCTAATTTTTTTCCAAACCAAAATCAAAACGGATGTTCTTTGTACAAGTAAAAGAATATGACAGCATTCCTCCTAGTGGCTAGATAGATTTTACAAGAAATACCACGTAAAATTAGTGTTTTCCTGGTGTAGCGTAGGCTACTGATAGGATTTATTAGTAGCATATGAAGAGACGTTCATCGGTATAAAACACACAGAACAGATGTCAGAGAAAGCAAATGATACAGTGTTGTGGAGATACATGGAAGGAGACGTGAAAGGAACACAAGGAAACACAATATAAAGGGAAGCCAGAAGTAGCACAACACGGATGATCTGTGCAAATGGTGAGTTGAAGATAAGGTGTAGAGATACCAAATTGCAAATAAACAATCCTTCACCAAGGCTTAGTCTTCTACTGTTACACTAGTAATAATAATAATGATAATAATCATAATAAGCGCTAATGACTAACTCACCGATCAATAAGACCGCAAACAATTGGCTTCGGTTTAACACCTGATTGTAAATGATTACATGTACGCAATAACAGTGGTAAAGTGACCATATGAAATTCATCAGGGAAGACCTTAAACAATAAAATTATAAAAAAGAAAAGTTTAAAAAAAAACAATATTATATAAATAGAAGTGGTTTTCGATATAAAATTGATTTTATGTATCAAAAACAGGTCCTTGGATGGATGCTCTGAGTTGATTTGAAGTGCCAATATGTAAAATGTTAACAAAACTAGGAGTATTTTAGGCATAAAAGTTAATTTCATCGGAACTATGACCTAGTAGACTATGAGCGAATACTAACTTAATGTGCCGGCTAATCTGTCCTAGTCGCACGGCAACAAAAATCACACCGCCGGCAAGCAAAGATCGAAGGAAAGACTGAATGTTGATAAGAGAGCTTCTACTGTCTCAAACAACAGTCAAAAAAGGATTGACACAGCTTGCGTATATGGTTGGAGGCAATCGAAAGGAAGCCTTGCTTGACCTAGGTTTCGTGCTAGTTGGCACTCATCAGCAAGGCGTATCTGCAACCTTGAAGGAACTCATGTCCCTTCTGAAATTCAAACCCGCGTCACCCAGTGCTGCAGTCAGAGATGGTAGCACTGAGCTATTCGGGCTCGCGATTGACCTCGTGTAGGATTGTAGTGGGTATTTTGATTGGACACTAGTAACTAGTGTGATGTGTCTAGTCCTTCCTTTGGTGCAGACTGAATTTTATCAGTCAGGTTTGCAATGTGGCCACCACTCTAGGTAGCTCGCCGTCACAGTGCACATTGACATTAGATGGTTGGAGGCAATCGGCAGGAAGCCTTCACCTGACACAGGATCGATTAGGTTGGAAGAGAGCTAGTAGTGGTCAAACCAGTCAACAAAATCCAAAAGATTTAGTTTAAGCCAGGCAGCTACGTAGGGACGTGTAGATTAGCTGGCTGGCTGACTGGGGTCCTCGAGATGATAAGAACCAATGACGGCTGGAGAAAATTGGTGATATGGCTCAAAATCCTCATTCTCAATGACAGCGCAGATGCATTCACTCTTTGTGATTTGCCACATCCATATTACTATTCTTCTTCCCTAACTCACACTTTTTTTTATCTCTCTTTGCTATTTTCTCCTGCTTTGTGTGCTAAATGGAGTGTGGCAACTGGAACTGCCGCACTTCTATGGAAAGTTCTATGTTGAAACCAATCAACCAGTCAGTTACTTCTAATCCTCGCCTAGTTTACCAGCCAATAGTAAACCCAGAATAGAGGAAAGGGTGGAAGTGAGGCTAAAAACTCCGCACACCCCCTCCCTAAAAATGATACCACCTCTCCTAAAGCTTTAATGCTTGAAGCCTTGTGTTTCACACTTTGAAGGTAAGTGATGGGGGAAAAAATTGAACGTGAAGTCAAATTTCCCTTCAATGCTGAGTTGAAAGAAGAAGAAGAAGACTCACTTGTATAATTACATCCATAAGATATTCTTGTGCAATGACATCACGACATTCAATGATCTGCTCCAAAATCGGTGGTAGTACTTGCTATTCGGAAGAAGAAGAAAGAAAAATCAATCAAAAATTGAGGCACTGTTGATAATCCGAGATTTTTTAACAGAAAATAAAGAGAGGCTGTGAAAACATGTTACGATTAGAATAGAATTTACTTTTAATCTAATGCGCATTTCACTTCACTTGCTGATGAAACTACTACTGGTGAACTATGAACCAGTGACCCATAGGTTGAAAGCCAAGTGCTACATTGTGATGAGCCACACCCCTTATTATGTAAGGGACTGGGAATATGTACCCAGTTGATTAGACTAGAATAGTTAGAGAGCGGGATTCGAATCCTACACCGGACTGGTTAGAAGTCGAGAATTTAAGCCTATGAACCACATTTGCATGAAATCCAATCTTAATATCAATCAGATGCACATCTTGTTAATTAATGCCTGACGACTGTTACCAGTATTTTTGCACATAGCGTAAAAGCATACATTCTGTGGCAGTAATGACAGGAGAATGTAAGTAATTGGCATTTATTTGTGTTACAAGGTGTGTTTTCATCAAAAGGTTTAAATGCAGACAACAAAACACATGCGTGTAAATACAATCTCCCACTGAATTGTTACCCGATGGTTTGTGCGAGGGCTGAGATACAACCCGGTGACCCAGACCGATGGTTGTTTTAAGGGACCATCCTCACCCTCAAGCCTTTGACTTGAAGTCATGTTCACAAGGCAGTGGAGCAGTATCAGGAGCTGGGTTCCCATGGTTTCCGATGATTGAAACAGGTTCATATTGCCATTGAATGAGTTCAAATTCTACAGACCATGTACACAACAGGTTTGGAATCAGGGTTTTCCACAGCTACTATAGGTAGACCTGAGTTTCCACCAGCTCAGTTGTAAACGCCAGATGTTCACATTAACCCTTTCACTCACCTCTTGAAGCTAATGAATATCGTTTACCTGCCAGAGGCTAAGAACGCATGGCCATACAGCAGCATTACAAGAGGAAGGCCAGAAGTCTTCCCCCCCCCTTGACCATACCAAGTCGTTTATGGAGGCAAAACATGCAACCAACTACACTGAGCAAAACCAAGATGATACGGTAGTAATCGTTGTGATTTATTCCTTCTGTTGTTGCTGTTGTAAGTTAAGTGGATGAGTTCGAAGGAAGTCAGCTTCAGCACTCAATGACTCAGAGTTCCCTACAATTTAATTTTGAATTATTATTATTATTATTTAAACGCAGAAAAACTTGGTACAATATGGCACCAAGAAAGATGCGCCACACAATTTTGAATAGGCATTAGTGATTTCACTATAACAAAATACTTCTTTTAAACAATTAGAATCTACGGTTATTTTAGCTAGACATTTTCTAAACTACTGTGTCATTTGAACATTACTTATTCTTTGTTTGTAAGGGGTAGGGTCTACCCATTTGGAAGTGAGGACAAATACTCGTCAGCGATGACACATTGGCTGGTGCCAGTCAAGCTAATATCACGAACTGGTAGTGGTTACCGTTCATGAGATGGCTAATGAGTCGCATCCCAATGGCTGAATGGTTTACGAGCTTTTCTTATAACCGGAAAATCCTGGGTTCGAAACCCAGTAGGGTGGCAGGGTACTGACGATGAATCCGAAAATAGGCTCACGAAACAACTGTCTAGTACTCCAGTGATGTTTTTCAATGGTTCTCTAACTGATATCAATCCGTGGTCAGACTTTACGAGAATTACAAAATGACTACACCCAGTGATGAAGTCTCTACGTCCCGTATGTCCCCTCAGACAGTCTGAGGGGAATAAGAGTGAATATGAAATCAACCATTGCTTTAGAAACAACTATTTGTAAACGTGTGAATATAATTCATTTTTAAAAACCCACTAATAGCTCTTACTGTTTTATACTTTTCAACATCAATCGATTCAAGTTGAGATAATCTGTTCAAATTTGCACCGACAAGCAGGCGTAATTCACGACGTTCTTGTTCACGTTTTTCACGATCTCTAGTATGCCCCTGATGTTGCATACGTACCCAAAGTTTATTCATTTCTGAGAAATTGAACAGCAAGAAATTTATACTATCTTCGATAGTTCCTTGTGGATAAACAGGAGTTGACTTTTGACTAACACCTGATTCATCAATATTATTAGTATTGTTATTTGTCTTATTTTCCTCTAAAGTGAGCTCAGTACCATTTTGAGTATTCTCACCATCGTTAAGAGTTGTATTCACCGGTGTTGGTGTTGACGGAGAATCCTGAACAATAATGGAATTAAAGGAAAACACAAATATACTGTGAGCGGATCAACCTTAAAATATATAAATATGAAAATGATTTACTTAGCATTCACTCCAAAAAAGTTTACAAGTACATTTCTAGACTTCGTCATGAGCTGATATCGGTTAGAGAGAACCATTAGAAAACCAGCTGGGAGTACTGGACAGCTGTTTCATCAGCCTAGTTTGGGACTACTTTTCGACAGTATGCATCCTCCACACTGCCAGGGTTCGAACCCAGGACCTTCCGGTCAAAAGGCGAGCCAGTTCGTAGACCATTAAGCCACCGGGACCGGATCCAATGGCCAGCTCATGAGTTCCAACTCCTACCAATTCACAATATATTGCGACTGACACTAGCCGATGTCATCGGCGGCGAGTATTTGTCTTCACATCCGACTTGCTGTACACCACTGGTTGCGAGCTCGCCTTGTAACCAGAAGGTCCTGGGTTCGAACCCTGGCGGTGGCGAGGGTGTTGAAGAGTGGTCCCAAACTAGACTGACGAAGCAACTGTTCAGTAATTCCATTATGGGTGAATTTTATTTTGATAGAGTCTCACAGTGTTATACAGTAATATTTACTGATAAATATTACTGTATAACACTGTGAGACTCTATCAAAATAAAATTTACCCATAATGGAATTACACTCTACCACAGTGCCCAAGTTTTATTCTTATATCAACTGTTCAGTACTCCAGAACTGGTTTTCCAATGGTTCTCTAACCAATGTCAGCTGATGATGAAATCCTGTAACTAGTTAAATCCCTGTTAAGCAACACTTGGAGATTTCTAGATGGTGGATATATCTCATAATACAACCCTTGGCAATCATTTGTGCATAAACAGGTGAAGTGAAAGTCAGTGGTACAAGTTGGTTAGCTGAATCCAAACAAGTGAGACAGTATTGGAATCTGTGATTTACGCAATGAAAATCAAAACAAAGATTTCAGCGAGGAAATTCCTCTTTGCGGCGAGGAATATATATATATACACCTGTTCTTGTGGAGCTACGTTAAAAGAACATTAGTGCATAGGAAAGAGGATACAACTTATTCCCTCTGTCCTTCTGATGTAAATGCTACCACAAGTACAGAAGCACACGATGAGAAGTAGATATTCAAAGTGCAGTTTTACCAGGTGACACCTAATGGATATAGGCCGCCATCTTGGTCAACATCTGCAAATCCTTCAAAATACTAAATATCCAAACGACACCAAAATTCACTACGATTTACCGAAACGAGTGCCATCAAACTGTTATTCTTTTTTAGTTACCTGTCTTTCCCACCTCATTTACTACTTTGCCATACACACAGAAATTGATGATAATGATGACTTGAGCTAAGAAACTGTAATGCTTATATATTAGACACCTTAATCTATGACATTTTGTCAACTATCATTCTAACACTGAAGTAAGTTATTTCCATTCTTTTATAACCATTATAATTTAAAGGTACCCTGAAGCAGATGAGGACGCCGGAAATAAAATGATGTCATTCAACACTGCAGATTTGGTCTTTCTAGCTTCGAAATTTATCAAGAGAAACAAGAGTGTACAAAGATGAAATCATCGCAGAGGGAATTTTCTTCACTGAGTTTCTTTTACTGTACACACCAATGTCTGTCTGTCTGTTTTCGACATAGAATTTTGCACATATGTGTGGCAGTTTAAGTCGCCACACCCCATGTAGCACACAAAGGCAAGAGGAGAAAGTAGGAGAAATGCATAATATAGACAGTAAACAGAGGTGTGAGACGATAGGAATAGTAAGAACGAAGAACAAAACAGTTTAATTGGAAATCATAAGTCACAAGGAGTGGATGCATCTGCGCTGTCATTTAGAACGACTTTGAGCCATGTCACCAATTGTTTCCAACCATTGGTTTTTACCGTCCGGAGGACCCCAACCAGGAAGTCTACACCTTCCTACGTGGCTTAGACTAACTGTTGTAGATTTCATTGACTGGTGCCATGTTTTCGTTTGACCGCCGCTAGCTCTTTGTACACACCAATAGGGGTTATTAGTTTATTGAGTTGATTGTCATTGTTTAAAGATTTTGTTTAATAGACAACAAAAACAACAACAACAACAAGAAAGCAACTCATGAACACTGGTCTTTTATAAGAAATACTTCATAAGAAATGACATAAAATCAGTATATCTCATGGAATAGACAGGGAGAACAATGTGCCAATTCAGTTTACCAAAACGCGATTATTGTGAATATCACCTTAGAAGTGTCACACATAAGTGTATAATATCTTTCATAACAGAATATTGGAACTATTTCTGTGATGAATATCTGAAACCCGACACTAATAAACATAAATTAAAATGTTACATTATTACTATTGTTCCCTTGAGTTTCGAGTGGAACATATGGCTTTAACAACATATCTCCACTTTGTCCTACTCTTTCCAGCCCTTTCTAGCTGGCCTCACGATTTCCCGTAGTCTCACACTTCCTCCTTGGACACACACCCAACTCGTTGTTCCACTCCAGAGGTGGTGTGGCATGTGATGCCACTCAACGGTCTTCTCAGAGTAGGTCAAATCTACATCCATTTCAGTCTGCAAATTTGTAAGCCAACAAGTTCCCGGTTGACTCGTTACTAGAGTCATTTGTTACCTATTTCTCCTGGCCATTTGATCTTCAATGTGGAGCCGGCTATTGAAGGCAGCTGTTGATAAAAGTCTTCAGTAGCCTGCTTTTCGTGAAGTGTATGCCGTTTCCCACTCATATGGAAGAAATCACTTAACACTGGTGTTGAAAATCCGAATCTTTTTCTTTATGCTGAGGCTGAGTGCAGAAAATTTCCAAACTGATTTCAGAGTGATGAAGGTCAGTCTTGCCTCGCCAATTCTGGTTTTAACATCCTTATCCGTGCCGACTGTCTGTAGTTGAAATGATGCTGCCTAACCAGATAAATAAAGGAAGTGACCTCCTCTTTCAAATTTATTCCGTTGATAATGATCGGTGCTTGCTGTTATTGTTGGTTAGTTGGTTTTCTGCATCACCTGTCTTTTCTATGTTCACTTCAAATCCTGTCTTTGCTGCCAGCTTCTTCAGCGAATTTGTTGGTTTTCGCCTGTAGGTCTTTGAGTTTGTGTGGCATTAGACCTAAATCAGCAATGGAATCCAGATCTTTTGGAGTCTTCTTATCGGTAGTCCAGCATATTCCTGTCTCCTCGCTCCGCACAGTCTGACGCATAATTCAGTTTACCACAATCAAAAATATCATCGGTGGATGGTGGACAGCCTTGTCTGACTCCTGTATTCGCTCCAAACGCTTCACTGAATTTTCCGTTGTGGATCACCTGACACATGGCATTGTCATATAGCCAGCTGTTGAATGAACAAGCTGGATTAAATCTTACGATAAGACTTCAATAAGTACACAGTGCAATGGTAATAACAGCAGTCAACTGCGGACAATTTAATTTCATGTTAAACAACATTGAGAGACACAAATAAAGATACTAAAAAAGAATCAGTACCTCAATATCTGGAAGGAGATCACTGCGTAGCGATTGTAACAGATAGCTTCTTAGAAAGAGACCTCTTGTAGGATGCTGTACACCAGAACACATCTCGACTAGATCACGAAGAATTTCACGTCTTGACAATTCAGAGCATTTAATATGATAAACTCCAACAGTGATAAGCAAGTACCTGAAATATATCAATAATGAATAGTAATAATAATAATAACAATGCAGTTAGAAGTTAAATTATCCTAAAAAATATTGCTCGGAAAATTTAGACTGACTTAACTGAATGAGCACAGATTTCTCACCTGCTGAAATATGAAGTCAAGAGATCCTATTGAAATAAAATAAAACAGCTCCACTGGCAATAAATGGTAGTTTAAATGAAGTTGACTTGTGGACCGCTGAATTAGCGACCCAAGTTTTAACTAGTGTTTTTTACATGTTCACATTACAAACTACATAGAGCTAATAGCTTAGTTAATGGCTTAGATACTACTGTCTCGATGAAATATGGAATTTCTGATCAACAGGCATAGATAGTATAAATATGAACTGACAATTCCATACAGGTGGGCATGCTTATGAATGATCCAATCTTATTGTAAAAGAATAAATGACAACAAGCAGATACTCAAACTACGGCAAAATGAGGTGAGTTCGAACCTACGGCATACTATTACATTTGTCAAAACGTACATACTAAGAAAACAGTACAAATCACCAGTGTAAAAATGCATCCAAGAGATCGTTAATATATCATTCTATTTAAGTGAGCTATGTAAAAGATGCCAAATTCAATGGGAACTTGACATGTTATAACATATTTGGTTGATTTCGTGTCTTTACTCTGAAAAATACACTAAAACCCAGTACTCATTGTTAGAAATGGACTGGAGAATTCATTGCAGAATGCATTTCACGAAGAAAAAACCCAGTAACAAAACAAACAAAATGAAGTGAACAATAAATACTAATACACAAGTGAATGGACTTAATTACTATTGCGTAAGAATGCAGAACAAGTGTTAGTAACCAAACGATGAAATAATAAGGAAGATAACAGTCTGACCATTTAAAGAATGCCAATAATGACATATGATGGGATTAAGAGTGTTATTGAGTTGAAAGCATGAATCTAAATCCAATACTTGACACAAAGAGAAATAAACCTTCTATTGTAAAAAGGATTTCCATAGAAGCCATCTTGTGAAATGTTGGTGTTTCTCCTATCTACTCAAAGAAGTGCTATGGTCCATTAGTTTGAGAACACGACTAATAGATCCGTGCAGAACAGCTGCAACTTGCCGTCAACATATGATTTTTTAAAATATGATCTCAAGTTAGATCACAAATAGACCTTAGTTAGAGGGCCATTGAAAGCCAAGAGGCACTGGACAGCATTTGCGTGATTGTTCGGGACTCTCTATCAATACACACCTATTACCACAGCAGAAATTGAACCCAGGACCTTCAAATTATAAGGCTAGATAGTTGAACACTTAGCCACTTAGGGGACCCAATGTCCCATGAATTCTAACTTCTACTAAATTAGTCATATCCCTTCAAGAAAATAGCCCATAAAAGCATGTGAACTCAAACTTAGATATCCGACAATGTACATTTTTTCGGTAACCAGCCTTCAGCCACTGGATAATGGGCTCGAAATATGCTCCACCTACAAGGATTTTGGTGACCAGATGGTTTCACCTATACTCCAAAAATAGGTACTTATCGTTAACATTTGTATATAAATGCGTCATCGTTGAGGAAGCCATCACATCCCCAGAGCTACTTTAACCTTAAATTCCAAAAGAACTTTGCTTACAAATCACAATGTATTGATACATCCTGATGGCACTAAACCTGTACCGAATACAAAAGTGTGGAGAGTATAATGATGCACTAGCGCACATAACAACACAACACTACTTCAAGCTTCTCAGGTTTGCAAGACCAAAGATGCAATAACAAGAAAGAGAAAATGAAGAAAAAGGACTCAAATGAGCGTACAGAAAGTTACACTGAGAGCAATAACATGACCAAGAAATCAAAAATATAAAACGACGTGAAGTTCCCTCACTAGGTACATAAACATAAGTCACTATAATTAATCACACTAACAGAGAAAAACTATTTTACGTTAATTCTGCATATGATTATGTACAAAAAAAAATACATTACGACTTATTGCAAGTAGTTATAGATAAATCCTCCAGGTATGATTGAATTGCACAACAAAAATTTAGTACTGACATTTAAAGACTGAGAATATGTCACAATATAGTGAATAATGGGTAGTACAACGCATATCACCGCTGAAATGAAAATCTTACAGAAGTGTGACAAACGACAGATACTATCACTACAGCAAGAAAATGAAAGAAGCGTAGCAATTATGTCAGATAAAAAAGCCGATGAGCCTAAATAATTTTAATGGATATCTGTCGAATGAATAAGTGAAGGGTTTAGGAATACCATAACTGATGTGGTGCTCTTAAGAAGAGCTATGAAAACATTACAGTAGTATTTAAGACTGCAAGTATGTTGCGAAATAAAACAAACAAAATACCTCACAATTTCTTCGAAATAATAAGATGATATAACTTAACAGCCACGAAAACTAAAGCATATAATTACCCTCTCGGTGACTTTCTGGTAAATGGACGATGAAGAGGTCACATATAAGTGGGGCAGTTTAGATTTTCACGAGTCAAAAGTGTTGTCTCGCAACTAGTAGATTAATCGTCGAGATATGAGAGTAGATGACTGAAACCTATTAACGAAAGTGTAACAGGAGACCAATAGAGACTACAATTTATTCGCCGCCTGCATCAATGATACCTTATTTGTAAGTAGTTGTGCCTTTTTAGGCAAATGAAGTTATTTGTCGACAGAAAAAAACCGAATAAACTCTATTAAATTAGGCCGTAACATGACATAACATATTCTTTACAATTGTCATTTTATGTATTATTTCTGGAATTATAGGTTTTAAAATGTGACCACTCTTTTAGTAAAGTGTTTTTCCTGGTCAGCCTTAACCTCCATTAAGAAAGTAATGATTGTCACTGAGTCTCAGATACGATCCTGAGCCAACGCAGTCATTAATGCCTCAGTCTGAATATTTTTGCCAAGTGCTTTGCATTCACGTCCTGTCAAGATATAGCTCAATGAATTAGAAAATACCCAACAACCACACTATTTCACTAAACAGGTCTCGGGCAGTCCAGTACTAGTACCACCCTTGACACAACAAATGATAACGACTTATATATGAACACATGATCATGGTCATTATTGAAAATATTCCTATCAATGCAACAAGTACATTGCACTTCACACCAAATGGATGAATATTTAATGTAAAAAATAAAAATCTATCAAAATAGGAGATGACTTACAATCGAGGAAGTATATTTGAAATGTACTGAACGGTCTCATATAAATACAAGACTTTACGTCCGTTTTTGTGTTCTTCAATGAGATAAGATTCAAGAATACGCAGTTTGTCTGTAACGACGATATCTACCGAGGTAAATAGAAAAATTGAACAACTTACAAAGTTCATAGTATGCTTTGGGTGAGAGACAGCAGTTCTTCATTTCCATAACCATATTGGCCGCATGCTGTATCGCATCCACCAGATACCGTTTATCCTACAAGCATATCTCATAAGCGTCATTACTCACCAGAGAGCATTCCATCTGACATGCATGTTGCCTAACATTGCATAGGCACTCTTCTAAGAGGCTTTCTTGATCTTCTTTCGGAATCATAGCAACATAACGCACAAATTTGAGACTTGCGCTGAAACGCTGAATGTCCAATATCCGTTTTAAGTGATTACACCATTCTTACAACATCTTGGCTCTCCTTCTTGTGTCGGAAAGTCTACAGATATCCTATGGATATGTCACAATACATCCTAGTATGAATTCCAATATCCAATATCCTGATTACGAGCTAGTGTAAACCAGTGATTTCTTTGAGCTTGCTTCTTGATTGTAAGGTAGAGGTTCCAGATCTTCGGTGAACTTATTCGTAGTAAGTCCCGCCACTCGACTGCTTTAGCTCTGGTAGACTCCAAGAGGAGTGGTGCGGGGATTGGTCAAAATGTGGTTTGTAGTGTGCAGTATGTTAGGATTGAGTTGCTGCCGTGAATAGAGTTTGACCTAACTCTTTGTAAAACTGACCTGAGATTGTGAAAGTTGTTCCTGAAATTTAGTAGATTTCCTCCGCTTATGCCTCTGGCTAGCAGAGGCATTGATGGTTACTGGGAAAAGCAGGACACTGGTTAAAGCCGAAGGGTTAATTAATGTTTCTGTTAAGATCTTTGTGACCACGGTTTTTCGTCAGTTAGTCGCACTTTTTTGATTGAACGCTATTAGATGGTGACCAATATAATGGCAGTGAGATTAATTAAGAAAAAGAGAAGAATCCTGAAAAAGAAAGATTCGATTAATTAGGATAAGAGTATGGCAGCGCAAATTTGGGTGACTTACGATCCGTTAAGTACTACGTGCTACTGAGTGATTACGTAACCTATCTGAAGCCGTAACTGCTTCGAAGAATCAACTGTTTCTGTCAGAAGAATCTCTTACTTCATCGTTGATCAGATTTATAATATCTTCGGCAATATTGAAAGCGGCACCACAAATCTGTACAAAGTGGTGTTTTGTGGACAGTAAAATTACAACGAAGGATGATTTCCATGATTCAGTTGAATCCTAGAGTAATTCACATAATGTGCCCCAGATGGATTCCCAGCATTCTTTGACGATGGCCCGTTGGATGTTATCTCAAACTTGCCTCAATTCATTTAGGACCCTAGCAAATTTTTAGAAGGCTGAATTACTACACCTTAGTACAATGACTCATTGAGGTAGTTGTTCTGATTGACGGTAATGTAACTCACCATTTTCTTTAGCTAATCGTTAAAGACAGAGCTGAAGACTGAGATCATTTATATGCACTTGCAGCATTATACATCTGGATGTCTTATGACCTGCTTTTCTTCATTGTTAGACCTATTACAAGTTCTCTGAGTTTGTGAAGAACTTCATTGGAAGGCTTCCCTGGTATGGCCCTCTGTTTCTCTGGCAATAACGTGACATTGTTCCTGTAGTGCTAGGTACTTTGGGCACACAAAATAATAGCCTGAATACCACTGCCAATATGCGTTTTATTTTAGACGTTTTGTACCAGTTGGTCACTTGTTAGGATATAGTTCGGTTTTGGAAACGTAAGCCACCTGGTTTCATCACCCAGTGCTTCATGAGATGCTAACTGGGATCGTCCGCAGAGCTGACTGAGATACCACACATTCTTTCGATATCCAGTATCCCATCCCTCTTTATAGTCTAGTGTGTTTGTTTCTTGCTAGTGACGCAATGTTCCCTGATTTTCAGGAACCTTCAATCCATTGACGTCAGATGAATTCCTCGAATACCACACGAAAATTGATGAGTTACTTTCTTTTTTATTATAGCTTGATTCCACACCGTATTTTTTGGTACAGGTATGGAATTTTCAGCATATGATATCGGTAGCCCAAATTTTGCAGGCCGACCATAGATATCAGGTGTGCGTCGGCAGGGGACCGAACTATAGACCATGTGCATTTTCGGCGAGAGTCCTAACCACTGTGCCACCGACGCACAGACAATAGAAAATTTTCAGTGTCAAATCAATCTCCTGAATGCTGAACTGATTCAGGCGTTATATTTAATAGTTGTTTGAGGCCCGACGAAGTAAAATTTTGAAGCACAAGATGATTTCTAGAGGCTGCATCTCCCACTCCGTAAGTTAGGTGCATCTGAAGATGATCAGTACCACAATATGACTGTGGCACAAAACTTGCGCGAACGATATCTTTGACGTCACGGCACAGGAGTTAGGAAATCATTGTCCTGCCAATTCCCGACATTTCCATCTCAAGCTAAGATGCCGATCTTCTCACTTACTATGCAGATAATCATTCAGTGCCACCCAAGCCTATAAGGTGTTAGATATCACAATCAACTTCAGCTTTGGTTTAAAACAGAGCGAATATATATCCAAGAAACTTTTATGACTGCTATTACTGTACACTGTGGTCTATTTTCAAGAGCAGGAAAGATTTATCTTGCTATTGGCTTTGGCAATACTACCACAGAAGCAGCTTGCTATTTTGTTGGAGTGAAACCTATCTAGGGTTGTCATAGTTGCTGTTTTTTACTGTGTGCAAACAAATCTACTACTCATAAATGAACGCTGACCCTAACCGATGTGTGTTTTCAAGCTGGATCTTGGCTGTGCGACTGCTTTAAATAGGTGGTGGGTGAGAGTCGCACTCACTCCATGATACCTAATCTACAAAATTGTCCCAGAATCCGTCGAAGTTATGACATCTGTGCCTCCCAGAGACTACAGGGTGAGACAGAATATAGTGGTTGATTATTGATAGTGGTACTGATTATTGATAATGTGGCATAAGTCGGAATCAAGGACGCACGCCAACCACGTTGGGTTACTCCTCCAAAATTTAGGATCTTCTCTTGAATCCGCGCATGCGCTCACTAACCTTAGCTCTGATTCCTGATCAGTAACAGAATTATGAAGTCAACAATTCCGATTGATCGAATTTAACTGCAAAGAAAGATCAGATGAATTTACAAATGTTCACCATCTCAGATTCACTAAGTCCCACGTGGGACAACACCCATTTGCACTTACAGGCGTCCTAGGTATTATTTCTGATGTGTACCGTTCTTTAGCTCTGAGAAACCATGGACGAACATTGAGATTTCGGATAATGGACAGATTTTCATCCTTGTCATAACTATGGCTTCATGGCCACCTTTGAGACAATCCCACCGCTTAGAAGAGGAAATTAACATTTTTCGGTTATCCAGCAGAGTTTGATGTCTCCCTGTTTAAGCCCTCTATGTAAACTGGAAGAGTTTAGCTAAAAGGAATGACGCTACAAGGCAAACACTAGTATTTTATTTTAAAAAGATTCTTTTTCAACTCAAGGCTCCAAGTTTGTTATATGTAACCACAATAGTTTAACTACCAGTATTCAAACTGTACCAATATTGACTATTTATCATATTAGTCAGGCATGCAGTCAATAGGATTTCATCGTTCTGACAAAAAGTGAAGACCCAGTCATGTTGTTGTGTGACCCATCCCCAGGACACAATTTTGAGTATATTCCCAATGAATGTACAATCATCTCTTTCCAATATCCAATATTGTTTTTACGAGTTAATGTAGGCCAATTTGATTTCTTTGTGTCCCCTTCTTAATTTTGAGGTAATTGTCCCTGGCCTTCGGTAAATTCTTGCGTAGTTTGTCCCAGCACTCTACTGTTGTAGCTTTGGTTGACTTCCAAAGGAGTGGTGCTGGGACTAATTATATGTATTTTGTGGTATGCGGTGTGTTAAGACTGTGTTTCTAATCTTAATAGAGCTGATTCTTTGACCTGTTAGTCTTCCGGTGTCACTGTTAAAAGGAATGGCATAATAATAACAGATGTATTTAGTGTAAGTTATGTGGACTAAAGGAAAAGAAAGAAAAGAGAATGTAAAAACTGACAGCTAATGAAATTTGAAGTTGACATATATATATTTATATATGTGTATACAAATACAAATAATCAAATAATAATAGTGTTAGGGATGTCATAACTGGATTATTCAGGATAGTAGGACGGGAGAGAACGTGAAAGGATGAAACGACGAGTCTAGATGTCTACTCAATAGTAGTGTATAAGTTGTAAGAAGATAGGCTGTTGGGGCACAGTCCATGTGTCGCTACATGATTATCCAGCCTTCGCTTGGAGTTGGCCACAGGTGGTGCCTTAGCTACATCTATCGGTAGTGAGTTCCAGAGACGGCAAACTCATAGTAAAAAGAAGTGAGAGAATACTCCAGTCTTTGCCCTCTGGTGAGCTCACCTTCGTAGATTCTCACGAGGATGCGCATTAATAAATAATGGCAGAATACCTCTATTTGTCACCCGTTCTGTCGCCCGCCTTTGTGTAAAGTGCATGACAGTGTATGCCCTCGATACATCCCCCGTGTAATTTACGCTTGTGTCCATTTCTTCAGTTACAACTAGATCTAAGTCGCGCACCGATGTTGTGGAGGACAAGTCTTCATTGCACTGAGTGTAACTTGCATTCTGCAGTCTACAGGTGCGCAGTTTCACTACTTTGCACTTTTGAGGCTGAAAGTCACACCACTGGCCACTGCACAGTCTTCCAGAAGCTTTGTGTCTGCCCGCAACCTATCTGAGTCTTCCGGACACTTTATTACCCTCCATATCTTTACGTCGTCAGCATATAGAAGAGTCCGGCAGAGTATACGGCACAGTAGGTCACTGAAAAAAAATCGAAAACATCAGTCATCCTATAATAGAACGCTGCGACACTTATGTTGACTAGGCGTGTCAAGATGATTTACTCGATTGACCTTAGTGCGGAATTCCCTTTCAGCTAGGTATCCTTCCAGTCATGACAGGAGCGGCCCATCTATGTCCCTCTGAATTATTTGGTATAGGAGAAGGTCATGGCGAACTGTGTCAAATGCATTCTCAAAGCCTAGGAAGACCACATGGACTGGAACATTCATATCCCAGCATGACGTTCAATCATCTCAAGCTAATAGTAGGTTAGTTACACAGGGTCCGTATTTCTTGAAATTATGTTGGGTTTCATGGAGCCTGTTAGTCCTATCGAGGTAATCCCTGATGTGATCGTCAATAATACTTTCTAGTGCCTTTGATACCACTGGGAGTAGAGCTACTTATCTATAACTAGTGGCATTTTGCCTATCCTCACTCTTGAAAACTGGAGAAGCGGTGTTTCTTTTCCACTCCTTTGGCAGTTTCCCCTATTCCATGGGGTGTTGGAACAAGTCGCATAAGGGCCTACAGAGAGATTAGGCGCACTGTTTGAGAACAGATGGCCTAATGGAGCGTAGCCACTAGGTTTTTTTGGTGAAATATTGGTGCTGCCTTATCGGCCAATACCGGTAGTGCACACATTGATGTTTGACCGTTTCGGAAAGGCTGGTATGAATGTTTCAGCCATTTACAGACTAATGAGATGTTGACCGCTTGGACCTACCAAGACGCATGCCCCAAAGTTGGCTGGTTTGCTCTCCGATATCAGTCGGTACATGCTTTTGGAGCTCACCATAATTTTTTGGCGAGATTAGTCTGAAACGACCTCCTGTCACTCCTGATTCTTATGCTGCATTGGTTTCTGAGTTCCAGATATGCATCGTGTTCAGTCTGACTCTGATTCTCGCCACATAAACCAAGCCTTCCTCTTTGCTTGCGTAATACGTTGCATACCTCTCTTCGGCCATGAGAACCTTTTCTTCAGCTGTGTTGTGGCTAGAGGGGCAGTATCTGAAGTTGCTGAGTGAACGATGTTTTTTACCTCTTCTCAGTGTTCATCCGCGGATAATTCAGCCCATTCTATGGGCCATTTTACGTTTGACAAAAGCCTCCGCATTCCGGTATAAGCAGCTTTGTTATAGCACATACATGGTCACGTAGCGTCCCACTGTTAGCGCTCACGGAGAACAAGATAGAACCCTATGAATGCGTAGTCACTATGTCCTGCGAGAGCGTCACGATTCGACAAGTAGTTAGTCACTATTTAGAACATGATCTAGTTTCGATGACTTTCCACTATGGCCCCACCCGTTGTCGTCTCCAACATTCTCAGTCATTCCTGTATTTCGAATAGTTTCCAGTAGATTTCGGCCAAATTTTCCCTTAGCATACCCAGAGCCAAGGTTAAGTGATGGGGCATTGAAATCTCTGCAGTGTCACTGAGGCTAGGAGACGTATTGTGACCTCAGTCTGCTCCCACCTTATGGTACGAGGTCTGCCTTCGCAGCATCGGGTGTGTCCTCTCAATTTACCCTTGGTCTCGTACCACCGTTGAAGTACTAGAGCCGACTGTTCCTGGGAGTCGAATTTGACACTTAGCAGCCTTGGGGAAGTAATCAGTATGGGAAGAGCGGGACGAGGTAGTGAGAAAATCGAGATTGCTCCGGAAGCACCAAGAACTATGTGAGATAACAGCGATCTCCATTGCTGCATGTCATGTATGTGTTTTTCACAAGCAGTGCTCGTTTCCAGCTCCAGAACACCGTGTACGACGATGGAGAGTAGAGGGCATCAGTCCCGGTGACTCCCTCGCCATTTACCTTTTAGAGTATGACCTATCAAGTCTGACTCATTAACTGTAACTCCTGTCAATAGTTAATACTTGAGCCAGTAATAGTATTGTTTCAGCCTCTTCTGCAGTGCCCAATGTCACCCTTAATGGAGGCAGCTTACCTTGAGGTGCCTGGACACTTCTGTACAGCCTGCAATATTTCGCCGAATTTATGTCTTGATCAAACAGAACTCTTTGTTCAAGCAGACTTTGTTGCACATGGGCACATTAAACAGGATATGGGAATTTGATCGACTGACCTCTGACTTAAATTTGGTATTTGGCTGCTTGTCCTCCTTTGTGGGGTCAGTCACTTTCAACTTCATCAGGGCCTGACTATTCTTTGCTACGTTGACATGCAGCAGCATAAGACTGTGTCGAGACACAAAAGTGGAGTGGTTTTTCTGCTATTTGGGGACAATGCGCGTGAGACTGTGCTAGCGCGGGAAAAATGGCGGATATACAAGAGCCACATACTCGTGGTATAGCACCCCTTTGTCACAACAGCAGTGTACTCATCGTTTGCAAAAATAGTATTCAAATACTGAGTCAGTTTAAAAAACAACAACACTACAGGCCTGACATTCGTCTCCTTTTCTAGAAGACGCTTTTGACGTTTCATGACATCTTGAGCGTTTCTTTTTAGTTTCGCTGTGTCACACACTGGCTTCTAACGGATATACACGTAGTGTCATGTTAGCTTGGTGTTGCCTGTGCCGTTTCAGTGCTAGACTGTGGCATTGTAGGCATAGTATCAGGATACGCGAGATGTACACTGGTCTTTAAAAACCGGTGTGCGAGATGGGGTTAATATACCTGGGATATTTCCTCCCCTGGCTGGAGCCCTTGTCAATACAGAATATGATGCCTAGTGCTTTATCCAAGGCTACTTTCAACCGTCATATTAACAGTTACTACAACTTATGCTTATTTGTGGATAAGAGAAAGCATCAGCATCTGCCCAATGAATAAAGAACAAAAAGATTGATAAAGTTTTCGACTTTACCTAGTTCTTTTTGGTTACTCAGCTTCACAGAAATGACGTGGTAGACTAACAAGTCTTGTTTATCTGAACGATTGAGGAAGGTGCTGCTACAAATGTAGCATCTGAATCTTTGGTAGTAGCTCGAGACAGCTGGACGTATCACACAGATATTTAACGTGGAAGTAGTGGTTGAATTTAAGTCAACGGCTAGGAAGATCAGGTTTGCCAATCGGATAATTCACAAAATAGGTATTTTCGGTCACAGAGGAAAAAGCACGTCGCATTCAAGCAGCGCGATTTTTTTACTGTGTTGTAATGTACATTCCAATATTATCATTGAAGTCTCCTCATTTAATATATATAGGGCTGGAGAAACTAGCCAGGCTATTGTGGAACTGTTAAACAATCTCTGTTGGCTGAGTACCAGCCTAGAATTTCTGAAGACACTGACTGGAATCCTGCCTTGACGAAGATTTCCACATTTAGTCGTCACTCAGTACACTAATTTACAATGTAGAGGTAATGTCACTATAAGTCATCGAACGTTTATTTATTAACAGGTATCAGTGACCATATACTATTTGGCTTCTAGACTCACTCGAGTCTAAGAGAGATGTACAATCATAAATTTGATCACACAGGTCACAACTTCTCTTGATAATTCAATAAAATTTATTCCCTCGGCTTAGAGTATGCAGGCGACAGGATTCTGTGCTGTGAATACTGTGACATAAGGCAAATGGTATTCTTCTCTTCAACTGGACACATATCTCGTAAAACGTAGTGTGTGAATGGAGCGATTGGGTGTACTTGTTCACGATAATGGCTAAGAAAACAATATCAACAGTGATGAAGTTCTAGCTGAGAAGTCTTAGAATAGACGTAAACAATTATCGGATTTTGGAGATTATCTTCCCCAGTGAACATGAAAATATCCATAAGTGACCAAATACACTAAACACCGTAACTTACTGTTTTGGCAGTGGTAAGCTGATAGGAAGCGTCATAGGTGGAGGACCTTCTGTTTCAAGTTTAGATGACTAGGAGGCTAGACAAATACACTGCTTTTACACCTTCGAGCTCAGTTATTTGTCATGCCTGATTACTGTGTGGCCATCTGTCCTGCTTCTCAAAATTGTTTGACTGTTTAGAGTGGTCAGTTCCAACCTGGTGGACAGACTGCTCTCAAAACTCACCCTACCTAATAAAGGAAGAAAATAGTGCCTAAATCGGTCCTAGGATGTACTAAGACGGAGGAATATTCGCAGATTATTGGAACACACTGATTAAATACAGTGGTGCAACCATGAGCTGGACCTTAAATGTCTGGCTGTCTTGGCTTTATCTCTTCTAATTTTCATCAGTAGAGGCAAATTGCCCGTTGAATGTGAAATGATTGGAATTCAATAGAATTCACGAATCTGTTTGATTTCCCACAGATTTATGCTGCTATGTTAAGATGATAACCTTATTGGACAATCTTTAACGTCATAGGGCCAATCAGATTAATTTATTTAATTAATGACCTTACCTAGTTTTATGTGCTTTGGAAATGTATTTATATGCATATTTTGTCTAAAAGCAGCAGTTTTTCTGAAAAAAACACTTATCTTAAGATATTTGCGTGGCTAAATGAAGCTTAGTGGACAGTTGTATATTGGCGTATGGTGAAGTATCAGTTAAAAGAATGAAATCATATCATTGATCATTTGATGTATCTATTCCGCCGAAACTGCAACAAAAAATTAAACTTTACATAATAAATTCATTATGAGAGAAAACAAAAGTATATTAAAAACAACTGATCAATTAATTGTTTAAAATAGCATTTTTGTTTTAGTTCTCGTTTCAAAATCCCGCGGAAGTATCGTTTTAAACAAAAAACAAATTAACAAACAACGAAACTCATCTTTTTCCCCAGAAAGATAAAGTGAAGTAACTTCTATTAAATAATAAAGTACAGATAGCCAAAACACAAAAATATAAGGCAAACAAGGCAACATCGAACTGTTGGAAAGAAACACAATACAACTACAGCAACAGGAACACAACAAATGAGTATTTCTTTGCAAACCGAAATCAGCTGGAGAAATGCACAAAGAGAGACTAAACAAATAGTGAAAAATAGCACAATCTCGTTATATTCATGTGTGGGGTGTGTGTGTATGTGTATAGCAAAGCACATCTCAAATGCACACAAACACGAAACAGGTGTACAGAGACAGAGATAGATAGGGAAAGGATGATGGCACACATTTAGTGATAATAGGAAGAACGAAAGAACTACACTGTAATGTTATCATAGCTATACACAATTGGATTTAACTATGAATGAATCCATAGACACACCTAACGATTTGCGTTGGTTTGAAACTATGTATACAAACTTGTGTGTGTGTGTGTGAGTGTATGTATTTCTGTTCCCACTTTGTCTGACATCACTGGGATGTGTACATAGACTAGAAAGTTATGGCATGCTCATATTCATTGCCTAATCAATACTATTATGATTATTATTACGACTGAAAACGATACGAGAAGTGAGGAGTTGAAGTATAATTCAGAGAAATTACAATAACAGGAATAAAAAGGGTTAAGTTTCTCAAACAAATTGATTGATACTGGTGGGGAGGGAGGAAGACGAAGGGAAGGGGAACGAAAACAACACCACTTTTTTTTTCAAAAGTCAATTTATACTCGACTTATTACTGTTATTATTATTACTATTATTACGTATAGTTTTTAATAAAGTAAAAGTTTCATGAAATAATTGTTTATAGGCTGGTTTATAATTTTTATTAATTAAATCTTGATATTGTGAACGTATATGTGGATTGTAGATACGATCAAGGCAACTGACAAAATTGATATCATCTAATAAGTCGTTAATTTGATCAGCAATTCTTGGCTTTTCTTTATCATCATCAGCTGATGATGATGATGAACAGTTGGGTGTTTCGCCTTCAGAAGTATCTTTCACACTGGATGATGATTGTTTGCATTTTCGTTGACACGGTGTAGATGAGTGGATCTGATAGTGCAAACAAAAAAATATTTTTGAAAAAAACAAACAATAACTCAAGTATTGCTTTGCAGGGATTTTGATTGATTGGTTGGAGGTTTTCCTCATGAGCTGACATGTGTTAGAGAACCATTGGAAAACCTGGGAGTACTGGACAGCTGTTTCCTACGTTCTAGTTTGGGACTCTTCGACAGTACGCACCCACCGGTGGCGCTATGTCGTGTATCGGCAGAAGTCGGAATTCATGGGCCATTGAATCGGGTCCCAGTGGCTTAATGGTCTACAAGCTCTCCTTTTAACCAGAAGGTCCTGGGTTCAAAACCGTTGGGTGCCTACTGTGAAGAGTCCCAAACTAGGCTGAAGAAGCAGCTGTCCAGTACACTCCCTGGTTTTCAGTGATTCTATAACTAGTTTTGGCGCGTCGGTGGCATAGCGGTTAGGATGCTCGCCGACCATGCACATGGTCCGGGGTTCGATCCCCAGCCAATGTACTCTTTTACATCGCTAAGTCAGAAATAATATTGGTAAAGAGGAAAGGCTGAGCATGAGGCTAGCAATCCCATGCTGTAAAAATTAAACACTGCTACAGAAACTTCAAGCCACTAGCTTGAGACACTATGTTCCACTGGGAACGTGAAGGAAATAAAAAATAACTAGTTTTGGTTAGTTATGAAATCGAAATAGTAGAAATTTATTTCCTATCCTAGACATCATAATATGATAACTTATTTAATTTTTGAGATAATTAAATGAATCAGAGGAGTCTCTACGCATATGAGGATAAATCTTGGACACTGTGGTGGAGTATAATTCCATTATGGATAAAATTTTATTTTGATAAAATCACACAGTGTTCGCTGTACAGTAATATTTACTGATAGCTACGTTTGGAGCACAATTTATTACTGCTCATAATCCTATCAAGGCACTACTCACACAAATCTCTTGCTTCATTAATTATATACATGAGTAAAAACTGATCACTAGACATTTGAATAAAATCAATATAAGACTCACGTGAAACAGAATAGAAGACAAAGTACATTCGGAAACAATATAAGTGTTATCAATAAATATAATATGATGAGAATTAACACGAGTGTTTTACCATATAAGGAGGGGACATCTGAGACCCTTCCCACGTGGGATTTTCAATAAAGCAGGAGTTAGGGTGGCATTCAAACCTACAAACCCACTCAGGCAGTACAAACTCTGTAGGCTAAAGGACCCGGTGGATCCAATTAAACAAAATAATATAATTTACAAAATACCTTACAATGACTGTGAGTTAGGTGAACTACATAGGTCAAACTAGTAGATATCGGATAGTCAGATTACCTGTCAGAACATAAAAATTTACCTAAGGTAAGAATGATTGATCCCACGAAGATAAGTAATTTAGAAAAAATAACTCAGCAATCGTCCTGCATGCACTAATATACAACCACAAAATAAGGCGGGTGGGACAGTGTCAAAATTCTAAAAAGTAATATACGTAGGTGGAGATTGATAGAGGTTGATTACTGAATCCTGGTTCATCGAGTCTACCAACACATGCAATAGAAATGAATCAACGCAAATACCAGAGATATGGAAGATATTATTACCACCAGTCAAATCAGAGGATAATAAATAATGTTAAAATGCATTTCAATTCACATTATAACATTCTAACATGCTACTTATTAAAAACATCTTATATCCCATCTAATTGTATTTGATCAATAACACTCGTATTATTATTTCTGAATGTACATTATCCCATATTGATTTTTATTCAAATGTCTAATCATCAATTCCACTCATGTACATAAATGAAGTAAAAAGTTGTGTGAGTGACTTGATATGATTATGAGCAGTAATAAATTGTGCTCCAAACGTAGCTATCAGTAAATGTTACTGTAGTGGAATTATACTCCACCACAGTGCTCAAGATTTATCCTAATGTGAGTAGCGACTCCTCTGATTCATATACTTATCTCAAAAACTAAATTACTTATCATACTATGATGTCTAGGTAAGGAAATAAATTGTCACTATTTAGATTTCATAACTAACCAAAACTAGTTATAGAATCACTGAAAACCAAGGAGTGTACTTGACAGCTGTTTTTCTTCCTAGTCCGAAACTCTCTTCAGCAGTGTGCACTTACGACACTACTTGTCATCGATTGAACTGGAACTCAATACCCCGTTAATATGACTACTGATGCTGTCAATGAGCATTCACTTTAAGCTGACATGTGTGGTGGACTTCTCTTGAGCCAATTAGGCCATATGTTGTGACATTAAGACTCAAGAGTATTGTGACACACTTTCAGGTACATGTTTCATCTTTACCTAGCTACCTACCTACCTACGAAGCACAGATTCTCCGCTGATTACGCCCAACCATCAAACATCATTTCAAAGTGTACCGCGAGTAACCAAGTTTTGTGAACACAGTGTAAATTTGTCTGCTAAAATTTGATTTGCACTAACACACCCTAGTGTGAAGAGAAATCGAGAGTAAAGCTGTTGACTACCAGCCAACTAGTTGTAGAAACAGTTTGATTTAGTTATGAAAAGTGTATTTATCAGAATAAAATATCACTGAATCGTCGAATACCACTTGCTAGACAGTCAGAATTGATAAGTGAATACTGCAGTGTGGAAATCTCCGTCACTGAACATGACTAACAGGATCCGAATTTTTAGCACTAATGTCAAGTCAGTCATTGCTTCTTTATGGTTTAGAGACTTGGTACGAAATGGAAGGTATTTCCGACTGGGTTACTGAAGACTGTCATCAACAACTGCCTTCGATTTATACTGAGGATCACGTGGTCGGTCAGAAAGGATGAGCAACAAGACACTCTGGCAACAAACCAACCAAGAACCAATAGCCCAACAAATACACAGAAGGAAATAGAGATGAATGTATAGGAATACACTCAGCAACATATTGAACCAGGCCCTAGGATGGTACCCTAATAGGGAAACGACGAGTTGGACGTCCGAAAGTGACATGCAGGAGATCACGTGAACAACAGATGATAGCTTATTGGCAATCATGTAGCCAACTTTAAAAGACAGCAGTGAACACAGAGTGAAATGACGATGTTCTGTAGAAACATTCTATTCCACTCGGAATCCGAGCGTATGTCGGTGGGTCATTAGTAGAATACTTGCCAACCACACCTCACGTTGTCCGGGATTCGATTACCAGCCGACACAATACTTCACATCCGTTAAGCGGTAGTAAGCTCCATGGTAAAGAGGAAAGGTTGGGTGTGAGGTCAGAAACCCCACCCTGTAGAAAATAAAACACCACTGCGACTGAAAGTTCATGGCTCGAGCCTGAAGTCCTATGTTCCACTTGGAACGCACAGTCACTGCAGAAAAGTGCAGCAATCCAAAATGCCACATTACTTCATAAAACTACACATAAAGATGAAGAAACGAAACTATAATTGATGAAATTCTTCCGGAGAAAGAAAAATTACATGAAAAATAATGAAGATCTAAGGAATCTGTGTGGAAGCACATTAATACATTTCTACTTCTTGCAGCATCACACTGATCTTGACTTGATCTACTTCCAATTTCAGCTGAACTGTACTCGATTCTATCAACTGTGTTAAAGCATTCAAGTCTCTATAGTTTCTATTGTATTAATGTTTCCTTGTTACATGATTTTCACTGGATTTCTTTGATTCCTATTTGAATTCAAAAATTTGATTATATACCTTTGGAAATATTTCCTTTTATTACCAAGACAATATATGTTCGACATATTCGATTGTACAAATGGAGAATAATACCTTTGAGAAGAGTAACTCATCGCTGAGTGTCATTTTGTTGTCAAACACGTAGGTACAGTAATCAAAATGAAGTCATTTGGTGGGTGGTGACTAGCAGTGGAATCCAGCAAGGATGAGCATTTCGTCCGATTCGGGACTGACTCATCATCCAGATGTATCTGCATTTCTCAGTAGGTGACGGTGTTCCACACCCCACCCAACTGAGGCTCGAACTCAGTACCTGTCGTTTCAAAAGCCAAAGTTGACAAGCCCCAAATAGGACGAAATGTACATCCTCACTGGATTCCACTGCCAGTTACCACCCACCAAAGAACTTCAAATTAGATCCTCATACATCGTCGAAGCCTCCGCCCAAGAAGGAGCCGACATGTCAACCTGAGGTTGAACACTTATGTCCAATGAATGAACGTGAAAGCTTAATTAATAATTAATAGTAATTAATTAATAGTAATCAGTTGTTGAAATTTTAATGAATCACCAAATAAATCTAAATTTTATTTTAAAAAAACGATCAACAAACGGTTACCTGATCTGCTTCACAACTTCTATTGAATGTGGAATTTGACAATAGTACAGACTCTGATGATGTACAAAGTTGTTTCGCATTTGAAGATTCACGACATTGTTTATTCTCATTTGTTGTAGTTGGTGTATCTGTTTTAATGTAAAATAAAGGTAATGATTAACAATTGAATATCTACCCGCCTTTTTGTTGTTTTAATTAACTTGTCTATTTAGTGGTGGAATATAAAAATGTCCAAATTATATGATTGATCATGAGATGACATTAGTTACAGAACTACTGGCAAACCTGGGAGTACTGGTCACTTGTTTTGTCAGCTTAGTATGGGACTCTTCAGCAATGTGCAATCTCCAGGTTCCGAATCCAAGGTTTGATTTTAGCGTAATATATAATATGACAGCAACAGGTTTATTTTAAACAAAATGTTTACACATAGTGCAGAATTCTCAGAACATTTTATTGAAGGAAATAACAATCATTTCATGTAAATGATCTCTAAGCAAAAACCTACTCATATCAAACAATCAGTAGTATGTGTACCAAAGACTTTCACTTTGGTTCCCCTTAATACACCAACAACTTTTTATGAGACGGTGGGAGGCAGTCGGAAGGAAGCCTTCCACTTAGATTTCGTGCTAGCTGGCACTCACTAGTCACCAAGGCGTATCTGCAACCATGAAGAATCTCATATCCCTCCTGAGATTCAAACCCATGTCATCCAGCAGTGCTTCAGTCAGTCAGAGACGTTGCCACTGAGCTATTCGCGTTCACGATTGACCTCCTATAGGACTGTATTGAATACTTGAATTGTCATGAGTTTCTTCAAGGTTGTAGGTACGCCTCGCTGACTGGTGGGTGCCAATTAGCACGAAATCTAGGTCAGGTAGGGCTTCTTACCGATTATCTCCAACCACCCAATATCAACAATTCACAGTGCACTGTGATGGCGTTCCGTCTAGCGGCATGGTGGCCACATTGCAAACGTGACTGATGGAATTCAGTCATATCCACACTTCCTGTTTATTTTGTCATTTTACTACTTCTACATATTTAATCCCTGATTGCATAAACAATTATTCATCACACTAGTTTTTTATCCAAAAATCCTGTATATTTTGTTATTTTTACATTTCTAACCCCCAATTGCACAATGTCAATTTTCTTAGTTATTATGCTACTTTATTTGAGTTTTACCCATCCCCCTGTTTATTATGGCGTTCTAATTCCTAATTGTAATTTCTATTAATTTAACGCTTAACCAGAAATTACTCTGGAACCTTCCCATCCATTTGATATAAATACACGAATGTACAGCCTAGATGATGACTTCGTCGAAAAGAAAATTTTCTTCGCTGCAACTGTCTTTTTATTCCCTATGATCAAATAATAATAATAATAATAATTTGCTTTATTCCAAAACAGAACTTGTGATACAGAATGGAATCCTCAGCATTTTTTACTACAGTATTGCATCCAGTTAGTACATTAACAACAAATAAAATTCTACGGTTAGTTTTGACTACAACATATTGGCATGTCGGTTGCAAAGCCAAAATTGAACAGTGTTTGAAGGTGTTAGAAAAGTAGATACTGGCATAGTTACTGCCATAAGCGGTAACAAAAAGGTCGAGATATACAGAGTGGGAAAGAACGAAGAAGGATGTTTTAAGTAGAGTTTGTAAGGAAGAGAGAAACAAAACGACACAAAACAAAAACAAAGAAAAAAACAAAAAAGAGAAAAAGGAAAAGAAAGAAAGAAAACATTGTACCTATAAATGATATGAGTTGGAAAGACGAGATCCGATTGTTCTACTGACTATTTAATAAGTTATAGGTATCATGCCTAATGCTTTCTTTATCACACAGAACACGAGCCAAGTAGGGTATGGTTGAGTTTTTGTACTTGCTGGTGCGAGCATATAGTTTCCTATATAGGCTTTTGGTTTTGCCTGATGAGATGCAAGGGGAGAGTTGTGAATGAAGAGGGTGATGTGAGTTAGATAGAATGGATTTAGCCCATTTTTCACATGAGTCCAAGTGCCTGTCGACCAGAATATTAACAAGCTGGTTAAGTAGCACGTTGCTTACCCTGCTGACAACCTTTAACACCCTACGTAATGAGATATAGTCCTTCTTCAGTAGCCCTGGAAAAACTAAAGGGGAACAATAAAGAATAATAGGCAGGATGCAAGAGTTAACGAATCGTAAGAGTAAGGTTTGGGTTATTCCAGAATGTCTTGATGTAGAAGGTAAGACGGAATATTTTTTAGAAATCATCAAGATATGAGACGACCAGGAAATAATCAACATTCAAGCGTTTGCATGTACAAAAAAATCCCTTTGAGTATTTCAATTTTGGCATTAAGTTGACTGGGCGGCAATAAATCCTAAATGAAGTTAAACCGTTCACAGACAATAAATTAACACAATCAAATACAGGTCATAGAGCGTGTCGGTGGTTCAATGGTAAAATAATCATCAACTATGCGCACATGATCCGATCCTCAGTCGACGCACTCTTAAATGTCGCTTAGCCCAGAAAAGATGGAAGATTACGTGTCAGGCTAGGAAATTCTCTGTCACTAAAAAATCAAAGCTCAAGATTAAAGCCCAGTGTTCCACATTTGGAAGGGAAAGAAATAAATAAAATTTTAAAAATAAGGTCATCGAATCCTATTTCCTATGTATATTGTCGAAACGTTATTCAATATTAGTGAAAAGTACAATTGTTACTTACAATCAATAGAAAAACAGTATTCAATAGTCATGTGACATGAGAAAAAAGTGATTGGATAAAATAGCGTATACAATATTATTTTATTATTCACATATGTAGTGCTATGTTAAGTTATGTAAAAATTAGGCTAACAAATTATTGAACAATTCTGATATTTATTGCTGTGTAACATTTTTATTTAGTAGGCTAACTAACCAATTCATTTATCAATGTACAACAAAAGTAATAACCAATATTTGGTTGATGTCTACTAGCTGTGGAATCCAATATGTGCATTTCGTCCTACTTGGAGCTCATCAGCTGGATGTACCCAGTAACATCATGTTAATCTTCAGATATCATCGAAGCGTCTGCATATTAGGAGTCGAAATGTCAGCGGAGGTCGAACATCTCGATCCAACACAATCGATCAAAGGAAGCGTTACCCTATTCAAATACTTGTGGTGAGGTGGGGGGGGGGGCGGGCTAGATTTATTTTCGTATTTACTTCATCAGGGAGAATGATGTTAGTCTATAGTGAAAGTTTCATACTTGCTTGAGTCACATACTTGTCCTCTGATTAGGAGAACAGTAATACAACTCGTTGTGTTGCTATTACTATTAGAAGTCAATTTAATCAGAAGAGACACTTTATTTACAGGGCCATATTTATTGTATGAAGGCTGGTGATACTAACCACCTGCCTAGGCTGAAGTAGGTGAAGACCCATTGTCCAAAAAACAAGTGGTTAGGCCAGTAAACCATCTTTTCACATAGGTATGATTTTGCTGTGCGCGCCGATGAAGAGTCCCAAACTGGGACGAAACACATGTCCATTACTCGAATGCTGGTTTTCCAATGGTTCTCTAACTGATGTCAGCTCGTGATAAAATCCTGTAACCAATCAAATCCTTGCAAATCAAATACTTGGTAATTAATCTAACGCTCACCAGTGACTGGTCCTATACAGGTAGGTAGGTTCCAGTGGGAAGTCGTGACCACTAGGGTACAGCAGGTCGAGTATGACGACAAATACTCACCAGCGATGACACTGGTTAGTGGTTGCGGTAAAATCAAGAGTCGGTAGAAGTAAGAATTCATGGACCATCGACTAGGGTCTGGGTAGGTTAGTGGTCTACGAACTAGCTCACCTAGTAACCGAGAGGTTTTGGGTTAGATCCCTGGCGGTTGGGTGGGTGCGTGCTGCTGAGTAGTTCAAAATTAGGCTACTGAGACGGCTATCCAGTGCTCCCCGGTTTTCCAAAGGTTCACTGACCGATGTCAGCTAATGATGAAGTCCTGAAACTGAAATTTATATATGAATACTTGTAATATTCCTGTTGAATGACATTCAAATATCCAAGTGAAGTAAAGTGTTGAAAAGCTAAAAGACGGCTATATCAACCTACTGAATCGTCAGTAGAGAAAAGAGATCAACCCAAGTAACAGCAAAATACCAAATCTGAACTGTGATAAGGAAGAATTCTTCACACATTCCGTTCACTCACTTATTAAAAGTGTAAAGTCAATACATTACCTGATAAAAATAACCTTCTTGTTATTTCTTTTAAGGCCAACAGTTTACGTGTTCAATTATGTCAGCAAAAAAAACTCAGTCTGGTTTTAATAAAAATGATTATACACTAAGACCGGTAATTCAATTATGAGCTTCACTTTCTACATATTTGAAACAAGTGTCTTCTGAGGTTATCTCCCGCTTATCTCCTTTGCTTAAAAAAGCTTCTTACTGACTTAACCAATCAACTTTTAGTCAATTAGTGCTGAATGCAAGTCTTGATACACTTTGCTTCAGCCTTGACAACTGGATAGTAGTGTGGTGAGAGCTCTCTACCAGCCAAATTGGTAGATAGTAATTTACGTCAATATTTACGTTACCAAGATTTGTCGTGAGAAAATGTGAACAAAGATTGATTCAAAACCGACCACAGCAGACTTTGAGTAGGCGGATGCAGTTAACATATAGAGGATTTGACATTCAAGAAACAGTCACAAATAGATGAAAGATTAACTTTACGTGAGAAACAACCAATCGGAAGACTGTGTTTGTTTGCTTAAATATCCATAGTAATGTACATGAAAATATATAAATATGCGTTGATTTCCTTAATAAATGATCTGTTGCCTGACTCTTGTGTTCTGTCGTTACAGTAGTAGTGTAACGACAGAAGGCAAGACACGGGAGCCAAGGTATATTTTTCATTAATCATTAATCAAACCGCCATTTATATATCTACAGTTTGTATTCGTTAACCAATCAATCACGGAGCGTGTGATTTCGGTTTACATCATACAACATGAAAAAGAGTGTTCAAATAGATATATCGTATTCTGTTACTAATGCAGTATACAACCGTGGGAAATGTATTCTGTCTCTAACATCAAATCGAATGTTCA